GAAATTACGAGAGAGTTCACAAAGAATGCAGTTACATCGATATTGGAGGAGAATGGCATCAAATAAACTATAGTAAACTATATTCCGTTTTGTTTTGGTTCTAAAAATCGCGCAATCGTTTTGTCGTGCAATGATAATGCTGCGGTGTAATGATAGAGTTGCAGCTCAAAGAACAAGGTGAAAAAAACCTGTGGCGAAATTGTGCGATTATTTTTCTTACTCTCTTTCTGACTTTTCTTTCATTCAGACTGAACACGATTAGCTTCGGTTGTATCACCGCCAATGCATAATGAACACGATTCGTGCTTTGTTTGTTCGTTCGCCTTGTTTTTTTTTTTTCATTATTTTGTGCACTTGCACATCACACAGAACATTAAAAACTAGTTCACAGAGACATTAATTGGGTTGGGTGCAGAAAATGGCAATAACAACAAATATACGATATGTGTTATTTGGTGAGGGCAAAGCGCGCGCACAACATTTAAAGTGCACGTGAATAGTGTTCAGCGACCGTGATCGTTTGAAAGTCTTATGCAAATTTTTATTGCACTTGAGAGTAATTTCTGAAACGTGTAAAAGACATTTCATCGGTGATAAAAATCAACATTTTGCTATAATACCTAAGACACATATGACTCTATCGAAGATGCAATTTAGTCGGTAAAGGGATTTTTAAAGACAAACTCAATGACAAGACTGATGTCGGTTTCAGTGGTGTCTTTTTTATCATATTATCTATTCAATTAAAAATCAAATGACTTACAAGAAACAGTCGGTGCAGTTCAATGAAAAAAGAGAATTAAAATTGTTCACTTATCGCCACAGTTTGGCGCTTGTGTGCCAGAGATTTGAGTTTGAAAACAAAATTGACCCAATTACCACATACATGGAAAACAACTAACCCATTTTTTTTTCGCACAAAAGACAACTGAAAATAAAAGCATCTGATTTTAATCGCATAGAAGAGCAACGAAATCTAACAAAAATGAATCATTTCTTGAGCGACACTACATATTTTATAACTTTTGTGGAATAAAAAAATCACATAAATGGAATTATATGCTATTAAGCATTCGGCTGTTCCATCTGTAGTATCCGTTGCCACCTTTCTACTTTCTATCGAATAAAAAACCATGAAAATATAGTTAAAGCAATTTGATTCGGTATCAAAATAGATGTAGTAAACTACTTGAATCCATTCAAGCCGACGCATTTAACCATATTGCCCGAAATAGGGAATTAACGCACAAAAATTCTGTGTTTGTAGCTCATCGGTGTCATTTATAAAAGCATACAAGTGCGTAAAGAGTAAAGAATATCTTGAAAATACTTTTTCTTCTTATTTTTTTTACGCTCAATTATGTGCGGCCCAAAGAATAATGAGAAAAGAATACTTAATGCAAATAAAAGCAATTGAGCTCGTTCAGAAGCAAAATCGGAACAATTCTTAAGGAGGTAAACTTTTCGTATGAGTGTTTTCATTACGAGTAAGAATACAATCGTCCGAAAAGAATCGCCGAAATTAGCATGACCGCCAATTTTTGAGCATTTCCACTCTCGACACTTTCGGCATCTACACGGTGTTACTCGCTTACAAATCGTTGGCATTTGTTACATTGTGATCAACGTCATTGAAAATACTTTGCATTCTCTATCGTCTAACCAATCTAGACGCTTTCGTTTTGTAATTTTATATAATTGTATGTGATGAATGTGAGAATTACGTAGAAAACCCGATTACGAATAAAGTGTGTCTGTCTGTTTTTTGTTCATCATTTATTTCTATTTTTACGATTTAATTGAAGAGCAAAGTGCAGAATCACAAACAAATAAATTTAATTTGAATTTTTTTCAACAACGAATTTTTAATATTTCAGTTTTTTATCACTGCAACGAACAATTATTGATAATCAAGTTATTAATATAAAATAAATTTATGTTGGTTCTTGTAAATGACCACCAATTTTAAGCCATTAGAAACATTATCTAGCTTTGAGTTGAAAACAATAACACTTTAAAGAATTACAGGGTTCAGCGGATTCGATGAAAAAAAGACATTCCCATCTGTGAATTAAATATAATCATAATTTTGGCACATTTTTCCGTCCACTCAGTCACATATCTACAACGTTAATCTCGAAATTTCGTAGAAAGATCGCTTTTGATGAGAGTAGTAGTTTTCTATGAGAAAGTTGTCTCCATGCAGACGTGATATCAAGATTGGCGTTTTTATTTATTTTGTAAGTCGAAAAAAATTCTTCTCAATATCCATTTGATCGCAACAATTTGAATTCAACAAACAAGCCGCATTCAATTTCAATCAAATCATTTACAATCTTCTAACCAAGCTTTAACAAATTCAAATATTGATTTTTACATCTTCAAAAATGAAAGACATTTATTTCTTTTGAAATTTATATAAACTTTATTTCTAATTCTTTCTAAAAATAAATACATATTTTATGATGAGATCTTAAATTATGGTTTCTTCTTAAAAACTAATCAATACCAATTCATTTTTGAGTATAATTTATCAGTTCATCAATTAATTTGACTTTTTAGTCGACTTCTTCAACAGTTGGACCATTCCGGGATTGATAGTTGTTGCCGCCGGCCTGTTGACCACAGCTACTTGCTCCGCCAGTATGAATTTTCGTCATGATTGGTGAACAAATGTTGCTGATTTCTTGCATTTTGTGTTCAAATTCGTCCTTTTCGGCCAATCCATTGATGTCAAGCCATTTGATTGTTTCCTCACAGCAATTGAGTGCTTTTGTTTTCTCCTCTTCGCTTAATTTATCGCCGGCTTGATCGATTGCTTGTTTCACACTGAACACATAGCCTTCAAGATTATTTCTGGCGACGATCTTTTCACGTTGTTTCTCATCTTCTTCGCGATAACGTTCGGCTTCGGCTAACATTCGATCGATCTCTGATTGTGATAGACGACCTTTGTCATTTTTAATGGTTATATTTTTCGAGTTGCCGGTGCTCATTTCCTTTGCTGTAACATTCAATATACCATTTGCATCCAAATCGAATGTCACCTCAACTTTGGGCACGCCGCGTGGTGCTGGCGGAATGCCAGACAATTCAAATTTGCCCAAAACATTGTTGTCTTTGGTCATTGCTCGTTCGCCTTCAAACACCTGAATCGAAACGCCTGGCTGATTGTCAGCGTACGTGGTGAATGTTTTTGTTTGTTTGCATGGAATGCGAGCATTTCGTTCGATGAGTTTGGTCATCACGCCGCCTGCCGTTTCAATACCAAGCGAAAGTGGTGTCACATCGACCAATAGCACGTCTTGAATCTTACTGTCTTTGTTGCCGGTGAGAATAGCTGCTTGAACTGCTGCACCATAAGCGACGGCTTCATCCGGATTGATGGAGAGATTCAATTGTTTGCCATTGAAGAAGTTTTGCAATAATGATTGAACCTTTGGAATGCGAGTCGATCCACCGACCAAAACAATTTCATCGATTTTCGATTTATCCAATTTGGCATCGGCCAGTGCTTTTTCCACGGGTTGCAATGTAGCTCGGAATAAATCGGCGCACAATTCCTCGAAACGGGCTCGAGATATTTTCGTATAGTAATCAACACCATCGAATAAAGCATCGATTTCGATGGTGGCCTCAGTGCTTGCCGATAATGTTCGTTTGGCACGTTCGGCGGCTGTTCGTAATCGTCGCAATGCACGTGGATTTGTTGTCAGATCCTTTTTGTATTTGCGTTTAAATTCCTCGGCGAAATGAGTTACCAATCGATTGTCAAAGTCCTCTCCACCCAAATGTGTATCGCCGGCCGTCGAACGCACTTCAAACAATGAACCGTCGTCGATCGTTAGAACTGACACATCAAATGTACCACCTCCCAAATCGAAAATGAGTACGTTCTTTTCGCTCTTCAAATTCTTATCCAATCCATAGGCTAATGCAGCCGCCGTTGGTTCGTTGATGATACGGAGCACGTTTAAACCGGCAATCACACCTGCATCCTTTGTTGCCTCACGCTGTGCATTGTTGAAATATGCCGGAACGGTGATGACAGCGTCCGTGATAGTCTCGCCCAAATATGCTTCGGCAGTTTCTTTCATTTTCACCAGAACCATCGAACTAATTTCTTCTGGTGCGAAGCGTTTACGCTCTCCTTTAAATTCGGCCACGAGTTTTGGTTTTCCATTCTCACTTACAACGGTGAATGGCCAATGTTTGAGATCGTCTTGGATTTTAGCGTCATCGTATTTGCGGCCAATCAATCGTTTTGCATCGAAGATGGTATTTTTCGGATTCATTGCGACTTGATTTTTGGCCGCATCGCCAATCAAACGTTCTGTATCGGTGAATGCGACATAGCTTGGTGTTGTTCGGTTGCCTTGATCGTTTGCAATAATTTCCACTTTTCCGTGTTGAAAAACTCCAACGCACGAATAAGTTGTTCCCAAATCAATTCCAATAGCAGGCATTTTTAATTGATTTTTTTTTTACTTTCAACTTTTTTCAATTTAAATAAATTATTCACTTTTCAACTCTGGTAAATTACTGTTTAAACTTTTGCTTTGAAATTCACTTGCTTAATATTCTTCGCTTCTATTACTATTTTACTTTGTTGTGTTTGCTTTGTTTGTAGTTTTAAGACTGAATACGCTGTGTACGCTGCACGGCATTTATACTGTTTTCAAGTTTTCTAGAAAATTCACCGTAGAAACGTTCGACTGTTGTAGAGTTTCTCGAATGTTCTATCTGTTTCGCGTTGCGTTCAACGAATATACAAGACACATTTGGAAGGTTCGGTTTGCATGAAAACCCAATACAAATCCGATGAATAAAAATATAGTTGAGAGGTTTCCGGCAAGTTCGAGAAACATTTCAATTGTTTGAGCAAATGCTTTGCACATATTTACAAACAAAGAGAACCACATGAATGTTCATGCCCACGTGTATGAAAGTATCGTATTTCGCTTCGTCGAATGAAACACTTTGTTTTATTTTTAATCGATGTTATTCTTGTATATGAGATGAGAATATTACAAAATTCAATGATAAACAGATGAAAAATTGAAGTTTATGTTCCATTGTGTTTTGAATTCGTCGAAAATATTATCCCAAAATGTGATTCGTTCACGGTTTGAAGCAACTTTTAAAGTAATACCATCGTTTGTAATATCATAGTAGCTTAGATTGGTTGATTCTTGTTTTTTTGACTCGGGTAGCTCATTCCGTGGAATTGGATTTCTAATTCAAAACATAATTAATAATAAAAATAGACTTTTTTTCAAATATTTTAAGAGAGTTCAATGTCTTTTTATGTAACGAATAGTTTACATACCCAAATTTTGCAAAATTGGCATAAAAATTGGACACATCTCTGATTAATTGTCGTTGCATCGAGTTCTCGTCTCTTAAATTTTGATACACTTGATCAGGAGTGTCCGCAGAAAATCGGAATAAATAGTAGAGTTGATCAGCATGAGCCATGTATTTAGTGGTAAAATTGCTTTCTTTCCATTTTCTATCACTTAAATTCCAATCATTCTCTGCTGAAAACCTGTATCAAATTCCATCAAACTACATAAGTTGACATCAAAATCATCAAACTATTTCATCCAAATTATGTTATAAATTTCTTTTACTTGCTAACAAATGTGGATTGTTTTGACTTCACCGCTTGAATGCGCGCACTCAAATCAATTCCATATAAAAATGTTATGTCTGTCATGAGCATGTCCAATTTGTCTTTAGTTACGTGTTTTCCGAAATATTTTTATACACCTTCAAATGAAACGGCATAATAAAAACTAGAATAGTTTTCATAATTGAAACATACCTCTGACTCAAAGTCTATAGACAACTGTAACGGCAAATCCATTTCGAAGACTTTGTCAAAGTTTTCTATAAGTTCTGGGTGCATCTGTTCTGCGTCGAGCACAATTTCCTGAAACACAAAAAAAAAACGTGTTTAAGGACATGTCCATACATATGGCTAGTTACGCTAAGTGTACCTTAGGCGAACTGCTGAACAGTGTGGCCAAATTACTCTCATAGTTTGAATTCGTGAAAATGTTTAGAGGTGTTTCTATCAGAAATGGATTATTTGCGTTTTGATCTATAAGAAAAATGTGTCATCATGATGTATGCGAGAAAAAATCAATTTAAAATGAACTACCTTCAATAAACACAGACCATTGGCGATTGAATCCTTTCCGTCCCACGTGATCGGTGAATATGCCGATGTTGGTATTTTTGTACAACATCTTTCCATCGATTTTATTCAAGAATCCAATGAGATTACTTTCATTTCGAATGGTATGATTGAAATCTTCAGCCAAGTTCTTTATAATTGTGGAGTGTTCAGTTTTTGCCGGTAAAAATGGATTTAATGCCGAACCACTCATCAAAATAGCCCTTTGAAAGAGATGCTTTGACTGCGGTGAAACCATATGCAATTGAACCGATGCGGCACCTATTTTAAAAATTCTATGAAAGTTCATCTTCTTCGTGCATGGAAGTTTTGTCTTTTCTTGTTATAAATAACCTGCACTGTGGCCAAACAAGGTGATTTGATTTTTATCACCGCCAAATTGTGCAATATTTTCATAAACCCATTTCAACGCAAGTACTTGGTCTTTCATTCCCATATTACCGGAGTATTCGGGTAAATTTAAAGATAAAAAACCAAACGGACCCACTCTATAATTGAAAGTTACCTAAAATGATCATTGAATTCCAATTTAAATTCTATTGTCTAAACGAGTTAAATGAATTTTAAATCATCGCTTCGACTACGACTTTTAGCAATATATAACAGCTCACCACAATGACATTTGTGTCCATCAAAAAATCTGGCCCATAAAATCGTGCAGTGCCAAATTCAAACCCACCACCATAAATATATACCATGACAGGTAATTTAATTTTTGCTGGACTCATCTCCGAACATTTGGCCGGCACATAAACGTTCAGATGCAAACAATCTTCGGATCCAATGTAGATATTTTGTTCGAAATCTGGTTGAATACAGTCATCATTAAAATCAAACGCGTCTAACGTATCGCTCCATGCGTCAACCTTTTCGGGGGCCTAATCAAATAAAAATTAAATGAAGAATTATTGCTAAAAATAAGTTTGAGTGGAGTTTTTACTTTGAATCTTAATGTGCTGATCGGTGGTTTGGCAAACGACACCCCGCGAAACGAATAGAATCGATTATTTTCAAATAATGTCCGATTTAATTTGCCCCGAATTCTCCCGCTTTTCGTTTCAATTGTACAAAACTGTTCGTTGTTTTCAGGTTCATTCAGCGAAATGAATATTATTATAAGCAACAGAATGATAAACAATAAAATGCCACAAATAATTTTTACGAAGTGCATTTTACCTGAGCAACACAATTTGGATCGACGGAATACTAAGAAAATCAATGTAGCCTATTAATTTGCAAAAAGACAACCTCTTACAAGCTTATGCTATCGATTTCTGTATATTTATAAGGAAAAATATTTGATTGCAAGTAAAATTGAAAAGATTTTGTGGTGTATGCAAATAATTATCTGTCTCTGACACGACGACACGACAAATACTTTTTTTTTTCATTATATTTGGTGATATCTTATCAGTTATTATTTTATTCAGATTTTACATTTAAAGCAATGAGTTCGTGGGGTCATAAAATTGGCAATAATTTACGCATATGCAACAAATTTCATTTTTATTCAAGTTTCTTATACTTATTTTTTTCTTATTTTGAGAAATAATTTGTAGTTTCTTTGTGTATTTTCCTTTCGCGTTATAAATGATGTGGCTGAGTCTTAAAACATATGTTTAAACAAACAATTATTTTCTGTGTCTCATTTATCTTAATTTTTCAACCATCTAACTAAATTGAGAAAATAGAGCAGAAAAAACAAGTTTTGATAAAAAAGTATATACGAGTTCGAAAAAATCCACTTTTGCAATAACAAAATAGCGAAAATATAATTATTCTATAATTGACGTAATGAGGATTCACGAATTTTTTTTTGCACGTGTTATAATTTTTTCTATGAGCAGCTTAAAATGTCCAAGTATAAATATAGGGACCTTTAACAGGTGAATTCAGTTCAAACATTTCCTTACAAAAAGAGAAACTAAGAAAATGGTATCATTCGCCCGTTTTGCTTTGCTATTCGCAATAATTGCTGTAGCACTTTTCGTTTCGTAAGTCAATTTTCTCCAAATATTTATCTATTGAATATGACAATAGAAGAGTATGTTATTCAGAAATTATAGCTGATAAAACGTGCTGTTCTATCGTTATATTGAATAGAAATATTAAGTATGATTGGTTGAATTTAAATTATGGTTATTTTGCAGGCCATCATATGGTAGAGATGGTAAAGAGTCCAAAAATAAAAATAAAAATAAAAAGTTCGTATATTTTTTTCATTTGGCCTAAGACATTTTAACAAAATTAAAAATTAATTGACTTATTCACAGTGCTGCGGCCCCTGGCTCATCATCAATACCAGCATCTCTCGGATACCATCGAAATGCACCAGAACTAGACGCAACTGAAAAAATTTGGTTAGAAGCCAAGAGATTGGACGATGAGATTAAAATATTGAAGGAACTAGCTGAGAAAAATAAAAAGACTGAGAAGTAGAAGATAGGCGGCCCGTGGATGCAGAAAATGTCTTCTTCATCGTTTGCATAAAATCTTAATATACCAGCGGTCAATATAATATTCAGTTTATGTTTTCTATGATTTTTTTCAAATGACAATTTCATAATAAAAATTCATAAATTGCTCTTATCGCATTACCAAATTCGTATGATTTTTATTATTAACTGCTACAGCATCGTATATATACGACTATAGTGCTGCTTTCAATATCACACGATTTACATATAAAATTGATGCTCAGAGAATTTGGAATGTATTTACAAAACGTCAATTGTAAACCATGGTTGCATCTCAGCTGTTTATTTTTCGGTATTTTTGTCCAAATAAATAAATAAATAGGTCCATGAGTTATTGTTATCTGTGTAATTCTTGTCTGCATATGATAAGAGAGTTATAGAATTCGAATGCACAATAACAAAGCAAATTTTAATCTTTAGAAAGTAATTGTTATGTTGTGTGTTTACTAGACCGTCGTAAATTAAATTCCGCTGTGTAATTGTAACATATCATTCAATTTTTAAGAAAGTATTCAATTTAAACCGAAACAAAAAAATACCAATAAGCATGTCATTTTTACGGGGTTCGACAAATTATGTGTGGAATTTCGGGAAAAGGTGCAACAGAATCGTATACGAATGGAAATTTTTTTTTTATTTTTTTTTAATCTTATATATGAGATGAGAATATTACAAAATTCAATGATCAATTAAGCAGATGAAAGATTGAAGTTTATGTTCCATTGTGTTCTAAATTGAGAAAATATCTAACTAAACTAACTAATCTAACTAAATTGAGAAAATAGAGAAGAAAAAAAATCAAATCCACTTTTGCAATAACAAAATAGCGAAAATATAATTATTCTATAAATAACGTAAAGAGAATTCACGAAATTCTCTCTAACGTTTTGCGCGTGTTATAATTTTTTCTATGAGCAGCTTCTCAAGCGACAAAACAGAATGTCTGATGTGCTAAAATCGGTACATTCGATGAAAAAAGAAGAAGAAGAAGTATAAGAAGAAGAATATTGATTTAGAATTCATTCGTGGATTCAAGGTTTTTTGCATTGCTTATTCCTTATTGCTTATTATGCTTATTAAAATGAAACAAATTATTTTGATGATTTCATCATATATTTTTTTATTTTGATATTCAATTCATAATTTTGGACTGTTTCACTAGGGGGCAGACACGTGGAATAGGATTAGACTTTTAGTGTAAAGATTCGAGAAATTGCAATGAAATAGCAACGCCTGTGAATGGAATAGCGAAACAATGCATGGAATAGGAAAAATAGTTTCGATTTCACATTCGTGTTTCTGGATTAGTGGAATAGCTGGATTAGTAATTTATATAGTGGATTCGGAATTTTTTCTTGGTGTCTCTCCCCTGGCTGTTTCATTAATGTCCCATAACTCCAAGTTTGTTTGGTGGCCTTGGTGGAAGTGTTGTATCCAACAAAAAACCAGCCCATTCGATGCGTTGATCGTTATAATCTTGAATATCTGATAGTAGCTTTTGAAGGCATGTTGTCAATTCTAGTTGTTTTCCTCTTAGTGCAGCCAGTGCAGTGTTTAGTACATCCAATTGCGCAGAATCATATAACTTTCTTCCATCAATTTTCTTCGTTTGCAAAAAAAGGTTTTTCAATTCATATTTGAATGATGTTGCTTGTGCCAAATATTGTTTTACCAGCGTAACTGATTGATCAATTTCGGCATTGACTTCATTCACCAATTGATGGTATCTAGTTTGCATACTTCCTAATTCACCATTAATCTCTGACCCGCGTTCAAATTGTTTTCTCTTGAATTCATTGAGTGCTGATTCGAATCCGTTTATATCATGGACACTTGGTTGGGACGAGTACACTAAGAAGATATCATGATAGACCTTGCCAATATTTATGACATCTCCCTTATAAGCATTGAGCACATCGCATAATCTATCGCAAAGATTATTATTGACTTCGGTACTAACTCTATTCCTACACATTTCCTCTACATGAATATAGGAGAAAGTCGCCTCTTCTTGAAGATATGATTCAACCCATTTATCGCTACTTAATTTACTTCTTCCTCGAAGTCTTATAAGACCATCAGATGGAAGGGAGAATAATGGTTTAAGATTCCTCACCAAATCCCTACCATTTTCGAGTTTAATATTCAATGCTTTAAGGAGTGCGGAGTATACTGCACTTTGGCAGTTAACAGATCCGAACTGGACAAAATTTGTGATTAAAAATACATAGAAGAAATATTATCAACATTTTGAACGAATATTAAATTTTTGATAAAGATAGTTAAACGATGCTTCACCTGGTTGAATATGGAACTCGATACGAATGCAAATATTAGAAACAACTTCATTTTTTTTTCTCCAGGGATACTAATTTGTAAGCAGATAAATAGATCAGCAATTGTTGCAAAATACATTCAGAATCGATTTATATACAAAATTTCATTGGCGCGAAATAATTTCTATTGACGTATAGAGCAGAACAAACAAGAGAGCAGAAAAGACACGTTTTTTCTCTATAGAGCAGAAAAAACAAGTTTTGATAAAAAAGTATATACGAGTTCGAAAAAATCCACTTTTGCAATAACAAAATAGCGAAAATATAATTATTCTATAATTAACCTGATGAGAATTCACGAAATTCTTTCTAACGTTTTGCGCGTGTTATAATTTTTTCTATGAGCAGATTAAAATTTTCAAATATAAATATAGGGACCTTAAACAGGTGAATTCAGTTCAAACATTTCCTTACAAAAAGAGAAACTAAGAAAATGGTATCATTCGCCCGTTTTGCTTTGCTATTCGCAATAATTGCTGTAGCACTTTTCGTTTCGTAAGTCAATTTTGTTCAAATATTTATCTATTGAATATGACAATAGAAGAGTATGTTATACAGAAATTATAGCTGATAAAACGTGCTGTTCTATCGTTATATTGAATAGAAATATTAAGTATGATTGGTTGAATTTAAATTACGGTTATTTTGCAGGCCATCATATGGTAGAGATGGTAAAGAGTCCAAAAATAAAAATAAAAAGTTCGTATATTTTTTTTCATTTGGCTCAAGAAATTTTAACAAAATTAAAAATTAATTGACTTATTCACAGTGCTGCGGCCCCTGGCTCATCATCAATACCAGCATCTCTCGGATACCATCGAAATGCACCAGAACTAGACGCAACTGGAAAACTTTGGTTAAAAGCCAAGAGATTGGCCGATGAGAATAAAATATTGAAGGAACTAGCTGAGAAAAATAAAAATACTAAGAAGTAGAAGATAGGTGGCCTTTGGATGCAAAAAATGTCTTCTTCATCGTTTGCATAAAATCTTAATATACCAGCGGTCAATATCATATTCAGTTTATGTTTTCTATGATTTTTTTCAAATGACAATTTCATAATAAAAATTCATAAATTACTCTTATCGCATTACCAAATTCGTATGATTTTTATTATTAGTAGTAAAAAATAAATTTAAAATGCGCGCTTGCAACACTGCACAATGACCAACTTCATGCCAATCAGTGGTATCAGTGAAATGTCAAATGTCTGTCTTATTGTAAAGCAACTATGATTTATTTACAAAACGTCAATTGTAAACCATGGTTGCATCTCAGCTGTTTATTTTTCGGTATTTTTGTCCAAATAAATAAATAAATAAATAGGTCCATGAGTTATTGTTATCTGTGTAATTCTTGTCTGCATATGATAAGAGAGTTATAGAATTCGAATGCACAATAACAAAGCAAAATTTAATCTGTGGAAAAAATTGTAATCAAAATTGCTAACTAATATCAGTAAATTGCTTTAGAAAGTAATTGTTATGTTGTGTGTTTACTAGACCGTCGTAAATTAAATTCCGCTGTGTAATTGTAACATATCATTCAATTTTTAAGAAAGTATTCAATTTAAACCGAAACAAAAAAATGTCATTTTTACGGGGTTCGACAAACTATGTGTGGTGTACAACATCAGTTTTGGGAAAAGGTGCAACAGGAGCGGTTTTTCAGGTATATATCCATTGTGTTTACTTTGTGTTCTGTGCGTTTCAACCTTTGAACTGTCACCTTTAACATTCATGGTTTTTTTTTTTTTGCGTTGGTAGGGAGTTAACAAACACAATGGCGAACCCGTAGCGGTCAAAACCTTCAATCAAATGTCTCATATGCGGCCGGTTGATGTGCAAATGCGTGAGTTTGAGGTGTTGCAAAAAGTAAATCATGAAAATATTGTGAAATTGCTGGCAATCGAAGATGATCAAGAAGGTCGTGGCAAGGTTATCGTCATGGAACTGTGCACTGGCGGTAGTTTGTTTAACATACTTGACGATCCAGAAAATACGTATGGTTTGCCAGCGCATGAGTTTCGTCTTGTTTTGGAACATTTGTCCGCCGGAATGAAACATTTGCGAGACAATAGTCTCGTTCACCGAGATTTAAAGCCCGGAAATATTATGAAATTTATATCAGAAGATGGTAAAACGATTTATAAACTGACTGATTTCGGTGCGGCTCGTGAGCTGGAAGACAATCAACCCTTTGTTAGTCTTTATGGCACCGAAGAATATTTACATCCAGATTTGTATGAAAGAGCTGTGCTACGCAAAAGTATTTCCAAAACATTCACGGCAAACATTGACTTGTGGTCGATTGGAGTGACATTGTATCATGTGGCGACTGGAAATTTGCCTTTTCGACCGTTTGGTGGGCGTAAAAATAAAGAGACCATGCATTTGATTACAACAAAGAAAGCAAGCGGCGTTATTTCAGGCACTCAAACAACGGAGAATGGACAAATTGAATGGTCACGCCAGTTACCAGCACATTGTCAACTCTCTATTGGATTAAAAAATTTAGTTACTCCACTTTTGGCTGGCTTGTTGGAGGTAATATTTTAATTTAATTCAATTTTTTTCATAACATTCCTTGTCAACACATTAATTTCATTTATTGTTATAGGAAAATCAACAAAAAATGTGGTCATTTGATCGATTCTTCAAAGAGGTAACAAATATTTTGAGTAAAAAAGTATTACATGTATTTTACATGAATCGCACATCATCGATTGAGGTGAGAAAAACATCAATGGAAACAAATGTGCCCGAATGGACTAATTGTGATGTATATTTGTTTTAGATTTATATGAATGACGATGAGCCATTTTTCAATTTGAAAGAGCATATCAAATTACAAACCGATGTTCAACCCGAAAGTCAAATACTCATAATGAATAATCAAGATATGGAAGAGAAAGTTGGCACAAATTCATTGGTTAAAGGTTTTCCACCGACAACGGAACTGACGCCAATATTTTTGTATTCAGTTGATAATAATAATGTGACAATCGGTTCGGAATTGGATTTGCCAAAATTTCCAACGTTCCCAAATGCCGTGTCCGTTGAAAACGATGCAAGCCTATCGAAAATGGGCTGCAGTGTTGGGCATGAATGTAAACGACGAATTGAAATGTATTCACGTATGGATCAACTTATGAAATACAGCGTTGAACAATTTATTGTGGTGTTGCGTGATACCATTTCTAAGCTGCTTGAGTGAGTTTTGCATGACTTTCATTTTGTTGTACATATGTTTTTTAAATGCAATTTTTTTAAAAAAAAGAAAAACTCAACATTTGGACGAACTGGCGGGCACTGTTTCCGAATACGGTGACGCTGTTAATTCACTAACATTGAATGTACGTAGCTAATGTGTTCAAGTCATTTTGACTGGCACAACATTTCAATTTCTTTTCTTTATCATCCGAGTAGAATGAATGTAATGAGGACATGGCCGGAATTATGGATAAATTGCGAAGTCTTAAACATAATATATCTGGTGTTACTGAGCCAACGCAACAAATTTACAATAAATTCGTGATTGAAGAGTTACTGAAGTGAGTCAATTTTGCTTAAAATTTTGTATTCATTCATCCAAATTAATTCATTGATTGCCCAATAGTTCCGAATGGAAAACAGCGATACGTGATAAGAAATGTCCATGTAAAATAAATGCTGTTGCTCGTGCAAAACATTTAATCGAACGATTGCGCGTATGTATTTTATTCTTATTGCTTTTCTATGCCTTTCTTCTATTTGCAATAATTGATGATTGCTTTACCTGATATAGGACTCTTGGCAACATTTACTTCGCGATCGAGCAACGCGATCGTTAACATACAATGATGAACAGTTCCATGCGCTTGAAAAAATCAAGGTGAAATTCATATGGAAAAATATATTGAATTGTTTGACTGAATTTTTGTTTTTGTACGAACAGATCGCCGAAACGGGTAAACGAATGAAATTGTTGCTGGTCGAAGATGTGAAACCGGTTGTGGCTCAAATCGCTGAATGTTTAGCTGATTGGTATAAACGGGCCCAAACTATTTACCTCAAAGTAAGTGAACTTTGTTTGGATTTGCTGAAAAACGGCAATATTTTGATTTTCCTTTTTTCAGACCCAAATTTTGGCAAAAGATGTGATTACTTGTGATGATGCCTTATATTCAATTCGTGAACAGATCTATGGAAAAAAAGAAGAAGTGAAACTCGTTAGCATGTCCCAGGTAGGTGCAATGAATATTTACAATACATGCATACGTTAATAATTTTTGGACGACTCCTTTTTGACAGAAAACTGAAGTGATAACACCATTAGAACCGCCAATTTTAGAAAGAGAGATTCACAATACCATACGGGTGAGAGACTCAGAATCCGAAATTCACCCTGGAAATAGACTTAAAACGGAACTAACGTATGATTCTCTTTTACAGTCGATGGCATTGTGCCAAATAGAAATTAATGATATCATGAGTACTAATGCTCAGCTTGTTGGGGGCTTTCAAAATCATTCTCTGGGTAAAGATGATTCGAATTCGATTGATCACAGCCGACTATAAAATTAACGAACCGATAAAGAATATACATTTAACTGGAGTTAATAACCGGTGTATTCTATTTATTTTATTTTTTTTAATTGTTATCATTACAAAATTGATCCTTCCATATTTAAATTGCATAGTTTAATGACAGTTATCTGAAGTTTTGAATTTATTTGATAATAAAGAAATCGAACTTATTATATAATGTGCAGAAACACAGAGAACACTATTTTTTGATATAAATCGTTAACTTTTTTTTAATACTATATGGTTTCCACAATCACAAAAACTGACAACAGCAACCAATGCCATGGAGTATGTTAAATTAGACGTTCTTCTTGGTCTTCTTCACGCTGCTTGCTGGACAAATCGAGGCATTCAGGCATTCACTGCATCTTGGATTCGTGGGAGTACAAATGGATTGGCCGAATCCAACAAGTAACTCATTGACATCTGTCCAATCCTCATATGGCAACCATTTTTCCAATGCGATGCGTGTTTGTTCCGGTTCTTTTGTTTCTTTTGGCACCCATTTCAAACGATTCGCAATACGATGAACATGAGTGTCGACTCCGATGCCAGTGACAATATTCCATGCAACACGCATACAAATATGCGCACATTTGGGTCCAATACCCTGTGTGAGATTCATACGTCATTAGAATGAAATTTAAGAAAACATTGAATTCAATGTAAACACAAAGCTACATACCGGTAGGCTAACAAGACCCTCCAGCGAATTGGGAATGTCCGAACCAAATTTATCAATCAATACTTGTGATGTTTTCTGAATATTCTTGGCTTTTGTCTTGTAAAAACCAACGGGATATAATAATTGTTCCAATTCGCTCGTGCTAGTTGCAATCATTTTTTCCGGAGTTAAACCATGGCGTTTCAGACGACTCATGGCCTCATAGGTAACAGAATCCTTTGTTTGACTTGATAACATCAATGCAACTAGATGATGGAATCGCTTGGTTTTTTCATCGGAATGTTCATCATAGCATTTATCACAGCCCATTGTGTCAACTGGAGCATTACGTTCCTTACGCATTTCACGTATATTGGCAAGCAATTGACGCCAATTGTTTGGTTCCCATTTTACTTGTTTCACTGGTGATGTTGATTCTTCACTGGTATCGGTTTCAGTTTTGAAAATTGGCTCGTCTTTGACTTTGCCGGCGCTTTTACCATTGTTGGGTGCACGTTTTTTACTTTGTTTTTTAATCGGCTCTTCTTTAACTTCATTCTTCACTTCGACCACCTTTTCATTTTCATCGTATTCAACTTTTATGTGTTTTCTCGTCGCACCTTTTGGCTCGATGGATTGATTTTTCTTTATCTTTGCAACCAATTCAGATGATGATGATGACGATGATGATGTTACGTTAGTTTCATTTGACTTTGATTTGAAACCAGCGACTGTTGCATTTTCAACGTTTTTACGATTGTTTCTGGTTCGTCCAGCGATCGGTGAAAAATATGGTGACAGTGTTGAAGATTGAGCCACCAATGAACTTTCCGTTGATTCAACTATTGCAGCCGCATTTTTGAGATTTTTAGTAGCTATTTTCGACAAATTTACTTTTCGACTCATTTTGAACACAAACATGCGAACGATACGATTCCTTACAATGTATACTATGACTTGATTCCTTTCAAACTAGTTTACGAACGAACTGTCAATTTTATGGCGCCACAATTGAAGTATAAAGTATTGAAAAATGTATTTATTTTTTATTTCCGATCTTCAATCGATATTTTTTCCTACAAATACGTTTAAAATGTCATTTGAAATTTCGACAAAAATATAAAATTCTGTAAATAAAAAATATGCCGACCTCACCCAGCGATTTTTTCGATATATTCGATATGCTTCTTGTGCGATGTATTTACTCTAAATGTTATGACATTAGTTTAAAATGTTTTTTTTTTTTTAATTTAGAATTCTTCAATAAGTAAATTTTTCGCTCACTTCAATGACAATCTATTAATGCAAAAACAAAAAAAAAATATTGAAAAAAATAAAAATTAAAAATCATATTCATCAAAGTTATCATATTTTTACGCATATAACAGTGATTGATTCTTTCTACTCTGCGTTTTTGGTATATATTTCTCAGATTGGATTTTATCTAAGAAAAACAAAATCAAAGTGTTCAAAGTGATGCCTTTATTTATTTTTGCGCAAACATATTTTCAATTGAATGCAATGGCAAAGAATTAAATTTTCAAATAATATATTTTGACTATGGCCACACTAATTGTCTGTTCGATATTTTCGAGATGTCAAATATTCTGTGAAAACGAACGAAAAAAGTCAGTCTCCATCTTAAAACATTTGTCACATTCGGAAGGTAAACTTTGGCTCAGGTTGAAACATTTCCAGAATTATTAAAAAGTAAGTTTAATTTCTCCAAATATTTTCAAAAAGATTTTTTGTGTTTTTTTTTTCGTTGTTCCGACGGTAAACCGTTGCTTGTTACTTTTGCTCAATATGATGAATTATGATTTTGGAAAAATGAGTATTTTGCGATGTTATATAATGTGGCCAATGTCATTTTGACTTTTCACTGAAATTTTTTTCTCTCCCAACATTGTAAATTAATAGTCGATTTTCTTGATTTTTAGATGGCCGGTGAAGTAGCATCTGCAAGCGCTAGCTTACCACGTCCCGTATTGAAAGGTCGTCATGCCCAATTCATGAAGAAACATTTGGCAATTGGTATTGGTATGTCACTAGTAAGTGTTTACCTCACCAAAGTGTTCGTCAATGACAAAAGAAAGGCTGCCTATGCCGAATACTACAAGTAAGAATTGTCCAGTGAATTCAGCTTTAAACTGAACGATCACATCAATGTGAACATTTTAAATATTAAATTGCAATTGTGTTTGGATCCATTTTCAGAAACTATGATATTGAGGAAAATTTCCATCGCATCCGTAAGCTTGGATGGTTCGACTCGTGCAGCGCCGATGATGATTAAATAATTTAATGCATATAGTTTCCATTTAGAAAACAACCAAACTTATCCAAAAAAATAAATAAACAAACAACACCGAAGCATTTAGCGATTCTGGTGGAACCGATAATCCAATCAACCATTGTGAAATGCATTAAATAAAGTCTTGTATTTGTTTGGCATTTATTGATTAAATCGATTTTGTTTCATTCCGAATAGTAATTTAAACCGTAATTTGGAGATGCAATTTAATGTGTCTCTTTGAAGAGAAACACTAATGGAAACAGTCGTATTATTAGCCAATATTGCGTCGAGTATGTACGTTTGGTGGACGCGTTAAGTACATTTTCCGAAGTACTTGGTTTATCATCGTGCAACCCAAGTACCTAAAAAATCATTGTATACTCTTTCGAACGGAAAATTTGTTTTCATTCTTTAGAATGATAAGCTATTTGTTGAATTTTTAATAAAATTCGATATTGACGATGAATTTTAATGCAAACAAATGTTATTATTTTTCATTTTATTTAATTTTTGACAACTCAGTTAAGTTGTACAAAATATAAAAATTGTTTGGAATGACAAAAAATAGTCCAGGATGAGTGACATCGGCATAAATTGGATCTGATTTCAGTTGTATTTGGATTCGGTACAAAACCGACAAAGAAATAGTATATTTCTTCACATTAACACATTCATTTTATAAATCATAGAAACCTGTGCACACATTGATATCATTCATCATTTGAAAATGTTCCATTCGGTTTGCACAAGCATACTCAAAAAATAAATAAATACTTAAATCCCGTATATTGTTCATGTCTATACAGCGAATAATAGTATTTAACAATACCAATTCACATCTACACAGTGCGCATGTCAGTTTCAATAAAAATGCAAATGGCGCCCGTTGTTATTGTTCGCACTCAATGAAACAAATTAGTCCTACAAAAAAAATCCATTTTTTGTGTTTTTTCCGTTTACTATCTGCGATTTTGAAGTTTGTGGATCGAAAAACTCAATCGAATATGTTGAAAATTGTGTTATTTTTGAATTGATTGTGTTTTTAATTCTGCATTTCATTTAATTTGATGACATTAAAGTGTGTCATGCAAATGGGGTAAGCACTCGCAACACACAAGAAATATATATATTTTTTATCGAGGCGAATACCATATTAAAGCGAAACAAGCGCAACAACAGCAACACCATCCGAAATATAGTTGTAGTGAGAATGTGCGCAATAAAAATGATTTTGAAAAAAAAACAAACAAAAAATGAAAAAATGTGTTATAAATGAAAAACGGAAAAAATTCCGACAAACGAACAAAAAAAATGTTGAAGAAAAAATTGAGTGTAGTTGAAGAGATTCCAAACCGTGGCAATGGCACACTCCCCATCATATATACACACTAAGACTGTAATATACCAAAATGGCTGCTTCGTCGTCAATCCTGTTTTATTGTTGCCCATTTCTTTTGCTCTTTCACAGTTTTTCTCATTTGAATTATGATTTTGAAATTATTTAATTCGCATCGACAAAGTAAACCAAAAATTTATTTAAAAAAAAATATTTAATTTTTTTTTATTTTATTCGTGTAATTGGATTCAGTGCAAGTACCATTCTTTGGCCGATCATGGATTGTTTTTTTTTTCTTCCTCTTCGGTCTTATCATTACCATGTATAAGACAATATTTTAAATCTTGAATTGAAAAATTTATGCATAGTGCAAAATAAAATGCAAACAAAAAATGAATTAAATTATCAACTAAGAATTAAAATCTACAAAATTAATGCATTCATGATTGCGTGAACTTTTTTTTGTCAAAAAAAGAAAATACCGTGTGTCAGTGCATGGAGTGAATAATACCAGTTTCAAGGAGCAGAGAGAAAAAAATATTCGAAAAAAAAAACGATGAACATAGAATTACGTGTGTTTTGTGTGTAATTTTTGATGGCACTCTGTCACACGCAATAAACATTGATTTTTACAATCTTCAAAATTCGTTGTTCTTTCAGTCGAAGCAGAAAGAGGACATTTATTGAAATCAATGCGATGACAAAATTTTCCATCGTCAAAATGAAAATCTGTCGTCAGTTTTTGATCGCAATTGCGATGAATGATTTTAAAATCGTAAATTGAAAGTGCGTGCGTGTGAGTGTGTATAAGACAAGGCAATTTTAATCCTATCAATCGACTTAAAATGTTTGCATCAAAGCGCATTTGAATGGCGCGATAAAGTGTTTTTTTTTTCACTAGACATGGTCTTTTTTATATGGCAATTTTCTGCCATTAAAGCACTTATTGCTTTTTTCCGTCATCTTTCTTTTGATTTTGTCATTGTCGGTGCAGTTCAGAGTAGGCAAACTGAAAAATCGTATCATGGCATTTACGCAGTGTGCATATAATGATGTATGTGAATGAGTGTGTGATAGCGCAAAAAAAAACCTAACTACACAACGAGTGAGTGAGAAAGAGAGATGCAGAGAAAATGCCCGTTGACTTGTTTCTAGTTCTACTGCCTGCCTGTATATTGTCATTTCATGTTTACCACAAACGGCGACAGACGTCTAAAAAAAGTTTGTCAGATGAAAGAATAGAAAAAAAAAACAACACACCGTGAGCTCGGAAAAAGTTGAATCGAATTCGAACTGCATGTATTATTGCCACATACATGGCAGTGGCGGGCAATAAGAGTACCAACAGTGGCAAAAACTCTCTCACAGTGATTATGTGTGTTGAGTACATTTTTATTTTTCTGTGCTCATAGATTCACAGAAAACGAGCAACACAACGAGCGAACGAGAGAGAGAACAGAACAGTAGCAGCAATAGCAAAAGAAAAGAGAAGAAACGAAAAAAAAAACACACAACAGTCAGTCATTTTCTGTGCTGTTGAAACGTTGACTCTCGGTCGTGCGGTGTGCAGCAGTAGTGTGTTGTTATAAAAAAATTACGTACACCATATTAACTGTACGAATACAACGAACCAAATAGAAATACATAGAAAGCGCGATCACCATTCTCATTCGATAAACACAGAGCAACATGCAGCGCGCGCGGCAGCACACATGATACAAAGCACATATTTACACATAAACTCTGATAGTGAGAACGGCAACAACAGTAGTCGCGTGAACTGCACCAAATACACACGTATATCATTTCGTATTAGCGATTTCGATAGGTTCGATTTTGTTCATTCTGTATTTTGCCACACAGTTGAAGTGAAGAAAGAAAGAAAAAAAATAAAACACACACACACACCTTACACACTGAATGAAAATATACATGAAGAAATAAAGAGAATGAAAAAAAAAATTGCCATGAATTGCCTTTATATGCCTATACGTTGCGTGTTTGCGCTGTAAATGTTCTTTCAAAAACTGGTTGACAGCAACACCAAAACTACTTTCATGATTTTGTTGTCCTCGCATTACACTGCATACATGAATTAAATCGGCCGATATATACAAAAACGTATAAATATCACAAGATTTTCTTCTTTGCTCGTTTTGGATGAACACACGCATTTAGGGAGAAAACAACGAGCACTGAGTGTAAAAGCAAAAGAAAAAAAAAACATTTAATAATTGTCAATGATGAGATTGTACGTAACTAAGTGTGTTCAATGGCCTATACGCGACTAAAGAAAGAACTATCAGAGAAAAAACGTCGCATTTCTTTTATTAAAAATGGTTTTTGCCTCGATAAACTGTTAAGAAAATTGAAAATATCCACCGTGAATTATTTCTAGATTGTTTTTACAACATTTTCATCGGCAATTGACAATTATACTAATCCAATGTTTTTTCTGTGTTTTTTTTTCTCTTAGATTTTGTTAGTTATTGTTCGTGCGCCAAATAATATTAATAACGAAATGGTTCCCAGGAAAAATAAAGTGGTACGTTAACCGGCGCAATTATTTTCCAAATTATTATCCATTTAAAAAAAAAATGTTTTCGTTTTTTCTTGTAAATAAACAATAAAGTTCTAATTGAACCAAGTTGACAACACGGACAACATAAATATCTTCAAATCAACATCCAAGAAGTGAACTCGAAACCAAAATAAGAAAACAAAGTGCATTGAATGTATAATAAAAAGTAAAAAAGGCCGTCGTTTCATTGTGAAGAGATCATAATTCAGTGAAATTGGCATATATTTGTAAGAAAACGGAAGAAGAAAACAGTGCATTATCCATTTGAAACTGATTAGAAAGATGCACACACAAAATGGCGGAAGATAGTGATGGTACGTTAAAAGCAGTTGTAATCTGTGAAGGCGACCTACATGATCCAGATTTTCCGCAAAAATTCCGCTCATTATTGGGTAGACTAAAGTCAATATTAGATCCACCGAAGCGACGAAAACGTTTTCTCAAAGTAGACAAGGTGAGTTTTCAATTGCAAATTCAAACAATTTGAGTAAAGAGAAAAGAGATTAATGTTTTGATTATGTATTTTAGGTTGAACCATGGAACAGTGTACGTGTTACACTTTCGATTCCAAAGGAGGCTGCTTCGAAATTGCGACAATTGGCAGCCGAAGGAAGTGCAGCTCTAAGAGCGCTTGGAATATTGTCTGTGCAACTCGAAGGCGATACTGTGATATCTTTACGTTTAGTGGGACAAGAAGAAATTGTTTTAAGGACAGAAAGCGGTAAGTACCCCTCCACTATTCAAATGACATGTTTCTCGTTTCAATTGGGCTCTAAATGTTCTTCGTTTGTATTTTTATGAATAGAAAATGCACCAGCCGTCAATGGTCAGAATCGGAATAGTGCAGCCGCCAATGATTTTACAAATTTACTTGCACACGTGCCTACACCACAGAACAATCAGCAGTCACAGCAAACCATATGTGCCGGAAGTGGAGAAGGACCGAGCGGTTTGTCGACGACGACGACCATTAAACAATCGCAAATCATTCGAATGAATTCGATTGATCCATCGCTAGGTGTAAATGGTCCATTGGATCCAAAGGCTATTTTTAAATCGCCAAATACAATATGTCCCATGGATGGTAAACTGCCAACGCCGGTGCCATCGAATATAATCGAAGCGCGTGAATATCCATTTGAGAGTATGACACAAGCACGTGTCATTCAAAGACGTGAAAATACGTTGGGTCAACAACAGATACAAAATCAACAACAACTACCACCACCATCACCACAGCAACAGCAGCAGCAGCTGCAGCAGCCGCAACTTATTCGACCACCATCGACAGATCAACAAGCACCACCACCGCCTCCATATCCGGGCGCATCGCCGACACGTAATGCCAATGTGAATATGATGAACACGCATATAGTCACAAATAAAATTGCGCTAAATCAACAAGCATCGACATCCGGAAATATTGCAATATCAAGCCCATTGCTTGTGAATCTATTGCAAACCGAATCAACATCGTCATCGTCGTCAACAAATGCACCAAAAACAATGATTGCCGCAAATGCGCCAACAACAATTATGAAAAATGGCCAAGAAATCGTAATACTGAGCAATAATTCGATGCCACCGCATCCAATGCAACAAGTAAATCATACACAGAACTTTGTAATTGCAAATAGCAGTGGCACGGACTTAGGTTTTAATAAATGTATAGTTAATAAGCAAACGATACAATCGCCAAGCCCACACCATCAAATGCGTGTGCAACAACAATTTGTAAATGTGTCGACCGTTCAGTCTGTTCAATCGACAATCAATGAGTCAATGCAGCAATCACAACAACAGCAGCAGCAGCAACAACAACAACAAACTCTAATACATAGCAACAATAATAGCGGTAAAGGTGTGTTGATTTTGCTTAAGATTCGGCGTGATCTTTCTTTTTCTAAAATATTCGACATTTCATTCTAATCAAAAAATTTATTTATCTTTTTTGTGTGACACAGATAATAACAGTAATAGCGAAAGAAATCTAAACAATAGTAATGTATTAAGCACAGTGCCACAACAAGCAAATAGTATCGTAATCGCTGGTAATGCTACTACAGTGCCTTCGACAATAAATAGCGTGAACAAAATTCAATCGAGATATCCTCAGCAGCAACAGCATCAAGCGATACCACCTCAATTCCAACAACAATTTGCAAATCAATCACAAATCAGAGCCACCATGATATCTGCTCAAAATGCCAATCAATCACCACAAAATCATCATCCAAATCAACAGGTGAACTATTTCAAATTTTTATATTTATATTGTCGCCCATTAAATCACGCACAACTAACTGGTTTGAATTGGTTTTCCGTCTTTTTTTCTTTGTTTTTTTTTCTGAATTTTATTTATAGCCAATGGCAAATATGATATCGATACCACCTAATCAAATGAATACATCACCACAAACAATACCCGCTCAAGTTGTATTACAGAAGCAACAACAAATACGTGCTATGCATCCAAATATGATTGCTCAACAGCAGCAACAGCAACAAATGATCGGTGCCAATATTCATCATCAGGTTGAATTCCGCCAACCGGCGCCAGCAACAAATGTTGTTCTACAGCAAAACCAAATACAACCAAATCAGATGCAACAGTTTCAGCAGGTAATTTAATATACATATAAAAGCGGTGTCTACGATGTAAAATATATAAATAGAATTCGTTTGACTAAGTGTAAATATTTGTTTGTTTTTTTCTGCTCCAACCCTCCAATAATCGCAGCAATCTCCACATATGATGCAGCAGCCGCAGATAATAGCTGGAAATTCAATACAATTTAATACGCCAATGGGATCTCAACAATCACAACAGCAACAACAAACACAGCCACAGCAAATGGATCAATCAACATTTAATCCACGATGGCCGTTAAAACCGATGGATTCGGCAACGCAATCCAGTTTTCAAGAATTCACGCGATATCAAATGCAATACAATTTAAGTCAGCAACAACAACAAACGGCACCCGAAGATTCACTAGCTGATCAATTGGCCGATTTGGATGAAATAACACGCACCGATTTAGAATCATTGTTGCCCAGTATAAATGATACCGATTTAGACTCAGCTTTAGGTTTAGATATGAAAGCGCCTTTAGAATCGTTACTCGATGCAAAAGATTTGGAATTGGATCTAATCGATGAGACTATGGATACAACAGCATCGACAAATGTTCTTGGTGGAACTGGTATTCCATCGACAAATGTCACAAACAATCAAATCGTATGCATGCCGCCACAACAAAATCCAAATATGATGCCATTTCAGCAAAATCAATCAAAAATTCCAATGCAACAGCAACAGCAACATCATCAACAAACGGTCGAAATGAATATTAATCATTTTCGAGCAGCGACGACAATGGATAAACGACCCTTAAATCCTCAACATCAAATGCAACAGCAACAGCAACAACAACAAACCAATATGTTGAACCCATCCATGAACGCACCACAACATCATCCATCGATGCTTGGAAATATGCAAAAAACACCGCATTCGCATCCGCATCCGCATCATCAATTGATTCATGCGCAACATAAATTCGAGCAAAAAATGAAACAACCGATTGCTGGAAAGGAAAAGCAGGTGCTTATAAACCCATTGACTGGTGTACTCGAACCGATTCCATCGGAGGAGAGTGGCGATGAGCTTGCTACAACTGATGGTGGACTTGCATCGTTCAATGAATTCAATTTGACGACATCAATAGCGACACCAACACAAATAACAACAGCAACAACATCCAGTTTAATGTATTCAGATGATGATAATTCATGCAGTACATTCTCAAAAACATCCGATCACAGTGATAACGATCGTTCCAGCCTTTCGGAATATTCGGGCAAAGGCAAAAATGCAGGCAAACGAAAAGAGAAAAAAGAAGTTGTGAAAAAGCCGAAAATTCCAAAAGAAAAAACCCCAAAAGGTTCATTGCTTAAGGAAAAACTGCAGCAAGGCTTGAAAGAGAAAATTAGCAAAAACAAAGAAAAAATTAAAGCAAAAAATTTGCCATCGCCCATCATTTCGAATGCGACCATTGCTGAAATGAGTGACAAAAGTAATCCTGAAAAAATTAAACTACGCTTGAAATTAGAAAAATCCGAACCAGTGACACCAGCATATAAAGTCGATGTGAGTTTTGGTGATAATTTAAAACGTACGCCAAACGTATCGAATCCGGCCGGTTCATCAACATCACACAACACATCTTTGTCGGCATCAAATAGTCCAATGAATAGCACACTAACGCCGGGAAGTGAAGAATTACGTGTGCCCCCATTGCACATTAGTTTACGCGGACGAAATTCGGTTGTTATTAAAAATTCGAAAAAAGGCCGAAAGAAATCTCAAAGCGGTGTCGAAGATGATGATAAAAAATCAAGCAGTAAAAAGTCATCGTTGAGCAATGCAGCGAATCCAAGTACACCAAATATTGATGCGACTCAACTTACAAACAATACAAATCGTTTACATCACACTACCACCAATGACGATTCAACAAATTTCAATACAAATACACCGTCAAATGCAATGGATCATTTTGTTGATAGCAGTAGAGTTGGAACATTGCTTGAAGACGGAACCGCCAATCAAACGGAGAAAATGGATCAGTCAAAACAGTCAAATCAGTCGGAAGCAACGAAACGATTGAGTGGTGATTTAAATGCTTCAACAAATGGACCAATTCAAGCAGAAAAGAAGCGTCGATTAAGTCAAAACTCAGTTTCAACGATAGCCGGCAGTGGTCAAGAGATGCCAATATCATCAATTACCGTTGGCACAACATTGGTGACATCGAGAAGCTCAATGATGCCAATGACGGACAACTCCGTTGAGTCTATCAGAGAGGCAATCGGTTCAACGAATGTTGGTACATTGAAACATTCATCGTTAACACCGTCAAAAGTACAAAAAAGCACCAATAATAATAACAATAGTTTAACTTTGAACAAAGCGAACAAATTAAAGACCAAATCACTGATCACTCTGCTCAAACATCAACAACAGCAACAGCAATCGGATCAATCGATTGGAGCCAATCAAAGTATATCGGTAGTCGATAAACTGAAGCCAAATGATGTTGCGCCCCAAGATGCGATCGCAGAACGGGATGGCGGGAATGTTGATGAAGAACATCAAAACAAGCAAAAATTTCGTGAATCAATTGAAAGTGAAGACAATTCAAAATCGAAAAACAGTCAAATTGAATTGAATTCAAATGCCGTCAATAACACCGATGACAAATGCTTGGAAAAGATAAAAAGTACTCAAAATGATGCGAAAACCGACGTGATTGAAGTGAATAACATCGGAAACGGAAATGATTCTGGTCAAAAGTTAACATCAAACTCATCAAATACAGCAATCTCATCGCCATTTGTAAATCAAACGATTGAGGCCAAAGACTCACCACGCCGCGATATCATTGATGGAATAATAAATGCATCACAAGCCATACGCTGTTCACCAGCATCTCAAGCGCAAGGTGAAGACAGCGGAATCGAATCAATGGATGCGCTATCCGAAAAAAGTCCACATCAAACGGCAAGTCCACACCAAACAGCCAGTCCACATCAAACGGCCAGTCCACAAACAAATTACGTAAAACATCTGGACAGTCCCAAGGAAACGTCGCCCTCAAAAACGTCGCCCGTCGACAGTGGCAATGGCAATGACAACGGTAGTGGTAATGTTGCACTGCGCGGTGAAAACATATCGGCCGAAAAGTATTCAAATATCGAAGCCGCATTGGCCAAAATGGAAGGTCTGAATGAGTTTCTAACAAGTGACTGTGATAAAAATTCTGTTGAAGTCGATACGACGTGCGACAGTCAAAAGATGAATGGTGAACATTCAACGTTGGAAAATGAGAACGCAGCTGAACTTCTGAACGATCTCGTCGAATCGAAAAAAAATCAAATCCTCTTGGCCGCACTTAACGAAGGCGATGATTCGTTGAACAAAAACACTGACAAAGATATCGTGTCGAACATTGATTCAAATGAAGTGTGCGAAAATAAGGATTTAAATGAAAATCAAACGACCATCGAAATAGAAACAAAAAATAATGTTGACGAAATGCCAACCAAACCGATCGATGATGCCAATGAGGAAAAGACAAAAAACACTTCAAACGAAAAACAAACCGTTGAATCAAATGCCAACCCTGTGGAACCATTCAAACAAGAGCCAATGCCACAAATTGAGAATTCGACAGAGAAAATTGATTCAGATGCAATAGATACGAAAGAAAATGAAACAATCGTACCAGAATCAAGTGAATGTTTATCGGATTTCGATCAAACTGTTTCGAATATTCAGTACAATGAAATGGATATGAATCCAAAATCCGAGCCAGCTAAATCGGAAGAAGACAAAGAGATTGAGGATACAATGAAGGCCATGGAAGTCGATTCAAATGAGTCCAAAGTATTGCAACAATTATCCATTGAAATTCCATCCAATGAGAATGACATTGCACAACGCGTACGAACGCGTGCCAGTAGTAAATTGGAAAGTCCATTGGATGCATTAAAACAATCACCATCAGATTCACCGGCCGGTTCAACGAGATTCGTGAAAGCGACAAAACGAAAACGTCACGAATCGGAGAGTTCAACACAATCGAATGTAAGTGATGACATGCCGATCCGTGCAAAAAAACCGCGAAAAAATTGGTGATACAACATCAAGTTCAACATCGTCAACATCATCGTCGCCGACAAATGTTCGATCCAGCGGTGGACAATTAAAAGAAATGATTTTGGTTAGCACAATGACCACATCCAATTCCAATTATAATAACGATTCGGAAAATATGATCATTCGAAAATCAGAGGATTCATCCGATTCAGATGAGCCGCTGATTGAAGTAGCCGGAAAAGTACGTAATGCCAAAATGTGCAAAGTTATTCTTGAATCGGTCATGCTAAAAAATCATCATAAACCATCGATTGGTAGCGTTGTTGGTGATCAACCAATTGCCAGCACAAATCATGTATCTCATTCCAGTAACGATGGTCAATTGAAACAAAATCAAGTACCAAAAAGTGGCGACGAAAAAAGTAGCACGATGGGCACACGTCGAAGCGTACGAATGAATACGGGAACCAAAGCGTCGAAAGTAACCAACAATCAAAACAGTCATAGTGTTAGTGCGAATTCAATTGAAAATCATAATGATGCTCGTAAAAGTGGAAACGGTACAACGGCCAATTCAATCAATAACATCGAATCAACGTCTTCAATGGATGCACGACGCAAAACTCGTAGCACAGGTAACATGATCATTTCACATATATACTGTTTATTTTCACATAATATCAATTTTGATATTGAATTGTTTCTTTGTGATTTGATACAAATCATAGGCTTGGACACAATTGGCGGCGAAGGACGAAGAAGGCGACTGTCTCGTGATAGCAAGTGACACAGAGCATGCGTCTCCGATGGCCAAATGGACATTGATGAGACGCATTTGATTTCAAACGATGAATATTATGAGGTATCACTCAGCAATAGTGATGATAATGAAAATTCCATTCATTTCATCGACACCAATCATGAATTCGAGTGCATTGAAGAAGATGACACATTGGAAGAGCAACAACAAACCAATCATGTTGAGAACTATTACACCATTGACATTGAAGATGATTTTGACACCGAAACCGATTTTGAAAAGGATTCACTAATCGCATGAAACAATAATTTCAGTCTATGTACATTTCAAAGTAAAACTACATATAAATCAGTGACATAGAGAGTACATATTATATATTGTCGTTGTGCAAACGATATGCACATTTATTTGAGAAAAAAAAAAAACGAAAAATATATGATATGATAAAACATTTGTACTTGCTTTACACAATAAAAAAAAGTAAACAAAATGTGAGAAAAATAATGAAATGACAACAAATAAAAATACTTAAGTGACATTAAATTGTGGACTATGAACAATTTAAAGGGCGGAAAAGTCAAGTTGAAAACAGCTAAATTGCATGAAACATAAAAAAACCTGGCTGCAAATATCGTTATACTATAAGGACAAATAATTGTTGGTTGTCATTTGAAAATGATGACAAGATAATGAAATAAAAGAAAAATGAAAATACATAATAATATATACCCAAGAGAGAAATAAAAAGAAATACAAAAGATCATTTATCTACATAGAATTATAGAAGAGAGAAAACAACAACACATAAATTTACTGCAACAGTAAACACAAACATTTGAGATATGAAAAATAAATAAATAAATGACTAAATACTAAGAGAAATTAAATAAAAACAAAATGAAAAGAAAAAATATTATTATGCAAGTTATAAGGATTAACAATAAATTTAAAATGTTTTTATTAAGATATAACATATAGAGAAAAAGTGTCTTATATATGTAGAGGAGAACGATGAAGGAGATAAAAATGAATAATTATGATGATTAATAGCAAAATGAACACACAGATGCTTAATTGTAATAGCATACAATACACTTTAAAACAAAACAGAACAAAAAAGAATATTAAATTCATAATATTTTTTTATATTTGCTGGTCGTGGAATAAGAGGGAAGCAAAACAAAACATACAAATACAGATTATATGGAAAGTTCAGTGGAAAATTCAAATCATACACACAAAAACACATATACAACACAAATGTTCCACACATCAATCGGCAAATAGATGACAAATATTACTGTTTTCAAAGACATCAACAAGCAAGTTAATTACACACACAAAAACACACACACACACAGAAAATAAATTAAAACGTGTTCATAGACAGATTAGCATGTTAACACATTTAGGATATTTTGCCCCGGCAAAGCCAATCCACATTCATTAAAATACAATTCGCTTACAAAATTACGGATCTTTTCTTTCGATGCTTCAGACGGAACATTCAGTTTTTCATTCAGTTTCAGATTTATTTCATTTGCGTTGCAGAAATCTCAAATCGAAAGTTTCGATTATCACCAGAAATTCACCGAAAAATGTAGAATTTATATATTTTGTGGATATCTTGGTGAAAATGTTGATTCAAACCATTCTTTTAATTTATTCGCCAAAAAGCTGCTCACTTCTATAAGCTTTTTTAAAAATTAGATTCCACCTTCTAATTTTCGAACGTCCTCGAGAATTGATGAGTATTCAATAGGAAATTTTCATAAATAATGGGTGAACGCCCCGGAGATCTGGAGTAGCTTTTAAGTGGTGTAAAAAGTACAATAAACGCAGATGCATTTTATACACACATAAATATAAAAAATGGAATAATTTTGTTTTGTTTTCGAATCTATCGCATATTCATTCTCTCTTTCTCTATTTCTATCTCACTTTCAACCACTTATTCTTATCTGTTTTAAACAAACAACAGGCATAGTGCAAATATATTCGAGTATCGTAGATTTATAGCTGTACTAAATTTATTTTTTGCACCCATAAAAAAGCACACAGACAGACAAACACGTACACACCAAATACAAATCTGAAGCTTGAACAAAGGAAACTAACAATGAAAACCACAAAACAAATAAAGTATTTAGAATGAAATGAAAACAAAACGAAAATGAAACAAAACAGTGTGGCTTTTTATCTAAGAAATCTACACTGATGGTAATTGAATTTCCCAATAAAGAATCCCTCTTGATACACACTGGCCTTTGAGCAATCCAATAAACAGAGTATTGCATTGTCAGACTGTAGTCCAAGACTGATTACGGACACAATATTTAAATAAATAAATGAAGAAAAATTAATGTGAAACAAAATGACAAATATATATATATATATATGTAGATAGAGTGTGGTAGTAATAATTATGGAACAGCACGTAGAAAGAGACATTAATTGTTAATTGAAACAAATAAACTCTATTAAAAATGGAACGCTCACACACAAACAAACAAATAGAAAATACAAAACCACACACGCCGATACATTTATACCCTTTAGTTTGTCTATTTTATTCGTTTAGTTTGTATTTTACGTTTTCTCTCTTTTTTACTTTAATTTTCACAGAAAATTAAATTTTTTCATCGCAAACAAAGCATTCATTTGAGATGTTGTAATTTACTGCAAACAAATAGCAACAAGAACAGATAAAAAAAACAAGTTTCTTATTATTATATTATCATCATAATCATTAACTTTAAAGATTATTATTGAAAATTATATATATTAAATGAAAGTTTTACGAAAAACATTATTTAAAACGATTCATGTGCTTTATTTTTCTTCTTCGGTTTATTTTGTTTTGCAAAAGGATGATGAACTTTACAGAAAATATTGTTCTTTTCTAACGGTAATATATATATATGTATGAATGATTTAACGAGAATGTATTTAAGGCGATGATAGTATGATGAGCATCAATTGCTGACGTGGAGCTGCAGCATGTTAAGAGTTCATTTGTGATTGTAAGCACTCATCTAAATGCTGATTGATTTGATTGACATCGATTGGGACGTTGCACACAGGACATGGATGTTTTTCAGGTACGGGGACAGGTACGGAACTGCTGTTGCTTCCATCATCAAGTGTAATTGTTTCGATATCGTCGTTATCTCGTGAATGTTGTCTTATAACCGATGTTCGACGCTGACGCTCATCATTTGCCAATTCATTCATTATTCGATTATTGTATTCTCGCGACTCGTGTGTGTCGGTGTTCAAACGATCGATTTGCTCTTGGGTATAGCCTGCTTTTAGCAATAGTTCTCTTTCGCGTTCATTTGTCGAAGTTTGCGAAGACTGACTGGTCGATGGTTTTGCGTGATTCTTGTAAAATGGCATTGGTTTCGAATTATTGCCACGTTTTTTCGGATCAATTTTCACTGTAATTCCATTGCAGCCTTCCAGATGCGATGATAATTCATCCCTAGCCATTCGATCCTCACATATTGGACATTGAATTATTTCCATATTTGGATTACCAACATTCTCCGGATCTGACATGATAACGTTGTTGATATTGTTGAATTCAGTCATTAAAGTATCGGTATCTGAGTAAAGAAAAAAAAGCACATTAAAATTTATAATTTCAACTCATTTTGACACGACACAGACGTGCATTCAAACTAACCAAATAGATCGGAAATAACATTGTTATCGGTTAATAAATCTAAGCTTTCATTCATCGTGTCGTCGAACTCATCATCAATCATTTCGATATTTTCATCCTCTTCACCCAAATCATCCAGAAGTTCCATTTTGATTGTGACGTTTGGCTTTGCATCATGTGTGGCATCGCGTGCAACAGTATTGTTATCGACATCTGGTTGATAACCATCGTTGCTTCCATCATCTATCTCAATCACTTCATTTTTTACCGAATGAATTAGGATATCATCATCGATTTCTTCCCTAAATTCAGCGATGAAATTAATATAATAATTTTTCATTTTAATTTGATGATTTTTTTTTTATCATATCTTACCATGCACTCGACGCTTCCGTCACTTTTGTTTTGTTTTTTGTTTGTCTATGGTCGGTTGATGTTGACGCTTGATTCGCTGGTGGTTTATTGTCATTAAATTTATTTGCCCAAACATTGCGAATATTTTCCGATGGTGAGGCAGACGATAGTGATTTATTTGTTGTGGATCCGAGTTGAAAACCGCCCGAACTGAATGTCGGTCGTCGAATAACACTTGACTGTGAACCCGAATCATTTAAATCACGGAATCCAACAACATTTCGCAAATTACCACCAGCCGCTGCATCTGAAACGGTGCTCAGAACGCTGCCCGTATTTGAATTATCCGAAACAGTTGTGAACGTTCGATTTTTGGCAGTTGGTTTGAGTACGACGGTACCACCACCATTCATTTTTGTATATCCGCCACCTTTGGCCGTATTCGATGTTGTTTTCGGTTCATTTGTATTTGTTTGCGATGAATTTAACCAGTTGGTTATTTTTGGTAGGCGATTTTCATCAATTTTCGATTTCTTTGCTTTTGTCTTTGGCTCTGGTTCTGATACTTTATGGAATGTACCCCCACATGTTTCATGATGTTTTGCCCACCAATTATCATTTGGACCCGGTGCTCGATTCGATGTACGTTTGACCCAACCATAAAATGGCTTACGATGTTGACAAATGCCATTACATCGCCAAATGTGTGTCTTGTACAATGCAACTTCATCATGGAATGTATGATAGACGGTAATGTTTGTGCCAGCAACTCGATTTATCAATTCCATTTTTTCTTTGAATTTTGGCCCATGACCGCCATTTCCTTCACGGATATTTTTGATAAAGAGATCGGCATGTATCATTTCGTGCTATTTGAAAAATACAGAAAATAAATCAATCAATAAAAAAACCTATTTAACGGATTTTTTCGGACGACGTGTATGCTGACATAACAATGGTGTGAATGTTTGAAATGATTTAAAATGTTCATATTCATGGCTGTGATATTTTTTGTTTTTAGTTTAAATTCATTTCACACAATGACACCAGTGTTATGTCCATAATATAAACATCGTCCAAGCGAAGAGATGCGTTAAGTAGGTGCTACTTTCTTATTTACTGACTCAAACTGTCACATATAAACAGTGGACATACTATTCAACACAATTCGTCTTACCAGCATTGTTTGTATCAAATCCCGTCGGCTACGTAGTTTCAAAAGTGGTTCGCTGAGTCGAATGATAATTGATTTTCCCAAACCATTGCTGCGTTGATAGCAAATTCCCGCACATTGATACATGCGTTTACTCCATTCAAGTTCGACACATTGCAATTTGCCACCAAAAAATTTAATGTCAAACGCACCGAATAATGAATAGATGTCCGGAATCGGGTCAATCGTCTCCCATTCGGGATGAACAAGATTTTGAGTTGCATTCAAATTGTTATCATCGTATTCGTTCTTTCGTTTATTGGGACGATCTACCGTGGGCCACTAAATAACAATGGAAAGATTTGAAAAAGTGTATGCACCAAACACGTTTATGCAATAGTCAATAGCCAAAAAATAGCTCAATTTTAAAAGAAAACGTACCTCATTTGCTTCTGCTTCATCTAGCGCATCGAATTCATTTTGTAATTTCAATGCAAGAAGATAATCCTCGTCGTGTGACATTTTGGTTGAATTTAAATCATTCTCTCGGTGCTGGTGGTGATTGTGTTTGATGCAATTCGATTTGACGTAAACTTGTACAATTTATGAGGTTATGTCGGATGTTTGAAAACAAAACAAAAACATATCATGACACACGATTCGCGCAGAATTAAAGTTGCAAATATCACGCTAGATGGCGATTTTTTTGGCGCGAATCATTATAAACAAACAAATCAAGCATTGTTTGTACATATGAGATTTTAGATTTATCACTTGCCAAGAAAAAATGATACTCAATGAAAGACACATAGTTTGGTATAGTTTAATTTTCTTTTTAATGGTTTCATGTTGACTTGTTTTTGATATTACATAGGTTGCTACAATTTATTTTGAAGTTCTACAGAAAAATAGTTGGTTTTTGTTTTGTCTACGGTGTGATCTATAACAATAATAATTTTTTATGGATTTTATTGTGAAAATAGCAAAAATATATGTGTATGATTGATATATATCTCCTACTTCATGCATTTGTGTGTATATATTGCTGTTCACAATGTTCTGAATATGATTGTTGAATATATTTATGGTTTTTTAATGACTTTCCATTTAAAAACTATTTCATTCCATACATTTTTTTGTTTTGAAACACTGAAGACAATTCGATTTGATTCGATGTGACTTTACTTCATCAATTTCATCACTTTTTTTTTAATTCTCATATATAAAGTATTTTCCTTATGCAAAATTACATGCTTTCCATGGATATCGACAATAATTAATCAATCATTTCTATGGTCCTTGCTCATCTTAAGGCGTACAATTGTTCCATCTTATAATAGTTTTCTATGTAAAAATATACATTGTCAATAATGCTTAATAAATATATGTATAATAGAGACTTAAACATTTTGGAGAAAGAATTATATCTACATTTGTTAAATGTAGTGCGGATATATTGGTAAGACAACTAAAATCACATTACGATTGTTGCAATTGAATCAAAATTATTTGAACAGAAATTTCAAATTTAAATGAACAAAATTGTGCTGCAATTTTATCTATATATAAGGAAGAAATTAATTCGAAGCACTTAAGATCAGGCAAATTGTTTCATTTGTCATACATTTTTCCATCTTAATTCAAAACAATCTCAGGTGAATATGATTAATGATTATAATTATAAAGCGTGCAATAGATTCAAAAATGTCTTTTTTTTTTAATTTCACAAGCTAAATAGAATATATATTTAGATTTTTTATAGGAAATGTTCTACTAACAAGTGCATTTAGATTTTCAAAAAGGAATTTTGCATATGAACTGATTAAATGTCATAGTTTTTATACTGATTTTTTTCATCTAGTAATCTACGTGTGAAAATTGAACGTGATTAAAGTAGTAGTTGGGTTTTTTTTTCATGTAAATAAACGGAAAATTATCGGAAACAATGGAACATGAATTGAATGGCAGCGTTTTTATGAAATTTATAAAATGAAAAGCCGGTAAAACAATGTTCGGTTTGAAATCAACTTAAAACGAAAGAAGTAATAAAATTACATACAATATTAAATGACCAGAAACATGGAGTTTGAAGTGTTTTGCGATTTGTTTTCAAAACGAAATCCCACACGTATCACTTATTTTTCATATCAACGATTGGTTATCGCTTTTAAAATGTGTACGAATAACTGATATGATCTAGTAGAAGTGAATCTCGAATCTTAATATAATAGATGCATTCACATCAAAGTATATATTGCTCAATAGTAGAGTTAATCTCATTTGTGAATTGGTTTGTTTAATGTGGGTGTGTGTGTCTGTGTCTGTGTTAAGAATAAAACGTGATAGACGACTAATATAGCCGTCAGTTGAAGATCGTTGTTTCATTTTTCTAACTAAATGTTGTTTTGTTTTGTTTACGTCAAATAGAAATATAAACGACTGGCGGAAGAAATCTGAGTTTTAAGTCGAGTTTTTATCCTATACATAATAATAATAGTAAAATTGTAAATTAAATCGCCATCAAAATAGTAAATATACTTTACATAAAATCTTTTTTTTTGTTTAAATTTCGAAAAATAATAATATACACTTAAAAATTCCAATTCCCCCCCATCGTTTAAATAAATGCTCACATTTCATACATTCATGATTTTTCTTCACTCGCACCGACCATTTACAATTTTAAATTCGAAATACATATCATGCATATTGGGTGTATCGATTAATTTTAAAGGATTGATAAGAGATAGCGTAACCTGAAATTATGTGTAGCTTGACAGGTGAATCCAATTGCATTTTATATATGTGATATTTGCCAATCTAATTCAGAGCAGAAAGATTTATTTTTGACACAGTGTCATTATTTTCTGATCGATTCAAAATGAGTGATGAAAAAGTGTTTTTCTGTCTGGCCCTCCTTTGGTTTAATTTTTTCACTTTAAATAAAGTGATAATACATCTAAATGTTATAAAATGTTGCAGATGAAGAGACCTCTCAATCGCCACAGAGAATGACGAATTTGGTGAAAAAGAAGTGGTGAATTTGTTGGAAAACTGTGAACTCACCAAAAAAATTTGAATGATGGGCTATTGGCGTTTTTTATTCGATAAAGATGCATGAAAATGCATCAGAAAACATCAGAAGCATTAAATATATGCGAATCAATCGTTTTAAGACATTTATAATGAGGTAAGACCAAAGTAATTGTGTGCCACACCAGCTGAATCCAAAACTAGTTGTAAGACGTTTTTTCAAATTTTGCCACAATGTTTCAAAAATAGGAAATAAAGGAATCTTTGTATTGTATTATAACTGGAAGTGAAGAGGGCATCTGCTACGATAACCCCAGGCATAAAAATAAGGGTTGAATCCCACACAATCATCAAAAGCTACAGCATAGCAGGATTTTGAATGTTTCTCGGTAATGCTCATTATTTGGTGGGGATAAGGTGGTTTGGTGTATAATGAGCTGCTGAAACAGGGTGAAACAGTCACGGGGGATCGGCATCGATTACAACCAATACGTTTGAGCGGAGTACTGAGAGAAAAATTGAAAAAAACTGCGACAAGAAATAGTCGAAGGATTTATCAAAATTTGACATATTTCAAACATCGCAAAAAAAAGATAGGGGACTCTGGTCGGGATGAGCTTGATCAACCCACGTACTCTCCAGACCTGACTCCTTCTGATTACCACTTGTTCCGATCGATGAAAATCAGCCTGTTCGAAGAACACATTCAAAATTATGAAAAAGCGCGAAATTGGATCGATGAATGGATAGCTTCAAAAGATGAGGAATTCTTTCGACGCGGAATCGACAAGCTACCAAGAAGATGGGCGGAAGTCATAGCCAACGATGGGCAATACATTGGTTAAAAAATATTGTACAGTTGTTTTTAAATAAATGTATCTTTTCACACAAAAATCCTTTAAAATTAATCAATACACCCAATATATCAATTACAGTTCATCAGTGGATATTTAAGCCAATTGGAAGTGCCGTGACAAATGGCAAGATTCTGGTACAATGTTTTGTTGTTGGTTTAATATTCTCGAAAAATGATGTGAAACTCTAGCAAATAATAATAATAATAAATCAAATAGCCTGCCAATTTGTGGTTGATTGTGTCTTGGTTGAAAATCACATTCTACAGTATAATTTCATTGCTGCCGGATAATTTATCGAAACGTGGATGAATGACAATATTATTGCTGTCAATCGAATCCGTTTGCTTCCGTACGGTGGTCTTAATTTTTTGCTTGCCATTTATTGTATTTGTACAACGTGTGATGGTTTGTTGAATAAGCAAGTTAAGATCGATGGCTGGCCAAGTGACCAGCGTACCACTTCGTCATAAAGCCGTTTTAACATGTTCATCTTTTTCATTGTCATGATGCAATTGAATATCATTCTCTGATACCATTTCGTTGTCATAGTCGTCGTCGACTTGTTGTTCGTCGTCGTCGTCGCCTTTGGATGGAATGAACATTATATCAATTTTATGTGAATCTTTATCAATTGACGTATTGGCTTTTTCAAAATCGTCCGGCATTTCAATCGGTTTGGCTAATGATAATGAAGATTTGCGTGACGTCATCGATATGGTGTCACTGTGATTTTGTGGCTGAAGCTGAGTTAATTTATTATTTGGATCATGTGATTTGTCATCGGTTTCGCTTTTTGGATGAAGTGATATATGAATAATGTTTTTATCATTTTCATTTGAACTTGATTGATTTGCATTGCATTGGACATCGGTCGATGATTGTTGCGGTTGTTGTTGCTGCTGCTGAGCTTGATGGGGGGCAAATTGCTAGTCTCCTCGGTGCATATTTTGTGGTTCAGTATTTTTACGATACAATAATACTTGAAGTAAAATTGCCAAGTCCAAACTGACCTATTTTATCAAACCAAACGAATGAAAAAGCATTAAATAAACTTCAAAGATAAAGAAACACCTAAAAATAGTTGCTTACTTGTAAGGTACCGCAAATCCAAAACTGATTTGGCGCATTTCTGATGATAAAATATCCCGTTTTAAACATATCACCGACAGTCCACAGTAAAACCATCATTATGGACATGCCTTGCGTTGATTTATTTTTAAAATTTCGTAGAAATTGCGGCGCACCTGCGGAAAATATAAATAAATGTTTAAATTTATTGATTTTCTTCGGGAAGTTCCGACGAATCGTATAAGTGATTTTTACGAATAGGAGAATGGCATCCCCAGTTATACATACCTAACATGGCTTCTATGAATACAGCAAAGAATCCAACTGTTTCCATAAACTCTTTGAATGGCAGCATAAAGTATGTTATGATCGCTCCAACTAACCATAAAGCGAGCATAAAATCCAAATATGATTGGAAATCTGTCCATTGCCAAAAGTACTTTGGATCGAAATCTAAGTAAGGGAAAAGTATTGAATATCAATTATGTGATAGTCACAGGTGAATTCACATTTCAAAAAAATCAAAGGAAAGAAAAAAATTTCAACAAAAACTTCGTCACCTACAGACATTAGGTTTGAGCTATGGATATAGCGGATGCTATTCATAGGCGCTATGTAACTCCTTTTAATGCGTTTGTGCATGTTGTGCGTTATTTTCTACATCTCGAGAGAGCTCTCTCGTACTCACATTCAAATGTACAAAAGAATAGTAGGCTATCATATTCCTACTCAGTGTTACACACAGCACACGAATTAAATAGCGCCTATGAAATAGCAGCCACTATATGCATAGCTCGAGCCTCTGATAGTCAAATGTAAAAGAAAATTAATCAAACTCATAAATTGATCTGAAAATGCATGCAAGTGAACTGAATCAATTGATCAAACATTACATTTTAGCCCCAAGTAATTTTGAGGTCGATAAATAATGTAGTAAATCAGTGTTAATTGCCACGTTTCCATATAAAATATATATAGTAATAACCACCTTCCAGTGACATTTGATTCGAGTAACGTACAATCCAATTATCGAACAAATAATCAATAATTCAATTTCAATATGTTCTTGTATGACACAGTAATTGTGTTATGGCTTTTTTTCAGTTGGTGTCTATCAGCGCTTAACAGCGCGGGTCCTTTGGCGCCATTCACACAATATCAGATTATTGGCCAATAGCCACCCCATGATTTTGATCTAATAATTTATTCAGTTTACTTGACCAAGTTCAACTTAATCGACATACTTTTTTGTTATTTCTAAAAGCATTAACAGATTAAAATGAAAATGAAAAATTAATGCATTTAACCATCCAATTTTCATTGAAATTAATATTTAAAACGTTTAAATTGGAAAAGTTCTTATTGAGCAGTAATCATGCCTCCCCATGGCATTTTGTTCTTATTATTCATAAACATTGATGGCTTCATTTTCTTCAAAAGGTTACGTGCTTTGAATAAATTACGTTGATAATTCCCCAGATTACACTCTTTTTAAATGTCAAATTGTGACAATGTGTCAAGACCAAAAAAAACATACAAAACAATTTGTGCCATAAAACATGCACAAACTTAAACATCAACTGAAAGTAACGAAAGGGACATTTCAATTCTTTTTTTTCTCTTTAACGAGCAATTGAATAAATTTGCCCAAGAGGGCAGTCTTGAGAGAAGCAAACAATTGAGGAAAACAATGAAAAAAACAAACAAACTAAACTAATGAGATGATAAAAACACACACACGCGCAAACGTGAAATTTTTATATGGTCTAAAAATGCAGATGTTAATGGAATAACTATAATGAGTGAACAATTATTAAGTAACAACCATAAAACACTTAGGGGCACGAAGAAATGATATAAAGTCATATGTTCTACGAATGTAGTGCAACTATGGTTTTCAAACAATCAACACACAATAAAAATAGTAGACCAATAAAATGAAAACAAAAAAATGAAATGAAGAAGAAAAAAACTGCCGTTTTAGTGAATGCTAATGATGATGGTAGTGGTGGTGCTGAAGATGAAATCAGGCAGTGTGAAACATAAAAAACCAAACTATCTGCAATCGAAATGTGAAAAAAACAATTAATGATTGGGATCACATACCGCTTATGTAGTGTTTGTTTGGGTCACGTCTTCGCTTCTTTTTTTCATCGGTTGATGGTGACACTTTTTTGGTGCGTAAATCATCTTTAATACGAGCTGTCACAATATTTTCAACCCGATCCGGACAACAATTTGTGATATCTACTTGATTTATGTCTTTGTAGGTCAGATGAATCATATGAAACCAGCACAAATGCAAAAAAAAACCCATTAGAATTGAGAGACAGAGAAAGAGACAGAGAGAGAATCGACAAAAAAAGACAGTTGCAAAAAGGGTGTTGATGAGCGGTGTGCATTTTTGCTTTGATGTACACAACATTTCCGTTTTCCCATTACAACATGGAACATATTACGTCATACACATAGTCTGCATAGTCGTACTAATTTTTGTTGTTATTATGTGAGTGAGTGAACATTATAAGTAATTGGAACAAAGTCATTGGGGATAAAGCGTACATGTTTTTGAAGTTTTGTGAATTTCATTTGATTTTCGCCACGAATAACACACATTTCGAATGCAAAACAAACTTTAAAGTACTCAAGATAGAACTCGTTGATATTTGCTGATTAATTCGAAATCTTATCGTACAGAGTGGAAAATTGCATTTCGTTTAAGTGAATTATGAATGATATTGAATAATATTTTTTAAAGTAAATTACCTGTGAAGACTCGGTCTCGGCCTTTCAAAATCGAGTTATTCCGTCGCACTGTTACGCACAAATGAATCATAAGGAACATCGTCCCATTCATCACCAGAGACTGCACCAAGAGTGGAAGCTCAAATTTGGAATAAAACCTATTGTAACATAGAAAAAGAATATGAATTAATTAAGAACGAATTTACAATTGAATCAAATATTTTTTGCTCCGAATTTCATTTTGTTTAAAAAGAGTTGCATTCGCACGAAAAAGTGAATTTTCGTTGAATTTTAAGCATTGACGTCATTTAGTTCACATTTCATGTTGAAATGAACAAACCGTGCACAAAAACAGTAAAAGCCGATAATAAAATATTTATTTGAACCACTTTCAGAATACTCGAAGTCGGAGTTGAATTTAGCAAAATTAAGTAAAGCGAAAAATTAAAGAAAAGAAAGACTAAAGAAAAATTCCACAGTGGAATTTTGTGGTAAATGCAACATTAAATTTTGAAAATGTAACCTTTTCTACAGTACACTTTTTAAATCTCAAGAGCTTTTTGTATGTCGTTTAAGCGTTGAGAATATAAATAGCCAACAAAATCGCATTTTCTGGTGTTTCATGCTTACTTAGTATTTTTGTTTTGAACACAGCAAGCGGAAAGTTTACAAATTAAATTTGGATTTATTTTTTTATTTTTATTGAGTTTGCCTGTTTGCATATTGTATCGATGAAGCTAAATATGTGTGCAAAACATTTTAACGACGTTACAGTCTACAAAAGGCGTCGGATAATGATTTTTCATTAGAATTTATTGGTTTTCCGTTTGAAAGTTTTTCGCCTCAACAACAAAGCCAATGTCAAACTTATGACAACAGCGTGAAATGGTGAACGTAAATGCGAATGCATTTAGTGGTAAATTAAGATAGCACCAACATTTTATGCTCGAATCGTTTGTTGAAATTAGATACGTGCCCATTGAATGAGCCAGATTAACGTGATATTGATTATAATTCTGTTGGCATGTACCGCAGACAAATTGCGAAAATGGCATTTTATTTTAGTATCTATTTTAAGTGTGTGCCAACATAGACAGAGACAGACAGCTATCGATTTTTTACTAGCAAACTGAAACTATATTTTCTATGTATTTGTCGTATAGAAAATTATATTCTATACAGTTTAATCCAATCTTATTGCTTGATCATCCTAATTATATGTACTTTGTTATACCATTAAAATTTTATATTCGATTGCGAGGTGGAAAAGCTTTTGCTAAGCTTGCAATAGAAATGATGTTCTACATTCCAGCTGCGCAAAAATTCAATCCAAATAATGAGTAATTTAATATCATTGAATATGTAGCACACATAATGTACTAATCGTCGTTATTTTATTCATCAATTAATTACGGGAATTTCATCTGTGGCATTCGGAAATTGGTTTTCATAAACTGAAAGTATTCGGACGAATGGCAAATACTTTTGAAAAGTCGAGTTTTCATAACTCATCATGATTGAAGTGCACAACCAGATTTTCTCTGTCGAAAAGCGTCTTTCCATTTGAAATCTCCAAGCGAAAAACCAAAAAAAAAACCATAACAGCATGTACAAATTATATGATATGAAGTATTCATGTTAAAGAATGTTACTCAGTCAGAAAATCGACTGTTATTCGGTCTTTGAGAACGATAAATTAAACGAACAAAATTGCGCTTGACAAAAGCGACACGATGAAAAACATTTAAGAACTTTGTAAATTAGACCAATATGTAACTTGATATGCTCTCACCGCATCCATTGGTTGGTAGTGCTACAAGCGCACAAAATTCCATCACGAAGTATGTTAACCGATTTGTATCAAACAGCATTTGAACTGTTCATTTGCCGAAAATGAGTGTATATAAGCCATAAAGCCGTTTGCATTTTCATGATTCCCATTTGACTTGTGGTTTCTTGAATACCAACTCACGTGCACCCTTAAAATATTTTCAAACATTTGTTAACCAACACGCGCACACAGTTTGTTGCAACGACTTATTGGATTTAAAAAAAAAACCATTCAAAGTCTCTTCTGAATACACTGTTATGGACTTCGATATGTGAACAGAAAAAAATGTTATGATGTCATTTCTCAATTCAAGGTTCATTTATGCTCACTTCTTATTGCAATATAATGGATTTCAATTTGAAGTGATTGATGATGTATTTGAATATCGGAAATCAAATGTTATCTTGCAAATTCCCATCAGAGGTATTTTTACAAAAATATTTGGAATATTGAATTTACCCAGTGTATCACCGAGAGTGTAAACAGACCAAACATTTCAAAAATATTCACATGAGTTCAGCGCGAAATATTTGTCATCGCCACTTCTCGGTGTGGAATTTCTCTCTTTCTCTCTCTCTCTCTCTCTCTCTCTCTCTCTCTCTCTCTCCCTTTTTAATTTTTGGTAGCTCTTACAACGAAGTAGAAAATTCCATGTGACTTTGATAGCAAGCTAATGAGCAATAAAACATTTCTTTCTGTTCTGTGCAACTGAAATTAGTTCTGCGATAAAAAGGCCATAATTTGTGAGATTGAATGAAAAAAATGGTCTCATTTCAAAATATTCATTATCGTTTTCATTTGGTTTTTTATTTGTTCTGTCAGTATAATGTACGAGTCACTTTATGGAAGAATTTGACATGAATATTTTATAATTGTTGATAAGCATTATGAGAGTTGTATTCGTAATGCATAACCTTTATGTTCATTAACCATGTCACATTTCAAAACACTCGCTGAACTGAGCTCTTATGTAAAAATCAATGAATACAAGTATGATAATAACCGTTCGATATCAATTAAACAATTTAATTAATTTGTCGTTCATACTGCACACGGTGAAATAAAATGCACAATTTACGATTGAAACTGCCTTTTTTCACACAAATACCTAAATTGATAAACAATGTTTATTGGCCATTATTTACGGAATTATTACCGTTTGACACAATTTTTACGGAGCAATAATTCCATCAGCATCTAACAACCAAAAAGAGACACGTGTCAATTTCAATATTGTGTGCGAAAACAAAATAATTCTTTTAGCTGTTTCAATGTTTTTATGACTTCATCGTCAAATGCCGTTGTCTAACTAGATACTTTGACCTTGAGCACAACTGTTCGAATAACTTAGCAATCGATTCGAACACTTGGCATTTTCGCACAATAGAGTTCAGTGGTGCGAACAAGCGGTACGTTTTTCATACGATTTTTCATGCTGAACCGTACTCATTCAGAGGACTACATTGTTCAACTTTTTCTTTCTGTTTGTCAACGGTTTACGTCAGCATTTCTGACTCAGCAATTACCATTTTTCTACAACGAGAACAAAATTCATGCGTAAAAGAGACAATTTGCTAGACCAGGGTATTTATAAATATATCGGTATATGTATTGTCAAGGTCAAGAGCAAGACTCAGGCAAAAAAAAACAAAACGTTGGCACCAAATTTACATGCGTAGCAAATAAATCATCAGTCGTTCATAACATTGTTTCTATCTTCGCGTAAATTTAATGGCAAAAACTCTAATACGATTTTACCCCGAAACATTCGTGACTAGCACAACCATTTTATACTGTACACTAGATGCTTATTTTTTTCGACTCAGTTTCAAATTATGAAAATTGTGCACAAGAAAAAAGAAGTTTTCTGACAAAAAAAAAGCGTGGAAACGAAGTCGGTATGGAAATATGAATAAAAGATTAAAGTGCCAAGTCTCAACTGAAGGGCATTCATAAAATAATATAATCAGTTGTCTTTTTGTTCTCATTAAATGCACAGCGAGAGAGATTTTCTTATTGCTCATAAAAGTTACTCAATTTGAGTTTGTTCATGGTTTAGCATAAGCATCAGTTTCATCTTTTTTTCACAAATTAATCTTCAAACATTTATTCAAGTCAAGATCAAACATGTGATGATGTCATCTTATTTTCATGTATTTCACTTGAACAACCCCAATCGACGAAAATAACAGCTGAATTTCAGCTCAGATGGTTCTGAAACAAGGCATATTTCTATATGAGTATTCATAGGTTGCTCAAAGCTTGAATTTGTAACTCATTCGTCAAAATATGGAATATACGTTTGGGGTATTTTCTTCTTCTTCTTCGTTTTGCTTGACTGATTTATACGGTAAACGAAGGAGACTGATGAATACGGCTATAAATGTTCAAATATTATGGATTCATTGTGGAAACATTTGTAGCAAAATATTCATTTCTTCGCTAAGGTCACATATATATTCAACGGCACTGTTTATGTGCACTGAGTTGCGATTGAATTGAGCTCGAATAACCCGAAAAGTGTAGCCAATCATAATTCTTTTTCTCTCGACCCAATTGCAGTCGCTTTTATTTCACTGAATATCAATCCGAAATGAAAGTAGAACCAATAAATTCTTGGTCTTGATACATTTATGCCTACTCTCATGACGAAAAGAGTGCGGTCAACAAAAACCTGCATTGATACATACAGAAGGTCATCGGTTTGGCCGGAAATCATAACAGTTATGTTACTCGCCGTTAAAATTCTATTTAAAACACTATACTGGTAGAGATATATCTCTCAATTGCGAACAAACACATGAATTGTATCGCTACTAATACACATATTCTGTTTTTTATTTTGCGCATATGAACAAGTTTCAATGTTTCAAGTCGATATTTTGCTTGGGGCATTCTAATTAAAGTTATCATTCAATCGGAAAAACAACAACAATCCGATTGGAAAAGTAACCTTTGTCTACCAAAACTTTTTTCTTCTATTTCTATTGGCAATAATCTTCGCCGTTTTTTTGTTGCAATTTTCGCTTCAATTCACAGCCATTTTGTGATGTGATGGAATACATTTTCAAAGAGATTTTTTTTTTTTTTTGTTTATGCTTTTCTCATTTTAGCGTATGAATGCATATGCTTCAACTTAAAAATAGCCTTCGGTAAACCACACTCGACTCCGTTCATATGGGAAATTTATCATGTTAAAAACATACTCATCATCAACAAAACTGATAACAATGCCAAAGAATGTCAGATATAGAAATATGATGAGGGTAGCAAAAAGAGCTAAAAAGTGAACAGTCATTGAAGCAAAACAAAAAAATACAAAAAATAGAAAAAGCTATTTCATTTGAAGATAACCATTTCTATAACAATTATGGTCTAACAACGATCGCAATATCCTATATGTCAATGGTGTTGACACGATTGAAGTATGAGAGACAGCGAACGAGATTCATTTTTCGTTCTTTCAATTGGCGGGACTTGTTACAAGTGAATATCGGTTATATTTGCCAAAAAATGAAATTGTGCAACATTGGCTACATTGAATCACTGCAGAAAATGGCATGCGGTCAAAATACAGTACCGCAACCAACAAAAATATGAATGAAATACATTGTATCTCATTTTTTTTTAGTAAGAAATCAAGTCATGAATATCAGTTCTATTGCATAGTGTTCATTAACGAAGCAGGAACTTGTTTGTAGCCTGAAGAAATAACGCTAATGAATTTTATAAAGAAAAAATCTAAGTTTCGTGCACGAAATGTTGTTTTCATCCAATATATGACGCATTTATTTTGCATTGTAGTGACTACATGTGAGGTGTGCCGGTTTTGGGTTGCAATACATGAAATATTCACTGGACAACATACCACCATAAAACCGCTTGGGGTTTTAATGAAAATCGTTCACTTTCAATTGGATCAACATATCAGCGTTAGCAAATCTGCCGGCTCATTGTCTGAATTTAACCAGAATATTTGTATTAATCAACTTTGTCATTGTGGAATATTATTCTAGCGTGCGACTATGACGCAATGGATAAAAAATGCATTTCCAGTCACATGATTTTGAAACAATCTATTTAATATGATCTTTATTTAAATGAAATGTGAATTTTTAAAATTTCTCAGATATTGGAAATTAATTCAATAAAAATACATAGCAATGGAGCTGAGAAAAATTATTGCTCAGTAGTCACGCAAAAATATGTCGAAAAGTAACCTTTTTATGTACTAGAAAATGATTCGACACAGAAATTGTGCTGAATACCAAAAAAATTTCATTAATTCAATCAATTGTGTATCTTTGTTTTTATCGCAGTCGCCCAACAAAAAGACTGTACCAGAGAGAGAGAGAGAGAGAGAGAGAAAGGGGGAAGAGAGAAAGAGATAAAATTGTATGCATTTTGTCGCCATTCATTGATATCAAACAAATTAAAAGAACGAAACTGCCTGCAGATTGAATCAAATGAAATACAATGCCATTGTTCTGAATGGTTTGTTGTCCAAGCAACTTGACGACTCTTTTATCATAATACATCTCCCTTTCATTACGGTTAATACACGAATTTATCAATGTATACAAATAATCTGTGTAATATTTACATTGGTCGGTGCCCTGCATTATTTACAAGTGATTTTCTGGACACAACCGTAATACCATGTGCATATACTGTAAAGTGTGTCGGTTGGTAATAAAGGGTATTGTGTTTCAAAATCATTGTTTGCAATAATATGTACGGATCAAAATAATAATAAGAAAATATTTTGCACCCAGTGTTTTTTGTACACATTCGAACTTAGCGATAAGATAGCAATGCTTTCCAAGTACACAACATCAAAACTTTTATTTTTGCTGTACATTGAAATCTTATACGTCATTGTGACTTTTGTTCAACTTTGAACTAGTTCCATTTGCTTAGTTGGTGAACAGTTTCAGTATCTGTCGAGCAGCAACATGATTAGAGAATCGATACTCGATGAAATCAAACAAGCAAAACTATCAATTTCATTTTGTTCATCATTGGAATTTGTAATTTATAGATCGTCAAGCACATTGACTTTTTCTACAATACGATAACGATTGGTCTTTGACTCTTAACTTTCATAGGGATTTCCATTGCATAGAAACCCGTATTTCAATTCAATTTAATGAACCAAATGTTTTATGTAATCATCATTTCTCACATCAGAATAATGGATTTGATGAAAGGTGACGGTGTGACGTTAAAACACGACAAAGTGAGACACACACGTGCACGTATTGGAAATGACATGAAACCGCAACAATTCGTTATTTTTACAAGATTGGTCTTCCTCTCCAAATATTTAAATGAAATTAACATTTGATGAATTTGATTGTGATGGCATTTTTTTGTATATTAAGCCAACATGCACATAAATGGATGACTGTTTCACGAATGATAAATATCAGGCTGGACACAATGGAGAAAATGTCGAAAATAAATGAGTTGTCAGTTAAAAATGAATGTTACAAGCATATTGTTTCAAGTCACAGCATCCCCAGTAATTTTTTTTCACTACTAAATCCTCGTTCCATTGATTTTATTCGTGTCGAACTGAAAACGGGATACTACAAATTATTCAGCTTGCAATTATTTTACAACTTTTTTTCTACATTCCATTTTATTCATGTTAAATGGAATATTCCGCTGATTTTTCTTTTTTGCATCTATTCACGCTCCGTTTGCTCTTAGTTTGTATGAATCACACAGTGTGATAGAGCGAGAAAAATGGATGCCCAACAAATGGTGGAAAAATGATAGCTGCTGATGATGCTGTGCTCTGCATTGATTGAGTGTTGGAGAGTGAAAAAAAACCCTGCTGATAAGTAACATTCCTAAGGACATTCGCTGCACTGAAATCCAAATGTGCATATCCGATAAAGTGATTGCAAAAAAAGGAGTGGTATTTGTTGCCACAATAGTTCAAGAATGTTCTTGTTCAGTCGCAAACGACTGGCATCAGCTGCTAAAATAAAGCAGGTCAACTGTTGTTACATTGTGAACTTTTATTGTTCGATATATGAAATCGATGTAATCGTTGTCTGCAATATATCTTCAATTTGATTTTGGACAAATTGCGCATTCGCTTTGTTATTCAATTTTGTACTGAACGAAATGAATTGTCATCAATTTTTTTTGTGTATTTTTGTTTGGGCTACTGCAACCGCATGTTGACATTATTAAAAATACGAAAAACACTTGAGTGTAATCCACCTGGTGAAACGCTTTTAATTATACCCTTTGCATTGAATAAAATACACACAACTTAATCAAATATAAAGCTCAATCGCTTTATGGATCGCGTGCTCTTTTAGCGCTCCTGTTGGTTGATTGAAACAAAGTCGGTGGATTTTGTTTTTCATTTTGTTGCTTCTGTTTGCTTCTCATACACCCATGTCATGAACAGTTATGATATAAAAATAAAGTTACGACTCAAAGGGGGTCTGATTGAACGGAATTTATGTTAAAGACGTTTCGTATCAATTCAAAAGCAGTGAGAACTATTTTTAAATAGAAATTACACATTTTCCATGTCACTTTTTGTACCGTCCAACTTACTGACATAAATGTGATTTGGGATCATGCACTTTCATGTTGCTCTCTGTATACAAAACAAACATTGGTATAATGAACCATTTCGTGATACGTAATCATGCGACGCGCCTATTCTGTCGGCAAGGACGTCCGTTTATTATTACTTTCAGTTTTATATAGAAACATTCGCCGTATTGTTACGTATTAATATACATTATATACGCTTTTCAGTTTTCAACATGGTTTCATTTCGTATGGCAAATGCAAATTTTATAGTATGCAAATTTTGCAGAAAACTAGGTTTTTGAAATTTTGCGAATATGATTTATACACACGCAACTTGCGCATTACAAAACCAATCCCATTGATGCAAACATACTGCATACGCTGTGTGATGACATTATTCTAACAGGATGCGTATTAACGCCATACCAAAAAATACACACAAGCATATCAGCAACGATTTGGTACTTCTAAAAATGGGTGGTGTTATCACAATGGTTTAATTTAAACCAAAACAAAAAATTGTCAATTGGTTGATAACAATAAATATCACATTAGCCCAGATATTCGTATGTGTGTGATTTGAAGCAGACATTCTATTGTTTCGCTTCAAAGCACAAAACAATTCATTTAATCAATTTGACATCGTCTATGATATCGAGTATGAATGAAAATGATGTCATCTCATAAAAATATACACGCGCATTTGTTTGAATCGCATTTAATGTCGGAGATGAGCCTTTACAATGCTAACAGAACGTGATACAGTGATGGATAAAAGAAAAACAAACACAACGGATAATAATGAACTTACCAAAATAAAATGCGCAAAGTGTTTGCGACGAGGAGTGTGAGACAGACCAAAAGCGAAAAACCATCCGCATCTTGGGTTTGTTTAATTTGCAGGTATTGTGGTATGTATGGTATTGCTCCACCAAAAATCATAGCCAATGCAGCTGCTCCGCTTCCAATGCGGGACATATGAAGTTTCAATTCATCGCTGATAATCCAGTCTTCCATTTTTCTACAGGCTACAAGTTTTTATTACACGTGATAATAAACAAAAATGATTATCGATAAAATTGTGATTGCTTTGTTTTCGGTCGGTGTGTGTGTGCACGCCTTTCAACCAATGATTTATTTCTATCGGATGGTGGAACCAAAGACGTGTTCGTTTTGTTGTGCGTGACGTTTTCTTTTTTTGTTTTGTTTATCTCAGTGTTAAATTGGAGTAATTTTTCGTGTGTGACTTTGGCTAAACGGAAGATATCACTTGGAGCTGTACTGAGCTGTTATCGTGTTGACCTTTTTTTACGTAATCTGTAAACAAAACATATGTAGAATCTTTAATGGCAAACATTTTGGTGTGAATATCATTCATTCGGCGAATGAAATTGTTAGCATAACGATTAAAATGCCGATCGTGTTTTATGTGTTTGTTTTTTGAAAGTAAACCAAAATCGTTCAAGGTTAATGTTAATGTAGGAGTTTCATTAAATTTTGCTCACCTAATGACATATTGCCATAAAATTAAAATTAACAGAACAGATGATAAGACTTTCCAGACGATCCGATCCGAAAAACTTGACTATAAATACAACATCTGCATGGTTGTAAGCATTCAATTGGACAATTGTACGTGATCGTAAAATTTCACAATTCACACTAAAGATACGATTTATTTCAGATTGAAATCAAAGAGATTTTATGGCGAATGGAACAGACGCCTCAATAACCAAGATGTAAATGATTTTCGCACTCTGTGCAAGTCGATTCTTTGTTGCGTCTGTGAATTTTTTTTTTCTTCTGTTGTGTATATTCAAATTTCGCTTTCAATTAAACGAAGCTGTAGTCGTATTTCAATAACATTCGACCGAACGAAGAACAAAAACAAAATCACTGTTGTGTAAACAACCTAAACACGTTTTTTTGTGCGCAATTCACAAAGCAAAGGAAATATCATTTGCTGTTGATGGTAATTATACACATGCTTCTTTTTCAATTCAAAAAATGATTCGTTTCTTTTCAAATTGTGAATAATAAATTGGGAGCGTGTCACTTTTGGAAGAGAGATGGTGCAAATAATTGAAGCACTAAAATGTGGCAGAAGACTGAGTTGCAAATATATTCACACACAAGTAAAATTGTGAAGTTTTTTTTTTCAGTTGATTTCAGAGCTGGATCCGTGTTGTTTTTGATGATTTCTTGTCATAGAATTTGTCATGCACCAATTCTTTCTGCGTTACGATTTTTGAAAGATATCTTTTAAAATGGTTGCTATATTTTCTCAAAAGATATTGTAAATCGGTAAGTTTGATGCTCCTTGTGCATAACTATAATCGGATTATGGCTCCACCACATCCTCACGGGTATTATTGTAATACGTGTGCATTTTGTTTGCTATTTTATTTGCTTTCATTTGTCGTAATATGATCACAATTCTTATACCAAATGCACACTTCAATCAGTCTCTGACTCACAATGACGCGACCGTTTGTTTGTCAAATTTACATTACACACAATAGTAAAAAAATATTTTTTTTTTCTTTTGAAACGAATAATCATCAACTTTTTACTTCAAATTCTTGCATAAATATTTGTCTTTTTATCTCTGTTTGATTTCTATACTCTTTTTCTAAACTCCTCTTTACTATCGTTTACGTTCTTAGAAACGTCGACGGTTTCAATTCGCAAAAACACCATACGATGCGACGTCGGATGCACAACTGAAAGCCACGGTGAAAAATTAGATTCAGTCAACTACTCGCTTATATATATGCCAATGGCAACTGTATGCAATGTATTTACATGTATTCTATCATGTTCAATATGTATTGTGCATACATATAGAACACATGGTGCCTTGCACTGACGCTTCAGTTAAACACATAGAAACCGCTTCAATGTATACGCTATAAACACATTGACACATTGAATATGTGTGTATATGTGATTGCGACGGTGACGTTCGCTTGCTTTGACTTATTATATGTCAAAATTGTGGATGGTTTCTTTTTTATTCTGCACATTGACCAAATTGATTTGAATCAATTTGAATTTATTTTTAAATCAGACTGTTTAAACCATCAAATTATATCTATTAAATATTTTTCTGATAAGACAGAGTGGTGAAAATTAATCTAATAGAACTAAATGGAAATAATTGATAATATCGTCTTCAAGCAGATCGTCATATTTAGTTCATTTATGCAAATAAAAATAGAATAAAATGATTTCCAAGTAAAAAAGATTTGCAAAAAAATTCAATTCAAAACAAAAACAAAAAACACTGTGAATTCGTCAACTATTGCGCGATAAAAAGTACTCACGTAAGTAAACGATTTTTTGTTTGAAAATGGTACAATTATCGAACCCTGCTACCTGCACAAATACTTATTCACATTTGATGTGTTCATTGCTGCCTATTTTGATAAACGCCGCATAAAGTGTAAAAAGTCGCACAAGAGAATTTTTTAATTGTTTAAAAATTGGTAATTTAAAGTCACATCTACCAAGGTAAGATTTATTTTTTTTTTTTACCGAAACTCAACAATAGAATAAATTGATTACGTAAAATATTGGTGTGAAATAAGTCCAATAAGATTTTTTGACTGAATGTGGTGATATTAAAACACAAAATGTTCATTCAAAAATATTTTGAACACAAATCGGATATTTCGGCAGAGATCGATCGATTTCAAATGCTGTTCATTTCCAATGGGTGTGCCATGAGTTGCCATTAATTTGATGATTTTGTGGAAATTCAATGATAATAAACGGAAATCATTTGTGTGCTTTGCTAATGGCAAACGTATTGTCATTAAGCGTTAATGCCCCGATTGACTTTATTCATTCAATGTAGCCTCAGTGGCTGAAACAAATGTTGGGGGCGTGTTACATTCAAGTGGCCTTTTAAAAACTGGCTTTTTGAACTTAAATCAATAACCATAAGCTAATCAGTTGAATTTTCCACACCCGAAAAGCAGCAAATTGAAAATGATACCAAGTAAAAGGATTTGTTTTTAATTGATTTGTTTATCGTTACAGAAACTAATCACATGATGTCCATTTTATTTGTACGAAATCTCAGTAAATTCCGTCAATGTCATCACATAAATTCAATTCTAAAATTAACATCAAGACCATTGGCCATATCATCAGTCACATATCAAAAGAGAAAAGTTCAAAGTGACAATGCTATAACAACGTCAAATGCCAGCGATCGAACGGATATTTCCACAGATGTTCGGCCGCTCGGTGAACGAATCAAAGAGAATACAAAAACGGCAAGTTATTTTGGTGTTATTATGTTTGGGATTGGCGTGACTGGCATTATTATGTTTGTTGTATTCAGAGAGCTATTTTCATCGGGCAGTGCAAATAATGTTTATTCGGATGCATTAAGCGCGTGTATTAATGTAAGTTGATAAGAGGGGGGCCAAATTGAATTTCATCAAAACTAACATTCTAATGTGTATGTGATTGATTGCAGGACACACGTATACAAGATGCACTGGGAAATCCAATTAAAGGTTATGGCGAAGAGACACGACGAAGGCGGCGCCAACATGTGGCCCATTCCATTTATGAGCGAAATGGAAAGCAATTCATTCGAATGCAATTTTATATTCAGGGAATCCGAAACAAAGCCACCGTTCATTTAGAAAAAGAATTGGTTTGTTTTTATTTCAATTTTATGCTTAAATATATAGTAATTCAATTTGCTTTTTTTTAGAATTCAAATCGCTATCGATATTTATTCGTGCAATTAGACCACTATCCCCGTGAAACAATCATCTTGGAAGATAATCGCTTAAGTATCGACGGATCGGTCGCATCACAGTCTTTGGATAGTTTGTAGTTTCTTGTTGAATCATTAAAATATGTTGAACATGTACCGAAACGTTCTGGATTTCATCAGTTAATCAATAAATTTTTTTCCACGGTATAATCTCCCATGCTCGAATCATTTGCCTTGAAAATATGTAATTCTTCAGTTTTTCCATCAAGTACGCGCACACCAGAAATATCGATAGATAGATAATCCAGATTTGACCCAATTGTTGCCAAAATGATGTACGATATCGGCCGGACATTTCATCGATATGGACATCAATATTCAATGTAACATCATTCGATGGTATTCGATTCCAATGTATAACTGGCATCTGATCAACGGTCATATATGCTGGATTATTTTTCAACTTTTTGCGAATGTTAACCATTTCATAGTCTCGGATAATTGTACTATTTTCGGGTATGATGTCATGATAGAAATGTGATTTGAGGTGTCGCAAAAAGAATGGACAATGGAATCCGGTGCGTTGAATCAATTTTAGATGCGATTCCATATATATTTCTCCCGTTCGAAAGTTCGATGGCACTTGCATTTGCTGAAGTATTACTGCCGCCGGAATTTGCAAATGGCATTGTCGCTTTAAAAAAAAAAAAACAGAAATAATTTAAAATAATTAATAATAAATTTTCACACCGAAAATTATCTGCTTACATTAAATTTGGCATCAAACTCGAGGTATAAGTTGAAATTATCTAGCACATATCCTTTTGGTGGATTGAACGTAAGTTGAAGTGTCATTTGATCGCTGCGATAGTCGAAATCCGAGTCTCTTTCCCAAAACTAATAAAAATAATTGTCTCTTACTATAAATATGAGCGGACACTATTCAAACTACATACCTTAATCATAGAACACTCGGAAAAATCTTGAAATAGTTCATTCAAAAATGCATATGAGCTACATGTGGTGACAGTTGATTCGTATGAATTGCTATCGTCGATATTTGAAGGACGATACTCGGCCATAAAAATGTATTTATATTGAAATCGCACATCTGGATGTTCGTATATCATTTTATATTGCGACCAAATATCGTTGAACATATAAAATGCAATGAAAAACGGAAAAATCACAGTAAAAATTGTGGCTAATAGCACAAATGCAAATGCCTGAGAACAAATTGTATGTTTATAGTGAATGTAAGCATTTCGTTTGTGTAATGTCAGTAGTTTCATGATGAAATGTTTAAAATTGAGTTTAGAAAATCCTCACAAGTACAAATATTTACTATTTATTTTAAATGTTTCACTTTTCGTTGAGCCAGCGTGCTGTACCGTACTGTATAAAACCGCGTTATTTACTTGATTTGTTTTGATAGCCGTTGCCTAGCAATCAGTCCGCTGGGTGCGTTCCAACGCACATATTGACTGGACTTTTACTCAATTGCGCGTCCATATTTACATTCACATCAAAATCGTTTAGAAAATAGATAAATCAAACGGTATTTTTTATTTAATTTCTTTTTTTTATTTTATTTTATCAATTTTTAAATGAACATTTTTTTCTGCGCTCTTATCAACTGACTAAATAAGTTTTTCTAAATAAGACAATTTCGCTTTGTAATTTTTTTTGTATAAGTTTAGTTTACAATTTTGGTAGTGATGCGTCGTGCGAACAGATTTATTGGATGTTTTTTCTGGGCGAAAGAAATGTATGTGCACCTATTTTAAGACTTAATGTATTTCTCTTCGTCTAATAAGTAAATAAGAACTATTCAAACAATAGTCCCTTCTCACGAAAAACAGATGCAATATTTGTCATTTGTTTCTTTATTTCGGCCTCCGCCGGCCAAATTTTATCCAGCGATTTTTTTTAACGATAAAACCATATTTCTACGTTCTATCGTTTTTATCTTTGTCGTTTTCGAACATATGCATGGTATACATTTTTTTCTTCTTCTCATTTTGATGAATTATATAGCAATTAAGTTAAAATTACTTAATTCTACAAAGCGATATTTTTATATTCTAATAGAAATTGCTTAATTGAGTTTTACTAAATTTATGTATTGTGAATAAAAACTCTCAATATACTTTTGAGAGTTTTGTGTTACTTCATTTTTTCTATTTGAAATTCGATTTCTAAATCATATTGCTGACACATGCAACTGTCACAACTACAAATTACAAAATACCAATTTCTCATTTTATAAATAGATATAATATATGCCAATTTCTGTATATTCTATAACTATCATATTTTTTTTCTCAGTTGGGCAGCATTTTGAAATTTTTCGATTGAATATGTACAAGGGGTTTTCAAAAAAAAAAAAAAAAAAAAAAAAATCTTCTGACTCGAATAATAAGGTTAAAATGATTCTTTTTTTAAATGAATACTCATTTATATGTATGTGTATGTATGTACCTTATGCAATATAATTCGCCGCATTAAAAATAAATTATTAATTAATGATCAGAAGCTACACAGCAGAGTGTAAAAATTGACAATGACATTGAATTTGAACAAATTAAATTTAAAATGCAATGCACCAATCATTCTGCTACGAACAAATGAACAAATAAAATGTGACTAATGCATAATACGTTATTCTCACATTTATGTACATTATTTCGTCTTCTTTTTTCCGTAAAAGAAAATTCCTTTTGCTATTCGCTTTTTGCTAATTTTCCAATGACTAAAACTGTGAAGCTGTGTAATTTCAAACAATATTTTCAAAATTCACTATTTTGTTAGCAATTTCATGCATTAAAGCGGTTTAATTCACACTAAAAATTCGATGAATTTCTCGGCGAATCCATGTTTGTCATACTGGCCATTATTGAGCCGAGTATATCGGTGCTTGAAGTGGATTTTTCGGTGTTATTCAATTTTCGAACTTTTGGTGCCGGAGATTGCGGTGATTGTTGCGTCGATGAATCTGGCATAATGTTACTTTTGTTAATTGACTTCGGTTCATTTTTTTCAATTGGCGGAGGCGGCGGTGGTGGCGGTATTTCAATTGGCATTTCTTTAGGAAGCGGTGGCAATATTGGTGGGAGCGGTGGAATTGAAGGTTGTTCTACAACGCATGAAATTATTTGAGGATTTTGAGCAATTGGTTCGGGAAATGTCATTGGTTCAGAAGGTTGTAAAGGTGCCGAAACAATTGGATGCGATGATGTGACTTGAATCGGTGATACCACCTCTTTTACTTCATTGATTTCGTGGGTCGACTCGCTCATTGGTTGTGATGTATTTGCTTGATCTTTCGGTTGTTCCACTTTTTTAATTTCAGTAGACTTATGCTTTTCGGACGATGATGATGAGGAATGATTTGATGATGATGATGATTTTCGGCTTTCGTCTCGTCGATGCTTTTCCGATGAGTGCGATTTCTTCGATGATGAATGAGATCGGTGCGAATCACTGCTGCTCGATGATTTATGCTTATCCCTCTCTTTTTTACTGTGACTGGATGATGATGACGAAGATGATGTTGAATGATTCTTTGTCGAACTATTCGAACTGCCCGAGCTCGAACTCTTTTTGTGTGACTTATGCTCGATGATCAATTTTCTCATATCAATTTTAGCCTCATCTGCTTTTATGCAGACTTCTTTGGGTGAATTTTGTTCATTAATCATTGGAGATTTGCACATATCCTTTTTATCTTTCTTCGGTTTACCGTCGTGCGTTCGTTTTACCGGTGTTTGGGCCTTTTTCTCAACTTCAGCGCTTATTGGATGCGGTAAAATCGTTTGTTTCTCCTTGTAATGCGGCGTCTCAGCAAGATTTGGATCATTATGCTCATTTATTACTTCTTGGCCTGGATAGTATTGGCGTAAACGAAGATGCCAAGCTGCAGAATGAAAACAAGCAAAAGAAAATATTAGAAGAATATAAAGATTTCAGTCCTGAGTTGATTTATGAACAATTATATGCGCTCTTTCAAACAAGACTAGTTAAATTTTCATTATATTTGTGTAATGGTTGTTATTACTTCAATGGATTGAATTAAAATACCCATAAAATACGTACCAATGCTGGTGACAGCAGTCACAGTTCGAAATTGATGAATAATGTTTCGCGGCAAGAAATAGATATCATTATCGTAGAGATTAATGCGAGCATATTTGATGCCTTCTCGTCTTAGTTGGTTCAGTTTCGCATCTTCAATCCATTGGACGCATTGACTTATTGGCGGCTCATGTAGATCTAATTGAAGTTTTTCGACCAAGTGTGGAAAGTCACCTGCATAAAAAGCAACTACATCTTTTGTGATTCGATTTTGCACCTCATTTTGACCACATTTGACAGCCTTCAATACTCCTGTAACATATAACAAAACAAGTAAATTATATTTATTATTATCTTTTTAAGATAATTGGAACATATACGAATATTTCAAAAGCAAATATTTAGTTTTTGTCTTAATTTTTTCGAAAGAATTTTTGGTTCCAAAGAACTTAAATACGTACCAACGGCAGCCGTTGTCATTCGTTCATGACCATGACCAACATGATCTGCATGCGCTTTTGTACGATCTTCGAACATTGTTTCTCTTGCCTCAGACAATCGGGGTAAGTACTGTAGATTACGCAGCTCATTTATCCGGGTTCTGTGTGAAATATACAATTTTATTTTAGTTTTTTGTCTAATATGCAAATAAATAAAGCGTATTACCGCTGTCGTTTCATCGGTGTCTTAGTAAGTTCAGCGGTGGGTACAAGTTGTTCGCCTGGTCGAACCCATAAAATTGGCCCGTCGTTTGATAATCGTGGATCCATTTGTACTATCGACTTTTCTCCCCATGGCATCGTCTAAAGAGCAATAGAAAATTTTTATTGCAAATGTCAAAACAATAAATTCAATAAAAGTATACCTTTTTAAGAAAAGCATTGTTTTCCAATCGACCCAAAAGATCTGGAAAATATCCGCCGACTTCTTCATGAACTTTTCCGACTAAACTAATTTGATGCAATGGCCCATATCGGAATGTGCCATGCGAATAGTGTTTTTCAACTTGTTCATAGTATTGAGCGAGTGTTGATGTTTCGATATCTGAATTTCGTCCCAATACACCGGCCTTAATTGTTAGCGTTGAATAATTGTCGGCCATGTGTTCTAGCAAATCAGGTATATAGTGAGCTGCATCGTGTACAATGCCCATAACATGATGGGCGAATCCATTTTCGTCTTCGCTGAACACAACACGAAAGAATTCTTCGGTTAGTTCTTCCATTTCAGTTTCGTTTAAATTATCCAATTCATTTTGATACATGTGTACAATTGATGCGCCGCCATTCGTATGCACTTCAACATGGAAAAAGCGTCCATATTTCAAATCACTATAGAGACTATCGGTCATGTTGCAGGCAAGGGTTTTTGTGCATTTGAGTGGCGTTGATGCTGGTGTTATATGCTTGAAAGGTTCACCATATTTACAGCATTGAACACCAACGCTAGTTCGTTTAATTTTCGATCGTCGATAACATCGCGAACAATCTCGACTGCCGCTGCTGCCACTTCGATGCGATGATGATTTTGATGACGATTTTGACGACGACGATGATGAATGATGACGATGTTCGGATGAGCCATTGTCTCGATTTGATGGTTTGCTCTCTTTTTTCTCGCTACTACTTTCACGCGATTTAAATTCCGTTTTAATTTTCACACTTGGAACATTCTCTTCTTTCGGTTTTTTTATTGTGTCCATTTTTTGCATTGAATTCTCTTTATCGTCCGATATGTGAATATTCGTAATTGATTTTTTCGGATGCTTTTCATCCGAGATCTTTTTATCACTTGGCTCCATTTTGATGGTTGCCTCCAATTGTTCAACTCTTATTTGTCCTTCAATCGCCTTCGATTCATTGACATTTACGGTTTCCGTGTTAACAGAATTTCGCACGGTATTCGGCTCGGTGTCATAGTTTAAAACGCGCGTTACATCATCGCGTGTCTTTTCCACTTTGATCACTTTGGTCGGTGGCGGCAAATAATCTTTTTTTATTACAATTCCAGCAACTTCGGTTGGTTTTCGCTCAGCAAATGTAACATTCGATGGTACAAACACTTTACGTTCTGATTTCGGTTTGGCAGTGGGTGTTGGTGTTGTTGTTATTGTTGTGGTCGTAGTTGGACTCATTTTATTGCCATTCGATTCGATGTCTGTAGTTGTTGTGTCGGGTACATTGTTCAATTCTTCCGAATTTCTGACGGTTCGACTATTTTGTGCATCACTATTATTGATAATTTGCTGGGATTTTGTGTTCGTTTCTTTGCCGTTAAAATTCCCATTGGATTGGCTAGAATCGGTACGAGAGGCACTTTCGTTTGATGAATGATTTCCGTTCAATTCAATTTGATTTGTTGATGAAGTGGGCTTCACCGAACTTGAAGTACTAGACGATTTACATTTTTCACTTTTATCGATTTTATTTGTTTTTTCGTGTGAATTTTGATTGGCGCTTAAGTGGCCGATTCCAAGATCGGATGTTTGATGACTCGCTAATTTGCTGTCTGATGCTGAAATTCCCGATTTACTATCAGACGATGATGCTGGTGCCGCGGACGACAGTAACGACGATGACGACGACGAAGTCGATTTTGATGACGAATGGCTTTTATGCCGATGCGACTTGTCTCTGTCCCTGTCCTTATCTCTGTCTCTATCTCTTTCACGATCCTTTTTCTTCTTTTTCTGACTACTTCGAACACCCGATATATCTGTAATTGTAATTTTTAATGAGTCATTTGGTTATTGAATGGATTTAAAACGAATGCATTTATTCGTAAAAGGAAAAGGAAATTAAAAACGGAATACAAACCATGTTCGGTTGTTTTTGATTTTGTTTTCGACGAGTCGGTGATATGCAAATGGCGCTTAGATTCACCGTCCATTAATTTTCTATTTTGACTGGACAATGCACTGGCTGTAACAGCTACGTGACTTTGTTCGCTGTTTATGTGTTTTTCATTTGCCATTGATTTTGGCAACGTTGGTGTTGATTTTACATCGATTACGTCACTATTGTTTACAATATTATTCATGCTATCACTATTCAATTTCACATTAAACGAATCATTTGTGGTTTCTTGTGTTGAGCTAACAATATTTTCAGCCTCAAAATTGCCATGATTTGAGTTTGAATTGCAATCGGTTTGTCCAGATGATGTGTCTGAATGTGTATCCGTGCTGGTTGACGATTGTAATTGAACATGATTTTCTATTATCACATTATCCATGGTCGATGTACGATCAGCCATAATTAATTCACTTGAATTTTGCACATTGATTACGTTATTTATCGCATTTATGCGTGAAAATTGTAATTTTTCTTTGCCACAATCAGTTGTCTCTGCATCACTGCTGTCAACTTTACTTGAAATACTACGTTCTTCAAATGACGCCATTGTTTAGGTCACGACGAACATATACTCACATTCGCTTACACGATTCATATGTACAATATCGATACAATTCGGGCTGATGGCATATGTGCATGTATGCGTACGTACTGAACACCACTAGTTGTCTCTTTTACACGTTACCTGATAGATTTTGATGCTGTTCGTTGTGCACGTAGACCACAAAACTAATTTTATTTTCCTATTGCTGCTTTTTTCTATTCGCTTTCATTCAACACACCAAAAAAAAATTATGTGTTTGATTCACAAAATTTGCGAATAATGATGAATTGATTTTTATTCTTGTAACATATGTGGAAATAGTTTTTCGTCGGTCGATACAAATAAAATATTTTCAAATTATATCAATTTGTATGGAATTTTTTTTAAATCAGTTTAGAAAAATTCAAATGAAATGTATTGTTTTGTTCACATTATGAAGGAGGATATAGTGCGCCGAACATTTGGTTATACTACTAAATGCGAATTATTATTTTTTTTGCAATGACTTTCTCTCGCTCACACACCGAAGACAAAGGCACACTCATACTATCGCATTTTCGCAGTGTCCAAGGCTCAAACATGTGAATGGCAAATCGAAATTATTCAGTGAATCATTTTCGAAAATGGCGTCAGTTTCCCATGCAGTATCGAATACACATGCATGCTTTCTTAGTGGAGAAAAGCACGTGGTCATTTCATTCAGTGGAGACGCCATTCAATTCGCTCAATGCAAAAGAACAAGCTCCTTAGTTGCATTGTAAAGATTTTTTCTTGATTGTTCTATATTTGTCGATTTCACTCTCGACATCCAATTTTAGCCGCTTTATAAACTCATTAGCACATATATTCCGTTGACTTTTTTCGTTCTTACCGAAAATCTTAGTGTCGAAAATCAACCAATTTTCACATAGTCGTCACACCGAGTTCAAATACCATCATTGTTTTTTATTCGTTGATTTTTACTTTCATTGAGATAACTCTTGGTCTATTTACAATTTTTCGTGATATATTCAAAATTCTCAGAAGAGTGACTCTCTCTTTTTCAACAAGTTTTTCGAAAAGGATTTTTGAAATTCCCAATTTTATCGCGTTATCATTATGAATCAACTCTTTTACAATAATAAAATGTTATCAACATAAATCAAATAAGATTTAAAAAAAAGACAACACGATATTGATTTGTTGAATAAATTTTCACAATAATATATGATTAAATAATCAAAACAACGCAAATTGTGTGGAATGTGATGTGTGAGAGATACAACCTTGAGAACTATCTACTATTTCAATGTTTGTGATAATTCAATTTGCACTGTTCCAAGATGAGTGTTGACTGCACTTTCATATAATAATCACAGTGCTCTCCTATTTTGTTGCAACACTTTGATGTGTGTAAATAAACAAAATGTGATGATTGTTGACGTCACTCAATTTATTCCAATTGAATTATATTGCATATGAAATGATAAGAATATTTCGATTGTCATCGTTTACTTTGGCAAACGGTTGCTAGTAGTAGCTTGAATGCAATTGTTAACAGATCGCAGAGCAATTTCAAAAATATTATTATTGTCATTGTAAAATCGGTTTTAATTCGTTTACCTAATTGTTTAAGAGCAAAACACAGCTGTTTTGTGTGATACATTTAAAAATAGGAAAAAGTGAAATACACCAAAAAATGAATGTAGCATTCAGAATTTTAATAACAATAGGTTTAATCAATTCATCGTTTGTGAGTTGTGAACGAATATTAGTGCTGTTCTATCATCCTGGTCCGAGTCATTTTTATTCACTTTATCCTCTATTCAATGAGCTCGCTATACGCGGTCACAATGTGACCGTTTTGACTTACACCCATGTCAAAGATGCACACCAAAACTATAACGAATTACTGTTAACTGAAATGCCCGTTATCAATGGTTCCATCACATACGATACAATGGTAATTGAAAATATGTGCATGCACGAATAAAAATAAAAATACTTATTTGCGTTTCATTGATATAGTTGCCATTGGATCGTAGTTTATTTACGATGCATGCTGAAATGAAGGAGTTATATAATTTGGCTGAGATTGAACGAGAATTGGCATTAAAATCACCACGAATCGATCAAATTTTGGCAATGCATCGAAATCAACCATTTGACATTGTTTTAGTTGAACAATTTATTTCGGATGTTTTTTTGGGTCTTATTTACAAATTAAATGTGCCATTCATTGGATTTTCTACGTGTGCTCTGCCATCGTATTACTATGATCAAATTAATTTACCGCATTTTCCAGCATTCATACCATTTGCATTTTCCGGTTTTTCATGGGATATGAATTTTTACGATCGAACCATCAATTGGTTGATCGTTAAATCAACGAAATTGATTTACAAGTACAATTTCTTTCGGATATTTTAGATTGCATTCCAATACATGACGTTTTATCACTTTTTCCATCTCAATAGATTTATTCAGATGCGTGACAACGAAGAGATTCACAAACGTTTTGGCAATGATATTCCGGATGTAGCTGAGATTGGTAAAAGAATCAGTTTGACATTTGTAAATCAGCACTATTCATATGCCGGTCCAAAGGCGTATTCGAATCAATTGATTGAGATTGGTGGTTTGCACATAAAACCATCGAAACCAATACCACAGGTCAGTTGGCGTCGATAAAATATTTTGAATTATTATACAATAACATTGAATGGTCAATTTTTATGTGTAGCATTTGAAAGAAGTATTGGACAATGCAGAAAATGGTGTTCTTCTTGTCAGTTGGGGTGGAAATGTTCGAAGTTCATCAATCCCAGAGCATATTCAACACGAATTTGTGAAAGGTTTTGCAAAACTATCAATGCAAGTTATTTGGAAGTGGGAAAATGCATCGATGCAAGATATGGTTTCGAAGAATGTTTACGTAACGCCATGGCTACCACAACAAGATATTTTATGTAATTTAGTATTGACGAATACGAACATTCCAGTTACAATATCAAAGTTTTAATTTTACTCCAAACTGATGCTACCGTAGGTCATCCAAATGTACGTGTATTTTGGTCACATGGAGGTAATTTGGGAACAATAGAAACAGTTCATTGTGGTAAACCAGCCATTGTAACACCGTTTTATGGTGACCAATACTTGAATGCGGCGGCACTCAACCAACGTGGCATGGGATTCAAGATAGACTTGTTGAAAATCACCGCCGATAATATTTATAACATCGTTCAAAAAGCATTAGATCCAAAGTAAATGAACAATTACAAAATACTGTGGAAATACCTTGAATATTGATTCATATTTTATTGTAGAGTTGTTGAAGCGGCACAGAAAGTCTCGTACGAACACAGAAATCGATTGCGATCGCCACTCGAAACAGCCGTCTGGTGGGTTGAACACACCATTGCAACAAGTGGCTTTGAACTTGGCAGGGCAAACACAACTGATATGTATTGGTTCACGTATCACTCAATTGATGTTATAATATTCATTTTGATATCATTCATATCAATTATTGTTATATTTAAATTTCTACTCACGCAAAGTTTGAACATTTTAATGTATTGCTGCAGTCGCACGAAAAACGTTTCCAATCAAACCAAAAAACAAAACTAAATTTAACCTAATGTTGAAATGGAATGACGTGAAGCATGCAATAATTGAACGACAACAAGGGAAAAATATAAGTTAATTTTTACTTCGCTTCAAAACTCATTATGATAACGAAAATTCAGTTATATTTTATTTAAAATATTGTTCTCTTGTTTTATGCCGCCCCAGTACCAAAATACTGTATTATAAATATATAATAAAAATATTTAATCTTTTTGAATAATTTGAAATTCAATTGTAAAGAAAATATTTGATTTTTGTACGTATAGGAAAGTTTGATCCTTATTTGAGAATTTCTAACTTGTAAATTATGAATTTGTTGTTATTCCTTTTAGGTTTTTTTATGATTTTCCCCTTGTGGGCCTGTCCAAAAACGAAATATGTTAACGGTGAAAATAAATATTTCGCCAATAAAATATAAATAGTATTCAGAACAAAATCTAGCCATTTGGCAAATGGCCTAAGGCGTGTTCCATTCAACACGCGCGATGCGTTTAGCATTCAAATGATTTCTGGGGAAAAAATGTATGCCAAAAGAACCGAGGATAAAAACAACAGGCAGAAAAGTGTATATGTTAATAAATGACCTAAACACATTGAACTTGACTCCATTTACGAATCATCAGCACATATCTTTAGGCTCTTTTTATTGATGATTTTTTTTGTGAAAAACATATCTTCATTTCTTATTATTCGGTACGCATTTCACATTCTTTTCGGCCTTTCTACGGAGTCTTCTTTTCTTTTTGAAGCGGAACCACATCAAAATGACGATGGACAAGGCAAAATGATTTATAAACATATTGGAAATCTTTGGTCATCGCTTCACTTTGTTGTTCGGCGAATTTATAAGGAATATCCATTTGTAGTGATGGACCCAATCATCATGTATACACCATGAATTATGAATGTGCTTCGATATGACCCAATAAAGAAAAACTACATGACGATTGAAATGTGAAGAGAATAGTGAGAATTTTCATTTGAACGAATAGACGAAAATTCAAATAGAATTGTTGATTCGATGAATTGGTTTTTCTTAACTCTATAAACATTTAATAATCGATTAAAATAAAGCAAATCAGTCCATCGATTTAAACATTATGAGCCGAGCATACTAGCGAACATATGAAGTTTACAAAAATGTAAATATCATTTAAAGAAAAAAAACGTTGCCGTTCTATTTATTCATTTTCATCTGTGTTATCTTCAAATAAATTATTGTTAATTCACACCTTAAGTTTTCATGTAAAACAAATTGATAGCCCATTAGCATTATGATGTATTAAATATTAATATATTTATGTAATTTTCACATGCATTCAGTAAAATTTAATGATTTACAAACTAGATAAATCGTCTTTCTCTTTGATAATAATGATCTAGTCACTTTGTAGATTTTTTCTGCTAAATTTATCGAACAATGTTCCAAGTGACTTTACTATCTACTGTGATGTATCATTTCTGGTCAAAATGTGCCTTAATGGATATTTTTTTTTTCAAAATCAGTCTAAAAATCCAAAGATTCATTTCTCTCATATGCGACTTGAGAAATAGTTTCATCATTATTTTCTTAAACAGTTTTGTTCGTAAATTATACTTAAACCTAAGTACTTGAACTATACTTAATATGGTAATTCTAACAACTTTCAGTTCTCTTATTTTTTATAAGATAAATGTTCATAAATTCACGAATAATAGATCCGGTCATGCGTTTTTAACTTTGGACCTTTTTTTAGTTGATATTATTTTTTAAAATGTTGGTTCTAAAAACCAATAGAATTCTATTGTCAATGATGCTATCGATAAACTATGAATGAAGGGTGAAGAAAAATATTGACAGGTATGAGCTCTGCTCATTATAAAAAAAAATGATTTCATGCATGCAACTTCAATGTAATGTGAAGCAGTGCCGAACGAAATTTATTTCGGGTGTTAAAACCAAATGGCCAAATCGCTGCAAAATTTGAACACATTCTCTCTTGAGTTTCGGCCGAATTCCAAAATCGCAATTGCTTTCTCTGCAGTAGCTTTTCTGGCAATTTTCCATGATATATTTGAATGATGGATCGACGATTATTTTCTTGTTGTCATCATTTGATCGTAGACTTGGCCTGCGTGGAGCTTCACACCTTACACACTTACAATCAAATCCCCACATTTTCAGCGCCTTACGACGAGAATCTTTTGATTTTTTGCATTCATTGCCCAGCTGGTAAAGTGAGAGGAGTAAACATAAAGGCGACACTTTGAGTATTTAAATCAGACATTGAAAATGGCGTGCTACTCACGTAATTAATAAAAATTTGTTCTCCTTCTTGAATTGATTTCACGGTGACGCAGTGGCCGATTTCATTGGATGTCGAAAAGTTGAATACATTTGGTACGCATGAGTGATTAATCAGCGACATGACATCATAGATATAGTCAGTCCAAATCCAGTCTCTGAAAAATGTTTTTTCGGTAGATTGTTTAAGGTTGCATCTCATTTCTACTTTCTTTTGACATGAACTCCGGAAAAAATATGCATCGGCCGGAATAAAGAAAAAAAACTTAACGATGTATGAAAAGTACCTGTTGAATCGTTCATGGTGAAATGAATTCTTCGGAATGATGGAGTGATGATGCAACGTAAGATGCATTAAAAATGTTTGCATTTCCTTCGAATTAAATAGTCGATTTACTTTTGGTAGCGCCATGAGTGTCGTGTACGCTTGATAGGATGAATAAATGCGTTCAAACTCAAATGATTGGGTTAATTTCAAAAACAATCCGTAACGTGACATTGGATCTTTGGCCATTTTCGGCACATGATTTTCCTTTAGAACCTTCTCGATATATTTTTTAAGCTCTTTTATCGAAGGGAACATGTCAATTGCCATCAGAATGGTCTCAATTGACAGCTTCAAGGTGGTATCACCGATCACATGAAAAATTGTACAACACTCCAATTGATGGATACTTTTTTGTCCACAGCAAAACATTGTATGTGTGCAGTTTGGACAGGGAACCAAATTTTGTTCGGTTCGATTGCAATTACGGCAATACAGTTGACTGGCCGTTGTCGTAGCCGATGCGAAGACATCGTTCACAAGAATCACTTTTCCAGCATCAATGTTACATTTGGCGACGATGTGACGACCAAACTCATTGTTATTGCGTATTTCCAGTACGTTTGCCATGCCAGAAAAATTACAGTCCGATGGATAGTCCAACTTTGGCGTACCGTTTACAATCTGAAGACCTAACATAAGTTGCTTCTCGCATTCGATTCGTTGGGAATTTAATCGTCTCGACACACGTTTTGAATGTTGAAATCTCGATGCAAGCCTAATGTCAGTCAATGCTTCGCGATACAATTTCATTTTGATGAAGCATTTTGAACGATTTCCATATGCCAAGCTCTCGTTCACCGAACCAGGTATCGCAAAGCATAAACTTTGATTGTAACTCATTAAAGCACCACTAAAATTGCCGACCACATATTTTCGATATCCAATATCAAAATAATCCAATGACGTTTGATTGTTTTTACGAAATTGTTCACAGTCACTTAACCATTGGATGTTTTCCGTCAGCAAATTGTCCCATATGCCAAACATACTGGCATCACGTACTTTCGCAAAAAAATCAATGTAATCGCCGTTTGCTTCTTTCTTCCACAAATATTCCATCTTGTCGTCACTATTTTTTTATTTTTATCAAAATTTCATGGAATAAGAATGTTCTACATGTCGATTGTACGTATAAATACGGTATTGTCTTGCGGCGACTGACACCATTCAACTTCAAATACAAAACGTCAAAGTTTTGGCGCGACATTACCAATACATTCATGACATTTCATGATTTTAAATAATTAAAATGACACAAAGAACGGCTTTGTTGTGTGCGTAATGCTTGCACCACAGATATGAATGACTACTGAAAGCATCGCATTGAAAGATTCTCAAACAAAATCAAATACATTTTATTTCAATTGAAATGATCGCAAACCCATTTTTGTTTACAATACTGCTGAATTGCATTTACATTTATTTTGTTGTATCTTGATTAAATTGTTATTATTAAGACGTTATCATATTTCAAATGAATGAATATTGAAAAAAGAAATTGTACCACATTTATTTTTAAAAATCATGGGTTAAAACATTCATGACATTACGGCACCTATTGGCTAATTCTTGACCTATTGATATTTTGCATAATTTACACTTGCACTCAAATCCCCAACTTTTCATAATCATCTTTTGGCGTTGCGCAGTGGTGAGGTTGGCATTGATGTAACTGATGAAAAATTGACGATGTCTGTACGTCTTTTTCTGTGTGATAAAAAATCTCTGGTTCGCAATGTAGAGGTGAGAGAGGTTTGGATCACAAGAATGATTGAATAAGGATTGAATGATGCCCAAAGAGAGATTATTCAGAGTGCTGAAGTAATTTATGTTGATAACAAGACAATGATAACTAATTAAATGCATTAGAAACCGTTTTTTATCTACCGAATCAAAGGCTGCCTGAATTTTCGGTAACATCGTCAGTAGGGAAAAAATGATATAGACAAGCTCAAGCGCATTAAAATTCTTACCGAATTTGAATTGAATTGGTGCGTTCGATTCCAGTTTAAAAAAGAACTCATATTTTGTCACCGCATCATGCGTTGATTTTGGCATTTTTTTTGGTTTTTTTAGTTTTTCGTTCCACATATCAGCAACAAATTTCATGAGTTCATTCACATTTGTCTCTTTCTCGACTGTGAATGTGTCGATAGCCAATAGAATCGAATGAATGACGATTTTGAGTTCATGGTCAATGTTTGTGATGAAGGTGTTGCATTCCCATTTGTGTATTTGGCTTTTTTTCACACAATCATCATCGCAAAACATTGCATCTGCACATCCTTTGCACGCAATAAAATTCCTTTCTTCGGCGAAGCAAGTTGTGCACGAGCGTGGCTTTGCAGCGTCAAATGTTTTTAAGTAGTCCTGTTCAATCATAATGACTTTATTTGCGGGAAGTTTATACTTAGAAATCACATGCCGTCCAAATTTTGAGTCGTATTTGATTTTTACCACATCGGCCAAACACGGTATTTTCTCATTGGGTATGTAACTCAGAGTGGGCAATGTTTCCGGTTTTTGTTCACCGTATTCCATCGGTGAAGCCTCTATAATATCCCTTTCAAGCTGTTCAAGTTTTGGCAGCAAATTTTCGGGAAACTGTGTGGTTTTTGCAAACTCAATGTCCCGTAACGCTGTCTTGAACATATTCAAACGATAAAAACATGATGCTCTATTTGCATACGCCATGCCGACATGCCTAGAATTTTCTTCGGCGAATCGTAAACTTTCGTTATAGTAATCTAGTGCAGAGTCTGGCATAACGATGTCGTTTCCAAGCCTTCGTTGTTGTACGGAATCATCGTTATGTTTGTCAAATTGGTTCGCATAGTACGATTCAACGTGAAAATTAAGTTGAGCTCTTCTATCGTCGCTTAATTCCAAATCAAACAGATCAACATATTGTTTACCCTCCTTTTTCCATACATGTTGTCGTAGAAAATCTTCCATTGGTTCCTTTGAGAAATTTATTTTATTAGAAAAAATTCTTTGAGTAAGACAAATAAATTCGTTTGGACAAACCGTTTTGCGCATGCCACTTGTTACCTATTTCGTTTGAGTTCATTTAATACGTCATACAGTTTGTTATGAAGGTTATGTTCGCAATTAAATTGCAGTGTGCTAAATATTGTTCTAAATTATTTGGATGGAGTGTCGTATTCGAATTTGCCTTTATTTTTTGCCAAATTGAATAGCCTCGTCTCATTTTCCATTATAAAGACAGTATTCTGATTTTTTTTTGTTTTCTTTTGGCGATACGTTCAATTATATCATAATGAAATATGATTCTTTATTGAAAACGTCTTTTTACATTTTATTTAAATAACATTCAAATATAGAAATAAAGATATGTTTCCGTCACTTGTCAACAGATACAATATTAGCTCAAATTCTAAAAAAAGAAAACAGATTTATATCAGAATATTTGTTTAACTAAAATAAAAATACGATTTGATTAGAGAACTCATTTTTGTTTTCATTTATCACGAGTTTTTCTCTCACAATAAAGATATCAGTTTTAAAAATAAGTTGAAGTGACATTTTATAATAGTAATTATGCGACCGGATTGTTTCTAGGAAATTCATACAATTTTAATTACTGATAAATGCGCATACGGATAATTTTAGCAAATCGCAGAAAACCAAATATTATAAAAATATTATGTTTGCTCAAGTATTCGCTGAAGTACGCATGTTGATTTAGGATTAGTAATAATCAAATATTATAACAGCGCTACAAGATAATCAAAGGTTGCCATAAAAACTGTTACTATTTTATTTGCTACCAAATAGCTGTTTTTATAAATAGAAACCGATTATTGAAGCCATGTATCTTTCGTGCCAGATCTTTTCCATTTTATAACCTTTTGAGGAGATTAACATTTCATTCTCGCTATTTATATCATTATGAACATATTATAAAGTATCAAAAAAAAACTTTATTAGTTCTAATTATACCACTATTTCGGCGAAAAAATTGAAAGGAATGAGGAAGTAAAAAATGCTCATACTTGGAATTTAAAAAATCTGTAATAATATGAGTAAACCAAAACACGTACCAAACTTCCAGAAAATCGTACAAAATTTTCCGAAAACCTTACTAAAAGCTTTAACTTTTAAATATATATTTTATTTTGATACTGTTAGGTAGGGTATTATTCGATGGAAAATAAATTTTAAATAATGGGACAATTAAATAAGTGATCGCAAATATTCCTTCTGCAATCGTCAATTTTCCTGCATTGCAATAAAAAGATGTGTGTAATAACATATGATTAATTTCAAAAACCTCGAACGAAAGTTATTTTATACAAAACTAAGGAAAATGAATCAATAATTGCACAAGACGGATATTCAAAGGTGTTCACGAGGGTTCATAGGGTTCGGACTACTTTTTCGATTTGCTAGGGTTTAAAATGTAAAAAAATGAAAAACTCACGTCATACGCAATTTTTGGTCTCAGAGAGAATTAAAGTGAGATAACACTACTTAGCGACACGCATAATCGTCTTAAGTTACACACGGAAAAGCAATAAAAAATTTCTCATTATTCAATGTCAACTTTGAAATTTACTTCATTTTAAATTAGGTCATTTTCTCAATAGATCGCTAATCACTTCATAGCTTATAGCTTATGGTGGTTATCACCTAGGCAACCAAATGAATCGTTTGCCTATACCCAAAGCTTAATTCATCATGGCAGGAAAAGTGCCGTATGTTTTATGACCCACACATATAGCATGAAGTCAAAATTAGATAAACAATGAATTGCGTATAGTTGTAAAAATAGATAAAAATGCGCTATCAATAAATCTTCGTTCTATAATCTCCAGTTATTTTTACTATAAAAGTGGTCCGATTTGATGGAAATGTTACCAGTTCTCCTGATTGCATCAAATAGTCAAGAAACATCAGAGAAGAAATTATCTTTGTGAAAATTGCTAACATTTAAATTACAAAAATGTTGAAGATCTTGATTGGTTTGATTTTGTTTGTTCACTTGGGCTCAGCACAAAGGTGAATACTTTTACTTATTTTTTTTTCGATTTTTTTCATTAACGTTTTTATTTCAACTCTTTTCTGAACATAGAAGCACAGCTCCTAGAAGTACGTGTTCACGTTGGCCGAATATAAGACATACCACCTTCGATTGCAGTGGATCGCACTGTACTGTAAATTGTACAACAGGCTACGAATTTGAAGATTCAAATGGACAAACATCATCTGAGTTCAACTGTATTAATGGCAAATGGATTTCGGAAAGCGGTGTTAGCAAATGTGAAGGTAAGAAAAGTTCTTTTAAAATTTTACTAGTACAGAGGGAGGCAAAAAAATAGATTAAATATCAAAATGCTTTTGCTTATGTCAAAGAGATCTGGTCGCTTCAATTTCAATTTGCTTAAAGGTCTTTGATTTGAATGGCTATTATCATTGTCTATCATTTGCTGTGGCTTTACAAACAACTAATAATTACATATAAATTGAAAAATTCACAGCAATTTGTGATCCAGCTTGTGTAAATGGTTACTGCTTATCACCGGGCAGTTGTGTATGCTTGGAAGGTTACACCGGAGCTCAATGCGAAAGCGCAATAAGCGATTGTGATAATGTCTACCCAGGTTACACGAACGCTGATGTTTCTAGCGACGGCACTTTTACATCTTTCACATGTTACGATGGCTACACATTGCAAGATGGAAATACCACACTGGATATGAAATGTGAAAATAGTCAATGGATATCCATTGATCCGAACCAAAACTTCGCTGCCAATTGTTATCCAATGTGCGAATACAAAGGCATAAAGTATACAACTGGACAGAAGTTTAAGGTAGAGTGTGATAATGAATGCACATGTGGAACAGACGGTGATCTTAGTTGCACAAGTAAAGCTTGCATTGGCCAATGCTCGGGAGATCCTCATTGCAAAACATTTGATGGTCTTTCCTATGCTTATATGGGCCAGTGCTCTTACCATTTGTTCAAAGTAGATGATATCGTTGGACAAGAGATCGATATAATTTCACACCATACATCTTGCGTTTGTAAGTATTTCTCCTTTCATTTCTCTGTTAATGTTTATTTTCAAAAATTTCTATCTTGAATCATTTTCTAAACAAATTCTGGATTTTTCACGTCAAAATAGATTTCGCAGATCCAAGTGTACCAAATGCATCGTGTTTGGCAGGGCTTACACTTAATGCAAAATACTTCGGTCGATCAACATCAATTGTTTTCAAAAATGATTCGCAATCCAGCGTTGAAGTTAATGGAGTCGATAGAACATCAAATCTTCCAATCGCTGTTTTGGGTGGCAAAATTTACATTCGTAAAGAAGACTCAAACGTCTTATCAGCTACATTCTCAGATGGTTTGAAAGTAACATGGGTATCCAAAGGATATTATGAAAGTTCAATAACTGTCAAAGCACCTATTTCTTATGTCGGCCGAACGAGAGGACTGCTTGGAACCACCGATGGAGACCAGACAAATGACTTGATTACAGCTGAAGGTATAGTCCAAAACAATGCCGCTATTTTTGGAACCTCATGGCGTGTTACAGAAATATGCGATAATTCAACGTTTGTTGGTGATGCACCTGATACGTGTGCGATGTATCCAGAACGCAAAGCGAAAGCAGTAGAAGCGTGTTCTTATTTGAAGAGCGAAATATTCGCTGAATGTCCCGTTGATGCGACAGGGAATTACGAGAGTTGTTTAATTGACTTGTGCGCAGCACAGAATGAAGAGGCATTCAATGGATTTAGAGATATTGCTTATACGACACTTACGTAAGGGAATGCAGCAATGCTAATGGCCAAACCTATATAAGTAAGTTTTACTTTTTAACATCAAATGTAATCAAAACATTAAAAAATAAATATTTCTAGATGCAACGTGCCCAGCTGGTCAAGTATACGCTGATTGTTCCAAATGGTCTTACCGTAGCTGTGGTGATGTTTTTTCGTCGTATGCGCAAAATTTCATTACATCTTGCGATGCCAGTTGCCGTTGTCCAGAAGGTCAAGCTTTCGACGCTAACAACAATTGTATTTCAGTCACAGAATGCAAAACTAATGCATGTATTTACAACGGTGTACAATACGCTGCCGGAAGTAAAATTGAAAAAGATTGCAACACATGTACATGTGATAATGGTCAATTTGCATGCAGCAACAAGCAATGCCCTGGAGAATGTAAAGTTTGGGGCGACCTTCACTATAAAACATTTGATGGAACGTTTTATAACCACTTGGGCAAAGAATCGTACCATATGTTGAAAGTGAATGATTCCCTTCAAGACGTTGATGTTATTACTCACCACGGACCTTGCTTGTGTAAGTACCTTATCATTTTAATTGCACTAATCTTTGGTCCGGACTAACTTTAATTACATTCTTTTTGCATATTATTAACTGCAGGGGAGGGTGCTGAAGACTCAATATCGTGCGTGGCAAGAGCAACACTTAACGCAAAATACTCTGGACAATCGGTATCAATTGATTTCAACACTGATTCGCAAGCCAGTATTGTGGTTAATGGCGTCGATAGAGCGTCGAATCTTCCGCTCACACTTTTGAATGGCCATCTTCGTCTTCGCAGAGAGGACACAAACGTCGTATCGGCTACATTCTCAGATAGGTTGAAAGTAACATGTAAATCATGGAAAGCCAATTTACTTTGGGTAACAATCAATGCACCTGTTTCTTATGTCCGCCGAACCAGTGGAATGTGCGGACTTTACGATGGAGACCAAACAAATGACTTGCAAACACCAGAAGGTTTAACTCAAAATGCTACTAACGTTGGAAACTCATGGTGCGTTAAAGAAGTGTGCAGTACATCACAATGGTCTGGTTCTCCAGTCGATACTTGCGCAGAACATCCAGAACGCAAGCAGAAGGCACTTGTAGCTTGTTCTTATTTGAAGAACGAAAGCTTCTCTGGCTGCACCGCTAATATTTCGGCTTATTATGATGCTTGTATGTTAGACTTGTATTCAGTTAGTAATGATGCACAATTCGAAATCATAAAGAATTCAGCATACGCCGCATATGCAAGTGAATGCACATTTTCAAGTAAAATTTACATTTTATTTAACATTGTGACCAACATTAATATAAATTCAAATTGATTAGTTTCAGATGTAAGGTGTCCAGCTGGTCAAGTGTATGCCGATTGCTCCAAATGGTCTTATCGCAGCTGTGGTGATGTACTTTCATTAGATGCCCAAAACTTCAGCACATCTTGCGCTGCCAGTTGCCGGTGCCCAGAAGGTCAAGCCTTTAACGCTTACAATCAATGTGTCGCAACCAAAGACTGCGGAAATAAAACACAAATGACAGTTCCTGTTCAATGTCAAGGCGGTGAACAAACATTCACCCAAGTCATACTTCCAAACACATGCCGCATTGTCCAGTAATGTGTGTCTACAACCAAACCAAAATCAAGCACGATATTAAATGAGCAAACAACAAGCCATATTATTTATGTAAAAAATTAATAATAAATAGTTTGTTCCTCTAAAAAAATAATTTCTCCGTTTTATGACTGATTTCAATTTCCAACCTCCTAACCAAGTGCTATCTTTTGAGATTGTTCTATTAAGCTGTTGCAAAGATACATCATCCAAATCGTGAAAATATTATACGTTTATTCTCTTTATGATAAAGACTACCTCACATAATGCTAACAAAATTCAATCTCCGGTTGTTAATTATGACATAGATAATTTGGAATTTATTACATTGTGAATGGATTAACATTTTATAATATCAAACATTGTTTAATATAAAGTAATAAGTATAAGTATTGTATGATGTACACGTGCGAATAGTTTAATGTTTGCTCCTGGCAAACACACATGGCAAAATCAAAAAGTGTATATTCTAAATTTAGTTTATAACTTAATTCGCAATAAAGTGAGGATCGTTTCATATGACTGTTACACATCTATACACAAGACTATTTAAGGAATAAAAAGTTGACTTAATTTTCTCATTTGCGAATTTATTGATTTTATAGTGAATGAACAGAAACAGATTAATATTGCATGTACTACCTTTTACGTGTGGAAAAAAAGTGACTGACTGACTGGTTAGCTAAAATCGACTGAAATTGGAATTTTGTTAACTGAAGTCGTCTACCTAGCCGACTTTAGTCGTCTATGTATGTCATTTTAAACAGATGACTAATTTGGGAGGTTTGTGTCTATATAGTCAACTGTGATTGAAGTTGAATTAAGTTGTATTTTTCTCTACTAGGATTGACTGAAAAATCAGCCAAAACAACTTAAAACAACTTCAATCTCAGTTGGTTTTAGCCAAAAACGTCCCAAATTAGTTAACTGACTAGTCAGTCAGTAATTTTCCACAAGGGTATGAAATACGTTGCTTTATGAAAATCAAAATAAAAACCATTTATTGTATGCTTGGTTTCAAGTATCCAAAGATTTCTACGAAGTACACGATAAATTTGGTATTCTGTGCTTTAATTCTAGTCGCAATTTCTGTTTGATGAATTCCGCCCTTAGTTATGCTGGCATTCCCATCTTCATTATCCTGTTCAAATACATTGGATTCAACTTGATTCAATCACATCTTTGCATTACTACTCTTTCTTACTTGAGTAACAAAAATGTTGACAAAAGAAACGTAAAAGTCACCATTTGCAGTTGTAGGATAAGCAACTAATACTTCAACGTCACGTTTATTTTTATATTCGATTGCTTCCATCTGAATGGCAACAAGAACATCACCTGTAGTAAAACGATTTACAATACATTGTGTTATTTCACATTTAATATTAATTATACTTACCATCAATTCGTTCTCCAAATTTGTATTCGCTATCTTCAAAGAATTGATCAGATTTGTTATGCATCTGGAATACATCCAACAATTGTCGATAAGCAATGTGATTTTCGTTTTGTAATTTATGTAGGGGATATGTATTTTGCAGTGAAATATTTCTCTGAGTTTTGGATTCCAACGCTTGCGATTGAGTAAAAAGAATTGAAACACAAACAATCAAAATCCAAGGATTGGCCATTTTTCTGTTAGTTTTGCAAAAGTAATTTTTTGTAAAGACAACAAACTTCAATTGAACTGGTTTTGAATCCATTTGAAGGCTATATTTATATTAAAATTGTGTAGAAATTAAGATAGACTAAGAAATATTAACCATTTAAAATATTTAAAATGGAATTTCCATAGTTTTTCTTATCGCATATTTTTTTATGGGAAAAATTCGTTGACTCACTATAATGCAATGTTATTCATTTTTTAGTTGGAGTAAATATTTGTTTTTATTACCTTTCGAAAACTAGAAGTGGTCAAAGATAAGAAAGATTTGACAAACAAGTTTTTATTGTATTGTATGTCAAAAATGATATAACATCAAAATAATTGAAAATAGTTAAATTCACCAAAAATGTAGATCGATGAAGAAAAACTGAAATTGAAATAATTGCATTTTATCAAACATTTTTTGCATATAATCCATTAAAATTGTGCATATTTTATAAGACAACTTGTAATAGCAAGTGTTATGCAAATGATGCGCCATAATGTGTTTCGATTGTGTTGAAGTATAATGAGAGTCAACCGTCTGTCAAGCGAATGTGACAAATAGAAAAGTGGATGATGTATCCCACATTGAGGTTGGCCGAAATGAAACTTTTTCCATGATTATGCTATTACAAACTTCCGCCACCGATGGATTTTGATATTTTTTATGTGGATGCATTTCAATGATTAAATAGTCATAGTGCCTGGGTGATAATTGGCTAAAGTGTTGTAAAGTTAGCGAGCAAAGGAGTGGGACATGGAGAGAGAGAGAACTGCTACGTATCTGCCCATAAATATGCGCAAATATTTAAAATCATCCGCACGCTCGGAAAACTTTAAAACAAACAACTGCTGTTAAATGAGGCTATTGTATAAATTTGAATGGATCTAGTGTATGGCTTACAGTAGCCAGCGATACAGTTGCATGAGTTGGCAGTGGTGAGGCGAAAAATAGCAAAAATGTATGCAAATTTAATTAGTTCTACATTGAATTAATGAAATTGTTTTGTTGTCGCGCCAGCGAATTCACACTGTATTGCGGGTAGAGGCGAATGAACGTTTCGTTTATTTTGTGTTGGCCATTCTTTTCCCCCACGACACAGCTTTTCATGTTTGATGCTTCCAGCTGCGCACAATCGCTCCAAATTCAAATCATGTTTGTTCAACATTTTCAACAAATACTTTCCATCTCGATTTGTTTGTTTTTTTCGGCCATTAAATTTGATAATACAACATTTGGATTGAAAACGGATTTTCAAGCATCGCATAAAATAATTGCGGTTTTTATTTTGCTTGGCGAAAGATCAAACAATCCAAAAATAATTCAAATAAATGTATGCTCCGAGGCAAAATTGTTTGCAAAAAAAGAAGATAAACACGGCATTTGTACAGTCAGACTCGCTTTCATAAAATTCAAATGAAACAAAATCAACTATCATTAAATTTCGAAGTGGCCAATCGAATGCATAGCGCCGCTGCAATTGTTGTCGATCATAAATTTTCGATTTTGTTGTAAACAAAAACAATTTTGCAAATGTGTTCATAAATGAAATTTCCAAATGATTTATTACCATTTTGAATTTTTGAAATTCGTATATACGGGAAAATACCGATCACGTGTGCACCAGAATGGTTTACTCTTCTTCGAAATGTGCACACATATTGTGTGATTTACACATTGCATTCACCGGGCAAACAAGTCGGAAATCAAAATACGTACGCTTCTTCTAGCATATATGAGCCATTGAATAGTTTGTGTGTCTGTTCGGCATAGAATGGCCGTTCGAGTACACATTGCAGCTATGCGATCTGAATATGTGCACTTCAGCTTTGTGTTCAAGTTATTCTCATAAATTTTATTCCAAGAATTTATTGTCTTGCCTTCTGTACTTAGTATTTGGATGCGTATAATTAAAGAAGAAGACGCACGATTCCCCATGATATATGTATTGGTTTGTTATACACTATACTATTTACACGTACAAGTTGTCATGCTCAGACGACTGACAGTTGCTGGTTTTTAACCAACTTCATGCTAAAAAGGTGTTTATTTGACTTTGTATAAATAATGACATGTTTACAAAATGATTACTGTTTCATTATTTTGGACGAAAACACAATTTCTATTGAAAATATTTATTTAAATTTAAATTATTCATTACTTTTTTGTGAAAGAAGTGCTATGCATTATTCTGTAAATTAAAGTGAATGTATTTTATTCTTATCATCGTTGAACTAAATATCGGCATCTGAATCACCTTCAATGAATTCATCTTCGATTGCGTCGATTACGATATCGTTATCATCAAAAAAGTTTTTCAAATGTCTGGATACTTCTTTTACTCCATTTCTTGCGTAAGTAACATAATATAAAAGAGACATGACATGTGAACAGCAGCCTGCAGTCCGATTTCCAGCCTTACATGAGCAAGTATATGCCAAAACAGAGCGATAATTATGTTGATAATTACCTATTTTCTTGTCCATTAGCACGAAAGTTCTATACACGCTTTGTGACACAAAACGCGATTTTAAATTTGCCATCAGCAGCAATGGATCCATATTTTCGTTAAGTAAACGGTTGCACAAATTCTTCACATCTTCTCTCAAGAAACTCACAATCAACAATTCGTTATCATGTTCATATAAATGGTTTGATAAATAGCATCGTGCTTGTTGTACTTGATATGGACCGAATGATATCATTTGTAAATCTGCAAAAGTGAATCGTGGATAGGTCTCAAAATCATCGACTATTGCATACGACTTCGTTTTTATTAAACGTTCGAGCTGTGGCAATTCAACAATAGTGCTCAGAAGGTTCGGTTGATTTAGTCGAAGTTTCAATTCCCTGGCCATTTCAATTGTTGTCGTTGAATCCTGCACATAATTCGCTCTTTTATTTAATAATGCCGCTCCGATCTCGAAGTCAGTCATTATCTTTGGAATGTAGTGAATATCAATCGTATTTGAAAATATTCGCCAAACATTCTTCATAACACCATTCACACGTTCGACATTGTAGCGTACTCTTGTCACCAGACGTGATTCGTTTGCATTTTTTGTGGTCAATTTAGTGTGTTCATTGCATGTAGGCATTTTGACTATATAACCGAGATTTATTAGAGTTGTTTCACAATCGCGAAATCCTCGATCTACAATGAAAACATCTTCAGGTTGAAGCGATATTAGTGATGACGTTAATTGCTGTGGCCTGAAAATTTTTTCAGTGATTTTGGCATCATTTTCTGTCGCCTTAAATGGACCAAGCACAAATAAAATTCGGCCATCTGTCAACACACCCATCATTATTTTTAGGTAATTCCGCATTTTGTGTGCATTGTAAGTATCTTTTTGGAATTTGTGATTCGTGCTTTTTTCGAGATAAATGTATGTCCCGTCAAGTATTAAATGTGCACCATTAAAGTCATCGTCATCAAACAATATGTGGCTTGTTTCAGATTTGTGTGACAATAATTCTGCTCGGCTCATTTCAAAATTGATGTAACGAGGAACGATTACTCGTTTTAAAACATCTCTCACCAAGTTGCATCGCCGTTGAACCGTTCTTCTCGACACGTCAAAGTGAAATCCGACTTCTTGATAAGACCGGCCAGTACGTAATCTCATCAAATAAATAAACAGTGCATCACTGGCTTTATCATTTGACTTGAGTTCTTCAAAAAGATCAGGCAATTCATTTAGTAACATTTTGAAATCATGCTTAGTGTGTCCACTTAGAAGTTTCATTTCTTCTTCACCAGTGCCTGCAGAAAATTTCGGTTAATTATTCTATATTTATATAATCGTTGTATTGGTTTCATGAAAATATTTACATGACTCTTTTGAAATAATTGTTTTGGCCGGGGGATTTGATAACAAGCTAAACATTTCTTCAAGATGTTGTTTAGTGAATTTTGACTCCTCCGATGTTATGATCGCATTTACGTTCATCCATGATTCACTTTGAATATGATTACCGCATGCCACAGAACTGGATGGAATATAAACCTTGTAATCTACAGCAATTCGATATCGTATCTCTTTTGGAATCGTGGCCAATCTAGTTGTTATTCCACACAATGGATGATTGCAGTTTCGTTTTGTAGCTCCTGTTCTCTTGATCTTTAAATGAATCGCTTCTGAACATTTATAACATAGTGAAAATTCAGAAAAAAATTATAATAAATTATATTCCAATTGTTTTCAGATCTTTAAGCCAGATTGCAAAAATGAATGAGCAAAAACAAGTAGGTATTTTTAAAAAATTCCCATTTTAATGGATTTCTTATTATATTGAACTGAATCAGAAATGTATTTTTTTTAGAAAATATTGGAAAACACAAGTTGCTGAAGAAGACTTAAATTAAAGCGTGTTAATGAACTTGGTAACTTAGTAACCATTCCACAATTTTATCGGGTAATTGATTTTCCATAAAATAAGAAACACTTCGAATACTAATCAAGAAAAATCATATATTTTCATTGCTCAATGCAATCGTTTTCACACATAGTAACAGATTAAATGCTCAATTATTTTCAATTTCATTTCACTTTTGAAAAGGTCATTGATCTTTAAAAAATATTACTCAAAATCAGTTAGAATTTTTTTATCATATTACCTCGATCCATTTTTTAAAATTATTTCTCAATCGATATACTATTAATCGCAAGAGAATTTCAACAAGACTGAAAAATGAAAAATTTAAATACAAGTGAACACTGCCGCTAGAATGCAAAGTAGCCAAGTCAAACATTCGAAATATCGATATGTCAACAAGAAAATAGCGCCTATTCAATGTATCTCTTTGCACAACAATGGTGTCATTGTATGAAATGAATTTAAAATAAAAATAAAAAATATCCGATGCACACAAACATTTTAAATTGTTTCAAACAATGACACCATTCCTATTGATATATCAATAGCTGTGGATGTTTGAGCCAACCAAGTAGGCAACCAAAAAATCAAAATAGTTTAAGTTCGAAGGTCAATGAACCATTTATTCAATATATTGATGCAAAAATGACATAATGAAAAACGAATTATCGCCAATTTTTCAGCTGGAATAATTATGCTCATTGCGGATCTGCACAATGTGAGCATGCACTGAAAAGATAAAAATACAAAATCATTTTGATTAGAAATCATAAACAGAACAAGCACTGAAAATAATAAAATATTGTCATTACTTACATTCGTTGTTCATTGTTTGAACCTCCACCATTTTAACTGGATATGGGACCGGTGGGGTGAATAAACTTTCATCACGACGGCGCTTAGTTTTTGGGCTCAAATTCTTTGGGCTGTTTGCCTTGCGTTTTGGTTGGGTGCGTTGGGGTTTAACCAGTCTTCGACGAATGCGAGCCACATCGATACTGGTCAATTTTGGTGTGCGTACAAAACATGGTGAACAACCGTATGCTTCACATAAATAGTTGTCGCGAGTTGTTCCTCGAGACACTAAAAAATGCATGAAAAATTAAATTCAAACAATTTAATAGTTTAAGATTCAAACATAAATAATATCTTAAAAATATATTCACCTCTATTATCATTTTTAGCACTTTTTCCACGCATTTTGGTTCACCGGATAAAATTCAAAACAATGATGTGAATGAAATGCACAAAGTTTGACAAGTGATGCGTAAAGTTGGCACAAGTGTTATTTATTGGCGGTAAGTTATTGGCGCGATTGACATATTGAAACAGTTTTCATTTGACACTTGTTCCATGAACATTGTTTTTTTTTCATGATGAACATTACACAAGCCGAATGTACGATTTGTTCCGACAAACTTTTTGATGGCCAGGAATTGAATACACCATTTTGTGGTCATGTATTCCACCGCAAATGTATTCGATATGCATTACACAAGTGAGTTAAAAAATTATGATAAATAACATAATATAATCATATTCATATTTTAACATTCAGTTGAAGTTCATTGACCTGAACGTAAATATCATCATTACTCATTATTTTCATTTAAAAAAACTATTCTTTAATATTTCAGGAAGCCCGAGTGCCCTGTTTGTCGCAAATCAAGCAATCGTCGCGATTTGGTTGTGTTGTTTTTTGGTGGCAACATATTTTCAAATGAGACTGGCGACAATAATACTGATGAAGCAACTGTTGGAGCCAAATTAGAGCAGCCATCATCGCTAGTATCATCGTCAGGTTGGAATTTTTATGTTGTTACTTTAAAATAAGAGAACTAACAATGGCTTTTTTCTTAATTTTCTAGAATCTAGCATCAACAACGAAGTATTTGATCCCAATACGGCTCAATCAACTATCGACGCTCTATCAGAGCAACCGTCATCGTCAGGTTGGAATTTTCATGTTTCTATACTTTAAAGAGAATTACAAATTGTTTTTTTTTTACAATTTTCTAGAATCTAACTTCAAGAACGAAGCATTCGAACCCAGTGCCGACGAATTAAATCCACAAAATGTGGCTTCAGGAAATGGCAATACTTCATCAGTTGTTTCCAATGGTGATTCAGTTCGTGGTCGTGAAGGAGAAGTGGTGCCGGCCAAAATTGTTCGACGTCGGGTTACAAAGGACATTTGCCGTTTCAATTTCGGAAGAAATATATGTGTATTTTGTTTCAATTCCTTCGTCACCGTTGATGCCAAGGTTGCATGCGATAAATGCATCACAAATATGAAATAAAAATTTCTCTTCATTCAAACTACTAATTTTTGTTTTCAAAAAGTTTCTTTTTTACCAGTGAAATATTTGAAATTTAAATTATCGTTTTTTTTAAACATCACAGCAGACAACTTCACTGTGAATTTATTATTATTACATATTGAGTTTGACATATGACAACTAATACATATAAACACATTTGTGTATGGGGGAATTCATATGTCAGTTTGCCTCTTGCTCTTTGATTTAGAAACATGCAATTTTCACAATCATAGCATTTTCATTCATTGTCTGTATGCGTTTGGGCACTATGCAAAAAAAAAACCTTAACCGACTTTCTGCTATTGAAAACTAAATCAAAACACAATACAATAAACAATTCATGGAACGATTTAATTTCGTATTGTTCGATTAAAAGGGAGCCGAGAGTAGCCGAGAGTAGTCCAATGAAACTTGCATAATTATAATTACAATCGTTAAAACGATAAAGGTGTTGAGGAAATACATTGTTTTGTACGCCTTTTTTATGCATTCACGAGGGTCAATGGGAATTATTAAATTGTTAATAAAAAATAGTCAAAATGTAATGCGTAAAATGATAAAGCTATCTATGACTCATTCCAACGACTCATCATTTTTGTTTTTCTTTCAAATGTGGGAAGTTCAAAGCATATAACTCGCAATTCATTTGTAACATCTTTATTTTATTTCGAACTTATAAACAACGAAACGAATAAGCGAATCATTTTACAAAACTACATGCTATTTATATCGATAAAATTCTATGATGCTTGCTTACACAACTTAGATAAATTCTTAAATCAATTTGTATTAGAGATTTCGAAACGAATATATTTTTTCCGTTCTTTTTTGGTTGTGTATTATGCGTAACTGATAAAAGATAATAAAAGTCTTCAACAAAGTTCTCGAACATAACCAGTACCATAACTTTGTTGATGACAGTCTTTCATTAATATTTCTTGCCAGTCGAGAAAAATCCACGACCAAAAAGAGTGGTATAAATATTTCTTTCAAACTATCACCAATACTAGCAAAAATCCAAAATGTTTGTTTAAAAAAAATGTGTACTCTTCACAAAAACTTTGTTTGACATTGAACAGTTTTCTGTTCAAACTGTGGTTAATCCAATGTGGTTTCATTCATCACCAAATCGTGTATCAATTATCGATTCAGATGATTCAGAATTGTCTGGCTTAGTTTCACCGTCATAGTAATCGGTAATACGTAATTCCTCGTCATCGCCATGTAACCTTTCTCTGGCCCTGGCCAAAATTCGTCGTTTATCCAAGCCAGAAGCAACATCAAATACAATACCTTTTTTGATACGTGTTGCCGAGTAAATGTCATTTTTCAAATCTTTCAATTCCAATCGATCCAAAATGATGTGTCGCACCAAATCAAATAGATTTGTTGTTGAATCAACATTGGCACCGGTCAATAAAAGTTTGGTATTACTGTTTGAATTGATCAATTCATCAACAACTTCCGATAGAGTGGCCACTTTTAATTTCATATTTTCAAGGGCAGCCATAACTTGTCTCATTTGTAACGTTAACTGTTGAACAGCACTTGTGGTGCCAGCACTTTGTCCATCAGGACTAGGGAAATTTACACTACCACCGCCACCACCACCGCCATTAAAACTGCCTCCGCTGCCACCATTTGGATATTGGCCACCGAATTGACCTCCATTGCCGCCAGCACCACACGAACTCGGACCAAACAAATGATGGTGATAATGATGAACTTCACTGGGAAACACTCTCATTGGTCCAGTGCTCGCGTTGCAGTCACGGTTTTCATTTACTGTCGATGTTCCACGTGTTGGTTGAGTCGGCCGAACTGGACGCTCTGTATATTCGGGAGCATCAGTTGAACTTGTCTCTTCAGTTACATTTATACCTCTATACACATCAGAATCTGAACAAAAAATATTTCATTCAAATTATTATTCATTTTTCATTATCGAAATTATTATTATTATTTTAATATCGCACCTGTGAATTCATGTTTCTGATCATCTCTGCGATAGCCAAGCGATTCTTTTTGTACATACATCCAATAATAGAGAACATCGCCCGGTTTAATTTCATGCTTTCGATCAATGAATGTCCATCGTCCATTTTTGTGTTTTAGAATATCGGCCGAAAATTGACCGTTTTCGAGACCCTCCATGGGTGAATTCAAATTGCCATGGAACGCAAACAATTGAATCCCAGGCGTATCGGGAATTGAAACCGAAAATCCTTTCGGGTGCAATACTTCAATTCGAGCCTTTGGCACCACATAAGCCACAGTTACAGCGAACACGAACGCCGACGCCGCGATCACTTCAATCCACCTTGTCATCATCTGTTCAAAAGATATAGATACATACTCTCAAATTATTCTACTTTTTCTTGAAAATTTGCGCAAAATATTTAGAATCACAAGCATTCTCCAAATTTACTTCTTATTATAAACTCAAAATCGACAAAGTGTGAAAAAACAACGGTGGTTTTTGGTTTTTTCATGACAAAGAAGAAAACTAGTTTTATTCCGCATTATGGCAAACCATATGATGTCAGTTATTTGCTGTTTTTGATACTCAAAATCTTCATATCATATTGATGCATTTTTATTGATATGTTCGTGAATCATTGGCTTTTTGTTTGTGGACAAAACGAGTTTTTGCACTGAGTCATTGGAATCACGTTTGAACGTCAAAGCGTACAATGAACACTTCCACACCAAGCTTCAGATACGATAAAATAATTTGAAACAGGTGATTGTATAGCTTGAACCAAAAAGAAAAAAAAACCGGTCAAATTTTAACCTTAACACATAAACCAACGTTCACAAGTGAAAGTATAACATATTTTTTTTTGATAAATATTTTGAATCGATGTTGTAATATAGTATATGTGCCAAATTAAAACCGAGACACAAAAAAAGTCATGCCTTTGAAAAATAATTTTAGATAAAAAATATCAACCTTTTTTCGCTGTTTTATCCAATTTTTCAATATTTATTTTTAAAAAATCGATAAACTTAGAAAACACACAACTCAACTATAATAAAGCGTCATAAGCACAAGAAACTTTGATATTTTTTTTTAAATCTCAAATTATGTAGTTCGATTGGAAAAGTGAAAAAATTCCAGCCGCATCGGCAGTAGTAGCACGGTTAAATGTTTTGACTGAGCACAGAATGAAACTTGTTTGGTGAATGAAATAACAAAAGCATCTGAATGTGTTCTCCAAACGTGCCACTGATTTTGTATGTATACACCCAGGTAACCCGATTGAAGTCAGTCTTCTATCTCATTCTACTGTGTATTCTTTTTTCAGCATAAAATACAAGCCACAAACTTATAATTTAAGACTGTGTGAGGTATAAAAATTTCAACGTCATAATTGATTGCGTGATATCTATGATGATGAGATACGATGCGATGCAAAAGTCGACCTTGACCAACAATAACAACAAATGAGTTAATATTTTAATCGTTTGCTTCTATTTATTTCTTCGTCGTCACGGATTTCGCGAATTTCGCTTCTATATACACGTGCGTACCTTAAATTCATTGTGATAAATTCGAATCGATTTATTCTGTGGATTTCTATTTGGATTAATTAAAATGTGCGCAATTCTTAATGTTGAATTAAAACATTTTCTCAACGATTATCACACGAAATCATTGAAACAAAGATCATTTAAATCATTTTGCAAGCTACAAACCCCATTCTATTCCATAAAATCGCTCAATTTAATGATTAATGAACGTATATAAAAAGTTAATTAACTTAAAATTCATTTGAATTTTTTAGAATTGATTGAATTTTCGGTTCATTTTGAATAAATAAGTCTCTTTTTTGTTCATTCTCATTTTTCACATTTTGATTGAAACGAAAAATTTATGGATTAGGTCAATTGCTTGTGTAAGTAGGTTAGATTTTTAGATTGTTTCCAAGTATTATTCATCATTTGGGAATTCTCCACTTGCAGATCTCTGATGCCTCCTGCAGAATAGATTGTATCTTAAATTGGTAAGAGTACGACTCATTTATAGTATGATTCATCAGAATGTGGTTGGATTTTATTCGGTTTTCCCTAAATTCAGAGAGGTTCATTCAAATGCTGTTACATCCGTTAACAAATCCATTGTGTTCGTTTTGTGCAGTTTGTAATCAAACTAAACCAATGTCGGTGTCGGTATCATATTGTGCTGAACAACATGAAATTCCATTTTATGGTGAATAAATCGAAATCAAGTCATCTGAACATTGACAAGTGAACTAATAATAGCACGTTTGCCACCATTCACTTCAGAAATCAAATGCCACAAATGCGAATGCATCATTGACTCAATTTGAATGTGGGCAATTCCGATACATCAACATTATAATACCTTGTGGCACATTTCGATTCGAATGTGTGTTCTTATTTTTCTATCACTCTCATTCAACAAGGAGCAATCACATTAAACATAAATTATTTGCAAATTTGGTTTGAAATCCCACCAAAAATATGTATAAGTTAAATTTTGACAAAGCCAGTGCCAAACGTTATCACAACAATTGCACATTGCCGTAAAGAGTGGGGTGACCAGAACACAAAATCGCTCTTGACCACACAACAAGATAATCATTTTACACGTGTAAAACGTACGTGTATTACATAACATTGACTTTCGGTTCTCTTTTCACCTAATATCTAATGATTTCAATCTGACTGGTGATGTGTGAAGATAATTTTTCGATTCTATAAATACATGTCAAATTGTAGTTCATCGAATAGAGATCCATCTTCTATGTAAAAAGCAGAAATGTAATGTAAATTCAGATTCTCCGTGAATGGTAACAATGATTTCTAAGCGACAACAGCTTGATAATCGATAACAAATAGCAACTGGCACCGCTTATGTCTTGAATTATCTTGAAAGAGCGCAAATCGTTGAATCGTTTCTGTCGCATGTTTGTTCAACATTGTAGCATTTCGTGCCGAAAATCTTATAATGATTTGCATGTATAAATTGATTATCGTTTGAGCTGTGAAACAGGAAAAACAAATCGTGATTGAAAAAAAAACCCGAAGTGTTGCAATTTTATTCGCAATAAACACGATATTTTCATTCCAGGAAACTGAAATTTTCGTCGTTTGAACTTTGAAACGAACCAAATTGCAACATAATAATCGATTGAAGTTAATTGAACATGTTTTTCGGTGCGGTAGCAAACCTTTGACGATGGGTGTGCAGTGTGCACACATTTTCGCTTCAAATTCCGAAAACAGTTTCGTGGTTTTGGTAGAATCAACAAAATAAAATGTAATGAAAGAACTGACATGATGATAGTGTGTTCTTGACTTCATTGCACTCAACGAAATTTACTTTGCCATCAAATTCATTTGATTGGTGCACAAATTGACGTTAGGGAGAGAGAGAGAGAGGGCAAAAAATAACACTAGTCGAAAGCGTGACTTCATCGTATATTTACGTTATTTAATTTCCCTTTGAGTGAAACGATGTGCGTTTTGCCCCAAACGCGTTTTGCAAGAGCGAAAAGAAAACGAAACAAAAAAAAAAACATATTTAATTTTCAACCGAAATCCTTTTTCGTTTCGATGAAACATGAAACTTAAATGTAAATCAAACATTTAGTGAAAAATAAAGTCAAACAGAAGGCATTCATTTCATTTAAGGTACTTTTGTTTATTCGCCCATTTGAAGGCAAACATTTTTGACTGTATCATTTGATTAAAATGTTCTGTATATCATCGTTTCGTCTTCGAGTAAATAAGCGTTGCAAAAATAACAAATTACTTGATCTTTCTCTCTTTCGAAGTGAATTTTCTTTCGTGTCTGCATAGAGCGAGGAAGCAAAAGCGATCAGTTTAAAGTAGAGACGAAGAAAAAAAGTACACAAAGCATTGCATAACAAACAAAGCTGAGCAAAAGGATCATGAAACAAGATAAATTACTTACAATGACAGCGGTTCGACTTTAAAGTGATGCAAAAGCACACTAGGAGGGAAATGTGAAATGTTTATACATTTAAACTAATTTTATTTTCTAGTTTTGCATGTTGAGCCATCCATTCTCTATCGTTGATGTCGTCGCAATCATCATTTGTTTGCTGGATAGAAAATTTTCCAGACATTCTACGTGTTTATACATGCAACACGAGAGAGAGAGAGAGGGAGAAACGCATTTTCTGAAAATATGTGCTCATATGTATGTGGCGCATCAGAAATTCACTTCGTTTTTACACGATACACACAGAGAGTGAATATTCAAAATGGGATATCCGGCAACCGGATAGATTCAATCTCAATCGTGTATATGTAAACAAAATGTATACGCAAAATTGTGATATGTTAGCTTTCCTTGACATTCTGCCTTTTTGTCTGTGATAAATAAATTATTAAATTTTTTTTGCTTCGGTTTTTTGATGGTACTTTGTGTCGTATACATAGTAGATTCTATGAAAATAAAGAGTCTTACAGGAGTAAGACGAACTTTTCCGCACGGTGGTATTTGCGTATTTTATTAAGCAAGTTCAAAATAATATTTGTTCGAATTTTCAAGCCTTTCAAGCGGCGTAAAGTTCGAGACCAAAAAAACTCAACTTTGGCATCGAAATATTCTTTTATTTAATAACAGAAGTACTAGAAAAGATTTTTCACACTTTCATGATGAACCCATTTGTACGACATTTGAAAGTATTTCATTTTCTAACAAAACACTATAAAAAAATATGTCTGACGTTAATTTTGCCATAAAAATTATTTTTGAAACACTTTTCATAACTAACTATACTACCTTAATGGCGTGAAAATTTGTACAGGTTATTTTTTTCACAAAAAAATAACATTTGGAGGGTTTGGAGAAATTTCAACCAAAATTAAGAGTACCTCCCATACAAAATATTCGTTTTTGAGCCGAAAATTGAAAATTTTGTATGGGAGGTACCCCTAATTTTAATTCAAATCTCTTCAAACTTTCAGAATGTTATTTTTTTGTGTAAAAAATAGTCTGTGCAAAGTTTCACGTCATTAAGGTAGCATACAGGCATGGCTCCCATACAAAAATTCAATTTTTTGTGATTTTTTCAAGGAAACTGTATCAAAAATTGATTGTATCTCAAAAATAACCTCGGATTCGGTTTTCTCGTGTCAAAAAACCCCCCAATACATATTTTTGAGTGTTTAAGTCTACATTAAGTATGAGTTTTGGACGAAAATTGGACTCTTTTTCATAGGTATCACTCCAGGCATGGAATTTTTTTCCATCAACCAAAGTCGCTCAAAATCTGATGATTTCTATTCCTGGGGACCCCCAATCATCCCGTGAAGTCAGATTTCAAATAACTTTTCTGGGTGGTGAGAAAATCGATGGACAAATTTTGCGTACGGCGGACAACGTACGACGTACAACGTGGAACAGACCCACAACAACCATGCAAAAAACGGCCTGATTCGGGTTCTTTGACCTCAGAAACGTCCAGAAAACATGTTTTTGAAGTTTCGTAAATTTTGACCTATTGCAATACTTTCCCCTTTCACACTAGGTGTGTGCGGAAAAGTAAAAGATACACTTATATCACTTTTCTCTCTTTCTATCCTGATTTTTTTCCAGTTTTCGACGAAAAAATGTACAAACGCTTTTGTCAATGATGATGAAAATATCAACGACAACAGAAAACATGAGAGAGTCTAACCCAATTTATATTTGAAGCCCGAAATGGATTCCATTTATTTGTGCGTACATTTTTCAGTAGAACCGTATGCGACATTCCAAGAGTTATTTATGCATGTGAGTTGAACATAGAAATGTTTTCGTCATATCCCGTAGACGAAAGCATAACAACCGCATCACATCGTCCGTATCTCATATTCAACACATTAATTTTAGATGAAACTTGAAAGACTCTATTCGAAGAAACCGGAAAGACTTTCAGCAGAAAACCAGCGGCTTATAAATCACGATAATATAATTGAAAGCATCACAAGCACAAATCAACTGCAATTTTACTGCAGTGCATCCATTTTTGTTGAAAATAGTAAACAATTTTCTCAACTAAAGTAAATTGAAAGTGTAAGCTCGTATCGGAAATAAAAATGTGAATTATGTGGTTTTTGAATGCTTCAAAAGATTATTAGCAAAACATGCAAAATATGCACGAGAATAACAAATTTTTTGTTTGATATTTTTGTGATTTATTTGCCAAACTAATATAAGATTTTCATCGAAATTCTCTCACGCTCGAAGGCCATATGCAAAATAAATTAAACATTAATTTTCGTTCAAAATGTATTCCAAACGTAATGAATATCAATTAAATTTTGGTTTGATTTGAATACGGAATTTACACGTTCCAAAATGATATTAAAATTTTCTTTTCCATCACTGAACAGATTTCAAACAACAAATTATCCATTTTGGAATGCATTGTCATTTGTCATTTATCGTAAATCGTGCTATGTGGAATGCACAATTGGATTTGAATTGAAACAGCTTCTTTTGTGATGACAACTAAATTGAAGGATAAATCCTTGGGTGCAGCACACTTTTCGAATTACATATTTCAAATCCCCAACTCCGGAGACTGAGTTTTTACAGATTTGGTATGATTCCAATGGAAATGACAAGATGAGAAAAAGAGAGAGAGAGAAAGAGAAAAATATCTCCCCTGAGATAGTTGCACGTTCCTAATGTCACAGTACTTTGAAGTTATTATCGAATATTATGACTTCGATGGTTTGTTTGGTTTGGTTTGGCATGGTGAAATCAGTTTCACGAGCATATTATTTAATAACACAAGATGACAATTGATTTAGTTCAAACAGTTTTCAATTTCGTTTCACATCACGTCAATAAGTTGACGATAAGATACGACAAGTACGTGATGCTCTGAAGTGCCACATATGGCATTGACGTGCAAGTGAATATATTCGAAGTGGAAAAAAGAGAGTATGGAACAAAAACATATCCAGAGAAATTCGCATTCGGAAACTAGCAGTTTTGTTTGGCGAACAAAACGGTTGTATGTTGTTTATTTAAAATTGGTGGTACAAATCAAAATTATTATCACACACGCACTACTTTTTTGAAAAATATCGAAAAACAAATAATTTATTTGAAATAAATCATGGCCATTTCAAATACCGATGTCTCTCGTCCAATATTTATCTACGTAAACACAGACAGTTTCGAAGTTTTAGCATAAACAGGAAATAAATTCGAACCCATGTTTTTGTGTTTTCCAAAAAGACGGTGCAATTCCGAGAATGAGACAGAAAGAGTCAGATTTGGTTTTGCAATTGTTACAATCATATTTACCTGTACTTGTGCTTGGGTGTGGGTGTGCTGGGTTACCGTTACAAAATCCATTACATTATCATTGTTATTATGACTAGTTCTTTGACCCAGATGAACATTTCGATTGTCATTGTTTTGGAAACGAGAATATCCGAAGAATGCATTATGTTGAACGTTCGTGCGGTGGTGCAAAATGTCCATAAAATGGAAAACCGGTTCCGCATCACATTTGCATTAGAAAGTAAAGTTCCGTTTGGACTTTTGAATAATCGAACAGAGAATAGAAAATGGTAATGCTTTAAGATGAAGTTACTAAAGTCAACTGATAACAACAACGATGACGACGAATCGGACTGGTGAACAATAACAAAATCTGAATACACATCCCAGGCAGGAAGTACATTTCGGAATTTAATTACGAGTATGTGCTCAAACTGCACGCTATCACACACACATGGCCACTTGATGCATATTCATTCCACTGTCACCTCATGTTGCAATATCAAAAGCACAATCACGACACAGATAAATAAACAGTTTTGCTTTCCGAAGTGCTTTCATTGCGTACTACGTAAATAGGAACTTTTGGAATCGATGTTCTCTGCCTTTTTATCTCTCTCTCCCCCTCGCACTCTACATCCTCATGTTCGGTTTGAAAAGTTGTATTATAAAATTTAATTAGCATAATGGACAAAACTTTCATTGACTCTGTATTTAAATTCTATTTTTGCATTCTGTCTATACGAAATGAGCTGTTGTTGAAGCCACTTCAACGAATCGCTCTTAACTGTCTGCATTCAAAATGATAACGATATGTATCGTACTTTGATAAACAGTTCACTCGAATTTTCGCATAAATATAGAACTTATGCCAAAACGTGCTTTCTTCCCTCGCTGATTTTTTTTTGCTGGCATCATCATTCTGACATATTTCAGAAAGACCACCATGAAATGATTTTAACTGCGCATTTTTTGCGTTCAAAATAGCACATTAAAAAGGGAAAAAAGAAGAAAAACATGGAACAAAACTTGATCGATTCTCTTGATTAATTTATCCAGACAATTCATCTGGAAAATTGTGAAAGTTCGCAAACTATTTTATCATGACACTGCCAACTCTACTGCATGTCTTTTTTTATTTTTATCCGCTTCGATGTCAGTTTTCCGAATCGCAAAGAGTTTTGTATATTTTCTCTTGTCTTCGAACATTTTTAAATTGAAAACAATTATTTTCATTTTTCAAAACTTATGGTCAACGCTTTTTATATACATTTGCTCGATCACGAAAAAAAAGAGAGAATCTGTCAGAGTTTCAAACTCAATTTTATATCCAGTGTTGAGCTTGCTCGAAAATTATTATTATTTTGGTCGGATGTGATATCGGAATTTTATGAAAGAGAAGCGTGCACATTCGTGAAAATAATCGTCAAGAAGAAAATATGAGACATGAGAAAATTATCACGTCTGCTGATATTTACGAATTCTGAGCGTGTTCTCTGGACAAAACCGTAATTATGGTATTTATTGCTTTTGCTGTACAACGTCAATTTGCCAAATATAAATAGATATTTTCGGTTCACGTTCGAAATATGGTAGATGTATGTGTGTGTGCATTGTTGTGTGCGATGTTAAATATACAACTTTTTTTTCCTCGCAAATTAATCACTTCGAAAAATGGAGTCACATGCGAAAAACAATAAATAAATCATTATAGCTTTTTTTGTGCTGGTCGAAAATAATCCTGTAAAAAGATATTCGATAGCGAGTTTACTAGAAAGAGAAAGAGAGAGAGAGAGAGTGCGCATACAAAAAACGCATACACACATTCAGCTGGTCATAAATAAAAAGGAGCCGACATAAATTATTGTATAATACTTGATAGCCTCATTTCCGTTGTTTGGCGTCCAGATTTTCTTCCAATAATTGCATTTTTTTATACCTCCACAAGTCCACATGCAATAAATTAATGCTGATAACTTTTACATCGATCTGTGCCGGTTGCTGCCCCTCATTGTTACTGCCGTCAATGTTTGGTTCACCCAAAATAAAATTGCAAAGCAATTACGATGGTGGCATGTTTTAAGCTGTGGCGGTTTCGCAAAGGTTTCCACAGGATTGATTTGTAAACACATTTTATGCACCATAACCGAATTCGAAATGACCACTCTTTATGGAGGCAACAAAACGAATGTTAATGCGTACCACAAATGCAATATCTGGAAAAACATTATACACACCAAAATATCGTGCATGTTCTATTGGGCTCGACGAAGTGTATATACGAATTGTGGACCCTCGGATGCCAACAGGAAATGAAAGGAAAATCGAAATCGGTTTCTATTTTCCATTCATTACTGAAAAACCGATTTACTCTTATACACATACCTGCATTTAGTGGACACAGTCAGACTATTCATTTTTGATTTGATTATTCACCCGGTTGTCAACGCAACGCTCGTCAAACTCATCAATGCGTACAATAATCTATGGAATATAGACACAACGATGTGTGTCTATCACATCGTTCAATTCTAATTGAATAGACATAAATTCACATTACTATATCTGCACATCAGTGGTAATAGATTTATTTTTTTTCAATTTTGTGCAATTTCCCTATGCTCATCATTTGAAATGTTGTCAGTGAAATCGTTTCCACGATTTTTTTTAAATCTGTTTACTATAAAATTTTCAATCAACATACTTTTAAGCAAATATTGATCCACATTGTTTGAGAAATGTATTGCATTTCGTAAAAGAATCTGAATCTATCATGTCTTCCTCCGAAAAATGTATACGCCACGCCGTCTAAGAGTTTATTGCAAAGAAGAAAAAAAATCGAAATAAAGATTCACACGAAAAGATAATATAGTTTGCTTTTGTTATAAAAGTTATCTTTATTAATTTGGTTATCTATTGCGCTAGTTTATTGCTACATAAGGAGACCGAACTTTCAAAACGTGTATGCTATTCGAAAGTAAATTTCAATGGTATCTTAGATATTTCAGGTAAAAACGATTGTCAAAAGGTTATTATAAAAAAATTAATTCGTCTCAATCATTTATTTTTCTGTAAAAAACATATCTTAAATCACCGACTACAATCTAAACGTAACGCTTAATTGAAACAACAACAGAAAAGTGGCATTCACTGAACTGTTTGAACGCGATTTTTTGCACATCTGTGATTTATGAATATAGTTAAATGTTTTACACACTCATTTGAATAAATTTGCATAATACATCGATGTGAACAATAGGTGATCCAATTAGCAAATAAACGTATTCAAAAGATAGAGAAAATGTTTAGTTCCTTTATCCAATCTGGTTTTTTTCCTTTTCATTGAAATCAATCTACTTTCAATTCAATCTATTTTTATAAGCCGGCAAAATCGCGTTTTTGCATCATATGTGATATAAATAGTACAATGATGGCGGCGTATTGACAGACTGAATCGCTTTCAAATGCATGATAACGTAGCGAGAGTGATGTTTAATAAACAAAAAAACGACATGCACTTGATTGCAGAAATGATGTTAGAGCAAAAAAGAAATTGTCTCATCCACCATGTGAAAGAAAGTAAAATGCAATTTGTTCAGTAGCATTTTTGGTGGGGCATATCATTTGGACAATAATCAATCCATATAAAATTCGCTTTCAATCATTTCGAATTCATTCAATACGTTTTCGTTGATCACAGCGGATTCTAAGGAATTAACTTTTGGCAAAATGAAGACTTTCGTAAGTATTAATACATTTAAACAAAGGTTTATTTACATATTTTAATCGAATATTTATTCGATTTGATTTAATTTCAACAGATTGTATTGTTGGTATCAGTTGCGCTATGCTCGGCAGCTTCAAAAACATCAGAAAAATCCAATAAGAAACGTAGCTTACTTGAGTTGGGCGCATCCAATTTCGGAAATCTTCAAAGTGCTCCATATCCAGCCGCTTTGTCTCAATCATATCAATCGTTAGCCACCGCTCCTGTGGCCGCGTCATATCAATCCTTAGCAACTCCATTTGTTCCATCCCAACAATTGGTTCCAGAAACTAACAGTTTTGCTCATCTTCAGCCATTCCAGCATGATGGAGCACCCGGTTTAGTCCAGCATGTTGGAGCACCCGGTTTAGTCCAGCATGTTGGAGCACCCGGTTTAGTCCAGCATGTTGGAGCACCCGGTTTTGTCCAACATGCAGTAGCAGCACCTGCTTTACATGCATATGGACATATTCATCAAGAACAATTTGCCGTTCAACCAACTGTTAAAACTTTGGTCAAACATGTGCATGTGCCCTATGAACGCCACATTAAAGTCGATAATCCAATCTACACTCCCGTTGAACGCCAAATACCTATCGATAATCCGGTGGCTGTTGTGAAAGTGGTCAAACGGCCAGTGCCAATCCACGTGGAGCAACCCGTCCCGATAGCTATTGTCAAAGAGATCCGAGAAAATGCACCATACGTGCACAAAGTTCGTCTTGTGTTGCAACAAGTCTTCGTAAAAAATCAACAAGCACCAAAACAACAATACATTCCACCTCAAGAACATCATGCTGAACTTCCTCAACAACATTTTGACGCACCAGCTGCACCAAGCCAAAGCTATGTACCACCTCAAACACACCATCATGACGCACCAGCCGCGCCAAGCCAGAGCTATGTACCACCAGCTACAAGCTATGGCGTCCCAAGTCAAACTGGCTATTAAACAGAATCGTTGAATTGTAATTTGTTGATTTGATTGAAATTGTTATTTATGTTTATAAGGAAACTGTATGTTGCAATGAAAATATCTACATTATTTAAGAAGATCATGTACGTTTACATTGAACAAAATTCGCAGAAAAATAAAACAATTTATTGGCAAAAATAATATTTTTGTGTATGAATTCAATTTTATGCTATAAAAAATCAGGCAACAAGCAATATGTACATTAGTACAGCACGATTGTTGTAACCATTTAATGGACTGAACCAAATAAGTGTAGTATGAGTTTGCTTCAAAATTTCTTCAAAAATTGTTGGAACGAAATATTAAAATTAAGTAGCATCTAGAACACTACGAAGATGGAGTTACATTCTGTTCTCATCATATTGTTTGCCTCATCTTATTATTTTCAGAAGAGTAAGGTCTCATATCATTCGGATATAAGATGGGAATTTAAAAAAATCAATTCGGTATGAATATTCTAGTGGATATTTTATTTAAGCATTACGGAGATAAATTAGCGGCCTATATGATATTTCTTGATTCTACTACTAATATACATTTGTTGAAGCTTCAGTGTCTAAATTTTTTTAAAAATGTTTATATTTCATCAAAATTTGAACTTCAAATAATATCTGGTGGAGTAGTTGGATCTGACCCGACACAAAGTGTTTTGGAAGTGGACACCATCATCAATTTTCATCACTATGATGATGGGTCACGTTATTTTTTGATGATTTTCTGTCGGAAAGGCGAGAAAAATCGATCGGTAGTTTTTCCACTTTTTTAATGTAATAAAAACGCCTGTCGTTTTTTCTCGTCTTTTCATCGTATACTACATAAAATATTTCTAAACCACTTTGGGTAGGGTTGGATCCACATACTTAACAAGAATCCAGAAACTATTACTTGAAGCAGACATTTTAGATGAAATATAAATAATTTAGACGCTATACTGAATACAGTATTGACTGTATGACCAAAATTTTAACATTACAAGTTATATTTTTTCTTTTTTTTGTGTAAATTCTTTGAAAATATTCTGGTTGACAACAAATAGACAACGCTTATAATTTATGTAAAAAGCAGTCGAATTGCAAATTGTGATTTTATAATGAGAGCTCATCCATGATCGTCTTTTTTATTTTTTTTCCCGTGAAAAATTATGCAACAAAAGAGTATATCTTTCTTCATGTGATAATCGCATCTGATATTGATTAATGATCTAATTTGGATTTGATTCAACTTCAATGTGACGGTGAATGTAAATTGATGAAAGACTAGTTTAGAGTAAATTTAACCAATTCGAAATGTGCTCATCTTCAATTTCTTTCGAATTTGCTTCATTCCATAAAAAAACCATATCAAATAGAAAGTGATGCCATGATATTGATATTATTTACTCAAAAAACATTCAAAACACATGGTCAACGTTTTTTCATATTAAAAAAAGAACTATTTTTAACAAATTACACAAAATTACCGAAAAAAAAAGTCTGATATCAATGATCACAGATCAAATTATCTGATTTATTTGAAATTAATACACGTTTTTGATAAAAGAAATTTATTGAATGCATACTGAATGTTGATCAAAAAATGCGCACAAAAAACGCCGAAAATGTTTAAATTTAAAGTGATAGTAGCCACTGCCAAAAATACGATTGTGGGGATAATATTATTTGGACGGAACTACATAAATAGCGACTGTGCCGGACATTCAGTCAAAACTCATTCAATCGTTAATCAAGTAGTGAGAAAATGATTTCAAAGGTGTGCATTTCAGTGTATACATTTTTGGGGACTTGAACCAAATTGACCACTTCGTATTTGAAGAATATTAAAAAAATTATATTTGTCTTTTAGGCATTGATTCCATTGGCTTTGCTAGCAGCAGTTAATGCTGGCCTTTTGCCGTATGAAGCACCAATTCATCAACATGTACCAGTTCAACAAGTGCCACTTCCCGTCACAGCTCATTCCCAAGTTGTGGCCGTGGAGAAAACTGTTGTGAAAGAAGTTCAAGTGGGTAACACTTCGAAATATTTATAATTGAAAGAATTGAAGAAAGTATTGTTTTTTTCAGGTTCCATATCCAGTTGACAAATACATCAAAGTAGATCGGCATATTCCAGTGCATGTAGATCGTTACGTTAAAGTCGATCGTCCTTATGAAGTTATCAAATATGTGGATGAACCTTATTACGTTAAAATTGAAAAACCATATCACGTGCCCATTGAAACTAGGTATGTATATTCAAATATCACAATCAAAACTTGGGACTACGTCTAAACAATTGTACCAAAAATGTACTTAAATGTACTACCATTTTTCTAAACTAGAGTGTCTGTGCCTCAACCAATTGTCGAAATCGAACCAATCATAAATGAACCTCAGCACGTTGAAAGAGAAGCTCCACGACACGAAGCACCGCAACAACAATACATTCCACCTCAAGAACGTCACGCTGAACCACCTCAACAACATTTTGACGTACCAGCTGCGCCAAGCCAAAGCTATGTACCACCTCAAACACACCAAGAACATCACGCTGAACTACCTCAACAACATTTTGACGCACCAGCTGCGCCAAGCCAGAGCTATGTACCACCTCAAACACACCATCAATCTCAGCCACAACAACATTTCGAAGCACCAGCCGCTCCAAGTTACACTCCACCGCAACCTCACCATCAGCAACCACAAAAAGGCTACCTTCCACCTGAAACACACCATCAACCTCAACCACACTCTCAGTACCTTCCGCCAGCACACTAAAAATTCCGCGAAAAAAAAAAATCAAAACCTTGTTATTCCCCAATCTGTTACTTTTGCGTAGTTTGTAATTAAAAAAATAAATTGTTGAACATTCTGAAGAAAAAAAAAACTGTATGCTATATGATTCTTTTGCCGAAGGTTGTGGTAAATTCAAGAAAATCACTTGTCAAAAGAAACACCTTCATCGCACATATTAAAGCAAATACCAAATGGATTTCAGCATTAATTTCACACTTTAATCTGTATACAACTATACATTTTACAGATCACTGATTGTTGTTTATCACCATTTTGCGACACTCAAAAAACAGCATTTTTTCTTCTTCTTTTAGCTATCTCACACTCTCACACACGTATTGTACGTCTTCAAAGTGCTGTTTCGTGTTTTTCTCACTTTCTTCTTTCGCATATGATAAATGTGTATGCGGAAAAAAGAAATGGGTCAACGAATTACCCTCAAATACTGGCAGTGCAAGGACAGCCGCATGAAATTCAGATTAATGAGTTTTCTCTCGTTGATTTGACCAGCTTTCGTGTAGAAATTGAAATGTATTTTTTTCCTTTACGTTGTATGCGGGCAACAGACCACGACAAAATTTATTTATCTCATCTTTGTAAAATAAACGCACCAAAATTAATTTCCTCCTTTTCCGCATTATATTTTCATCTAGCACGCACATCTCTAGCGATTTAACGCAGACAAATGATAAAATCAACGGGACAAATTCTAATCGTGATATAAATTTGTGTGTGTGTGTGTATTAGTTTCCGTTCTACGTGCACGGTTGTTTGAAATATTGTCACCGCGCGACCACAACGAGAGCCAACACATTTAAAAACAAAGACAAAAAAGCCTGGCACGTACCATCGTACGCACCCGAATAATGAATGTGAAACATTGCCTATAGTTTGGAGCAAATTGAAAACGAAGAGTGAGCAGCGACACGTTTCATATTTTCAGGTTTAGAGATATTTTCAGCCCCCGCAAATAAGATGTGATGCTCTGATATCTCACATAAGTATACATTTATTTTGATTTCCCATGTGACATTCGTTCACTTCACAGATTCACACAACTAATACGGACTTTATATGAATTGAATCAAATGCTGGAAATCACTGCGAAAGTCAATTTTTCAGTGGATTTTCAAAGCGTTGCAATTATGATGTAGATGGAGTACAATTTCAATTAATTAACCATTTTATTGGTTTTTCTTCACAAGAAAGGTGTATAAAAACGAAGAAAAAATGTTAACTTGTTGTAATCAATTGAATTTATTGCTCAACTTGTCGGTAACTTATGTTCATGATATTGTTTTTACTCTCTTTTCAATCGCTAAATTCACTCGAGATTCTTTTTTCTCATTGAATTGTATACGTCGAGATGATGCAAGAAATAATCAACAAACGACGATGCAGATTTCCAACTCTCGAGTGGATTAAACATAGACGATGGTTAACCCGAACGAAGCTGAAATCCGTTGATATATTTATTTGACAAGAAAAAAGAAAACAGGAATATATGAGTGGATCTATATGCATTTCATGCACATTTACCTCGATGTTGATGCTGATTTTTTTTACATTGGGCGTCAATTAAATGCTCAATTTCAAATTGCCGGAAAGTAGGCAATACTTTAAACCAAAAGCATCTTGCGTGAGAGAAAAAAAATGCTAATGTGAGTAAATAATTAAGTGAAGTGATTTCAGTGCGATGCACAAACCAAGAGAGATTAAATAGATTGAATATTGCTATAGGAAATGGCATTGGATGCGATCGGGAGACATAGAATATTACTTCAATTTGATGATAACGGTATTCTCAATACGACGAATAATCTCTTTCCGTTTAATTTAAGCATTTAATGCTCATTTGAAATTGATTCAATATCGAATTTGTTTAATTTCAGCATTTCACCGGTCTTGATCTTCTGAATTGATATTTAGATTGGAGCGAACCGTTTCGAAATGGGAATGAGTCTGGAATTGCAGTGAATTTTAAATTTAGTATAATTACAAAACTGATGCAATGTAGAAAATCGATTAAAGTGTAAACGTGCATGACACGAAAACGTGTTTACTGAAGAAAGATGAATCCAAAAAAAACGGAAACACTTTAAATTGTAAAATTACAAAATGTTGATTGCACATTTCTTCACATGGAGAACTAATTCAATTAAAACGAGCATCGAGTCCAGTGTAGAAGAATGGTTTCCAACCAATTTCATTCATGCCATAAACATTTAAATAAAAGTAATGCGTGTGTGTGCGCACAAAATGGGAATATAGCAACAGCAGGTTAAGTGTAGCAATTTCATGTTTTGCTCTACCGGTCACTCCATCGATGCAGATTAAAAGACTAAAAACTCGTTACAACTTTTTAAATTATGAAAATTTGTTGAACACGATTTCTTTTTTGTTGTTGGCCATAGATATCATGTTGATGCTGTGTGCATTCGATTTATGTTAATTACTATTATGATTATGAGAAATGGTTTAGTTTTAAAAGGATGCAAAGGAAGCAAAACCATACAGTCGAACTGTATTTCACTATTGTTTGGTAGAAAATGTGTCATAAATTGAAATGCTTGGTTAACCAATTTATCATGAGCAACACATTCCGAAAACCACATTGCACACACACCCGCACACACGCACACAGTCATCGACATGCCCAGTAAATCTTGTGCAATATTCCATTTATGAAATTAAATCCCCAGTTAGTTGTGAGCCATCTCATAGGGCAACAAACGAATAAACAAATTTCAACGCATACGGACCACATCGATATACAATATGCTTATACATATACCTGCTATATAATATATTTATTCGCGTCGATTCATTCCATTTACATTGCCATGCAAAATTTATTACGGTAAATTCATTCAATAATTATCGAAATGATAGTGCGGCATACACGAATTTCCCATGTTCAACACTTTCAAATCATTTATTCACGACTTGTGAGAACACAAGGCAAAGAAAGTGTGAAATTCGCATTTTCACCATGTACAAGCTTACTACAATGTTTATCAACATACAGAAAATGTTGATGACTTGAATTTAATGCACACACCACAACGTGATAGATGCGATTAAATTGGTACGCGGGTGAAGACAGAAAAATGTTTGTTAAGAAAAACTCATTATTACCACATTTTGAGATAACAATGAAGCCACTTCGCTCAACATTCTATTGAATCATGTGATGATTCATCTTGCAAATCAATCATTTCAAAATGTCACCGTCTGCTATTTTCATATACGAAAAAATTATAACGTTTATACGGGGGAAAAAAATCAACACACACAATGGTAGCATTTCTCTGACGCCGCATAAACGATACTTTAATTTAATACAAATGTTCGAAAGCAACATGTTTCCACATTTGATGACTCGCAAAATATAAGATAATTTCTTTTAGTGCTAAGCGCTATATTCAAATATATTAACTAATACATCACTCGTTTTTGTGCAACACATACTGTTTGTGCAATCAAGATAATTATGTCATCCATTATATTCTTAGCACAACAATCTAACTTGTTGGATGATCTTTGTGCCATTGTAATTCATCATATATGAAAACTAACATTGACTGATTATATGTACGCTTGGCTTTATTACAACACTAAAACTTCCAACCATTGCACATTTTGCGCAAAATGAAGCGATACATTTCTTCTTATAATCTCATTTCGTTTAACAGTAAACAATATAAATATTTTATTATAAATATTACAGTATCTTTTTTCTATTTAAAGCAACGGTGGTAGCAAAAAATTCACTGGCAAAGATGGTCGTTTGGCTGGCGTAACTTTCGATTTGAAAAGAGCTGGACGAGCACTTGACGATGGTGTCGAGATGGAGAAACGAGATGGTGTCGAAATGGAGAAACGTGATGTCGGCTTGATAAATTTAAATTTAAAGGGAGGTAACGGTGGTAGCGTTGGTACAATTACAGTTCGATTAAATGACAACGGCTTCACAACTTCAGCTAAACTAATTACAACAATACATAGTATGTAGATTATCTGTAACTGTAAATATGTTAATTAAAAACTAGGAAAGGTGGTGGATTTAAGTTAAAAAAAGATTCTGATTAATTACCAACAGCTTCATTGTACACGAACACGACTTAATTTATCGACGTTTATTTAAACAGTTAATACTGAAAGTGATTTTCGACCTAAATTATTTGTCATGGCTTTTATACCGAGATTATCTACTTATCCCACTCATGTTATTATCAAAACGTCTATGTTTATTTCAAAATAATGGCTTGAATAATAAATGTCACATTTTTATCGAACTGAATCGAATCTTATCAATTTATCTTGAATATTAGATTTTATGTTTTTGAGTCAATAGCGTTAGTCAAAACAAAATCTAACGAATGTTTGACACAGAGTGATGGCAATTATGTCTCAATATGAATAAATAAAGTTTGTTAACATTTGCACGACATTTACTAACTAAGAAACAATACGAATGCATATATTACTGCTCGCAATATTGCGTTTTTCATTTTTCTCTGAATCTTATTTGATTTCGTTTTTTTTTTAAAGCAAAATGCAATAGCAGAAATAATTATAACAAATAATGAACCATCATACTTATTAAATTGGAAATGTAAAACATACTTCATCTTCATGAAGCACTTTGGTAATTTCATTTATAATTTATGTAAATAAGAAATGAATGTGATGAAGGTGCCTCACATTTATCAGAATGGTGAAGAAAAAAGAACACCATTTCATGAATTCAAAATGGGGAAAAAACATTCATTCCAAAAAATGGAACTCTTTTCAAGACATGCTACCAATTAATAATAAATGAAGTCAGCAGATTCATTCTACTTGTTCTCAATCAATTTATTAAAATGCTAAAAATAAAAGGAGCACTTTCTTCGAGTAGATCATTAAATTTTAATCCGTGATTCCAGAAAAAAAACCATCAACGCATAACAGATACAGTTCAATAGCTTTTATATCATATCGGTAAATCGA